AGAAGCTGCTGTGTCTAGCCCTGCCTCCCAGTGTATGCCGACACTGGAGCACAGTCTGCACACAAAGCTGCACAGGTGAAAACACAATTGCGATTCTGAACCAGTTTTATAGAATCATAGAACGGATTAGGTTAGAAGGGACCTTAAAGATCACCCAGTTCCAATCCCCCTGCCATGGGCAGACACCTTCCGCTAGACCAGGTTGCTCAAAGCCACGTCCAACCTGGCCTTGAACACTGCCAGGGATGGGGCAGCCACAGCTTCTCTGGGCAACCTGTGCCAGTGTCTCACCACAGAATCATAGAACAGAATCACAGAATCATAAAATAGTTAAGGTTGGAAAGGACCTTAGGATCATCCAGTTCCAACCCCCCTGCCACGGGCAGGGACACCTCCCTCACAGTGAAGCATTTCTTCCTAATGTCTAACTTAAATCTCCCCTCTTCCAGTTTAAAACTATTGTCCCTTGTCCTGTCACTACATGCCCTTGTAAAAAGTCTCTCTCCAGATTTCTTGTGGGCCCCCTTTAGGTACTGAAAGGGTCTCACCAGAGCCTTCTTTCCTTCAGTCTGAACAACCCAAACTGTCTCAGCCTGTCTTCATAGGACAGGTGCTCCAGTCCTCTGATCATCTTTGTGGCCCTCCTCCAGACAAACCCCATCAGGTCCACATCCCTCTTTTGTTGGAGGCCCCATAGCTGAACACAGCACTGCCACAGCACTGGGGTCTCACGAGAGCAAAGTTGCAAGGGCAAATCATCTAACTCAACCTGGTGGTCATCCGTCATCCCTTTTAAAAGGATAGAGTTTCTTTAAAGAAAAACTGCACTTGGGTTTAAGTAGACAGTTGTCATGGTTCTGCAGTACTCTACTTCTGTAAAAAGTGATTTGGTTGAATGCACATTCAGGACTCATTGGCTAATTTTTCAACTTATATTTTCTTAGGCATCCTGGAAAGGATTCAGATCTCAACTCACTGATCTGACTAAAAAGGGAAGTATCACTGATACACTTTGCTGTACAAGTATTTTATCTTCATATTTTCCACCCTGCATATAGCAATAGCACATTTTCATTCATACACAGTAGGCCTACAAGTCAAATCCTACCCCTCTGATCTGGGAAATATTGTGTTTTCTCAGTGAATGCACTTGTACTGTCACATTAAAGTCCTTTTTGATGCTATTGTTGCACTATGTGGCCAGAATTGTCCCCAGGCACTTCACTGTAGATATCAGCATATGAATTAATGTAAAAAATTAATTAGCTTAGTATTTTTTATTTATAAATATTCCATCTACTGAACTTACAATCTCCCAAATATTTGCATGTGACAAACCATGTCTAAAATACAAATATTTTTATCCATTGGTACAGATAATTGCTTAGATTTGGCTTTTTAGGGGCCAGTACAGTCCACAAATCAATACAACCACACTGTCCTGTTGGCACAGCAGAGCAGTGGCATTGCTTACGAACTTGAGCTGGTGCATCCAAGTGGAGCTGCATTCCCCATTACAGCCACATTTTACTATTCTCCACCGAATAGTACAGACAAGTCCAGAGATTTGTAGGAATTTTGTTGATCTGGCCCAAGAAGTACATTCTTAACATTTCTGAGGTGGGTCATTTTATGTCAGAAGCTGTAATTTCTGTGTTTACTTTATAAAGCAAAATGTTGCTTCAGTTTCTTTTCTCATACAAGTTGGAAAGAGAAGCATACTGGAAGAGAGCCAGTTGCTGTCACTGCAGCTGCATGTGTAGGCATAGAAAAGCAGCATGAATTCTACTTGCCAGAAAGTTGCCAGTGAGCAGCTTCTGTGAGCTGTTGAAACCAGACTTACATTATATCTGCATCAAATTTTCCTTCACTTGGTCATCCCTGGACGAAGAGGTTCAAAATGAAGAGGTGACAAAGTATAAAATATATTTTGCACTGTTGGTGACACATTACCACTATATTGAGATATGCTAATCAAATAACCCAGGCTGGTGTTTCTTTTCAGTGGAATGGACAAAAAAGCAATGCAGTACAGCACCCTTAATCTCTCTGAGGAAACACCTGACACAGGAGTAACACTGACAGGTTCTGAGAAGATCAGCCTCCCATCTCCCAGCAAGATAAAAAGATGCCAGCAGTTGCTCTTCAGGAGGCTGTCAATTAATAACCACATAACAGGTATATCTTTTGACTAGTGTTTGACATTTACATTACCTCCAAGTTCGGGAGAAAGGAAGCCTTTCAGCTCAAAAATTGTTTTCAATCTGTTAAAAAATAAAGTTTTATTTTCAGCTAACTGAATGCACTGATGAAGCTCAACTTATTTCCACTTATTGCTACTGCTTCTATTAAATAGACATAGCTCACTGAGACTTATACTATAAACCATTTGCATCTTGCTGAGCAGCATTCATTAATCATTTCCTCTAGTCACACTGAAACAACTATGATAATCAATTCTTATTGCACAGCTGTGATATGAATAATTTTTAAATTTTGCTGTAATTGTTTTTCTGTTCTACTGAAAAATGGTTTCAGGGAACTAAGGGGGGTTTCTTGCATATGTCTGGAATGTACGTACAAGAATGGCCAAGTATTATTTGGAACACTTAATTACATAAAATTCTGCTGTAGAAATGAAGATTAAGTCCACTCTCCATCTTCTAGGTTTGCACACTGCCTGAAAGATTAAAATCTGCCTTGGTCCAAATATAAATTGATTTTTTTTGTGTGTATTGGATACTTATGGCTAGAATGTAGCTAAGGTGCCAAAGCAAAGGGAAGATGGATAAGTATGCAAAAGCTTTTATAAGGAAGATAATGTTGTGTTACAACACTGTGTATTTCTGAGGAGCAATCAGAACTGCATCTTAAGCAATGGATCAGGTTGCCCAGAGAGGTTGTGCATGTGCTAGCCTTGGTTTTTATCAAGATTTGACTGGACCTCACAGCTCACCCTGCTCTGAACAGGAGATTCATTAGACTACAGATCCCCTGAAGTCCCTTCCAGCTTCATGGAGCCTACCTATGATCCTAAATTTTAACAATAATCCTAATAATAATCCTAAATGTGAGAAAGATATATGTCTCATCTGGGAGATTCTTTCTGTCTAACGGAGCTCTCTGAATTTAAGCAGAAAGGAGCTTTGCTCATGAGAAAAAATGGACCAACTATTTTTCATAGTTTCCCACAGATGATCAGACCTCCGATTTAGAGCTACCACTTCATCTTGCTACTGAATTCAAAGCTAGCTACATTCCCATAGCCAGTGCCAACAAATTTTATTTATCTGCTTGTGTGGCAAATCACAAATTGTCACTGCTCAAAATGAAACAAGTACAAGCTATTAAGAATTCACATTTAAGCAACAATAGCAGCCTCCTCAATATCAATATAAAACAAAAACGTAACACAGCAACTTTATATAGAACAGCAATTGATAGATTAGGGTAAGGTAGATGCATCCATCATTGTAAATACATAATATTGAATGGAGTTATGAAAAATGCAGTGTGAATGTGTATATATTGGGAAGCTGCTTAGTAAATTTCAGTTTTGTCTGAATTTCTATGCGACAGATTCGGAGCTCCTGGCCAACAGGCTCCTTTTGTCTTCCTGTGTGATGTTATACTGATTAGTCCTGAGCACCAACAACCAAACTGTACAATCCATTGCCTGCTCCCCAGACTAGTGCCCCAACTAGCTCCTGCCACCCACACAGCAGCTTCAGTCAGGAGATTATTGTGAGCAAAATAAAGGTGTATGCAGCAGTAAAAAGCTACAGGTTTCAGCTTTAAGTTCCAGGATTCATGTTTTGGAAGAGGCAATTCCCCTGGATTTTAATACAGGCGGAGGATCCTTCCCCTGAGAAACAACTACTCAGAGCTGCTCTGCATGCCCATCCCACTGTACTGCTCCACAAGTACCCACACCAGCCTTACTGTGCAGCTGAGGAAAGCCTAAAGAAGTGTAGCAGCTTTGCTGAGGAAATTGAATTAACTACCAAGATTTTAAAAACAGATAAAAAAGAAACCAGACCACAGGATGAGGTGGCCTTGTTCAGCCTGGAGAAGGGTCCAGGGAGACCTCAGAGCAGCTCCCAGTACCTACAGGGGACCTCCAAGAAAACTGGAGGGGGACGTTTTTACAAGGCCCTGTAGTGACAGTAAAGACGGAGTGGCTTTAATCTGAAGATTTTGATTAGACATTAGGAAGATATTCTTCCCTGTGAGGGTGGTGAGAGGCTGGCACAGGTTGCCCAGAGCAGCTGTGGCTGCCCCATCCCTGGCAGTGTTCAAGGCCAGGTTGGATGGGGCTTTGAGCAACCTGGTTTAGTGGAAGGTGTCCCTGCCTATGGCCGCAGGGTTGGAACTAAATAAGCTTTAAAGTCCCTTCCAACTCAAATCATTCTGTGATTCTATTATATATGAAGACATATTCTGCATGACGCTATTCACACATAGTAACATCTACTATTATCCTGGTGATACCGATGGAAAACAACCCTCTCGGGCCAAGCATCAGCATCCGGATGGTGAGCTCTAAGGAGCACTAGGGAGACGACGCGGCCCTGCGTCTCCTCAGCGACCAGCACCCACCTCCACTGGAGCCAAGAGCGCCCTCCTAATGCAGTACAGTGCTCACAGGTAACGGCGCAACACCTAAAACTCTCTTATAACCAACACAAGATCAATAAACATAACGGAGCCATGCCGCACAACGCCTCAAGGACTCGGTGCTAACGCTGGCGCCTGCGCACAGTACCTCACCGCACGGCCCCGCCCCACGCCGCGTGTCAACGCGGGAGCGCGGCCAGCACCGCTATTTCTTTGGCGTCAGCCACTGATTAGTCTCTGTGCTGACCAATAGCCCAACAGTGAGGGCACAGCACAGCCAGTAGGAGCAAGGCAGGCGTTGCGTGGGCGGGGCGGGTGTGCACGCCGCGGCTGAGGGGGCTGTGGGAGCCGGGTTGGGTGTTCGGTGGTGTTGGGCCGTGTTCCTCATGGCGGATTGGGCACTGCTGCCAGCCCTCCTTCTCATTGTTTTCCTGTATGCCCAGCCGTGCCACTGCGGCAGGGCTCCAGCCTCCTCCCAGGCCGTGACGGCCCGGCTGGCGGCGAAGTGGCCGGCGACCCCACTGCTGCTGGAGGCGAGGTGCGTGCAGCCTCCTCCTCTTCCTCCTCCTTCTGCTACTGCTTTCCTTGGCCGCCGCGCGGGGCCGTTAGGCCGCGGCAGGAAGCAGCGGCGATACCGCCCCTGGCTATCTCCTGGGGGCTGAGGGAACTGGAGGAGGGAGGGGCCCTGTCTTCTCTCCGCTGCGCGGGCTGAGAGGGAAGGTGGGTCGCTAGAAAGGGGTGGCTGCGATTCCCTCCTCTCTTCCTCTGTCAGTCTTTATACAACTCGTTTGGTGTAAGGCTTAGCTGTTCTCTCCAGTGTTACGGCTAGTGCTGACGGGCTTTCCCACTTTTTGACTGTGCTGTTTAAATTGCTTTGCATTTAGCCTGAGGAGAGAGATGCAGTGGGCCAGTCTGCACAGTTGCTACCTTCCACTGAGTAACAGTATCTCTATCTCGCCCGAATTAGTTTACTTTCACCAACTGATTTAATAAGTATTTATATAGGTTCTAGTGAAGATGTAGTAGTTAACCCCACCTGGAGTACTACATCCAGCTCTGAAATCCTCAGGATAGAACATACGGGACCTGTTGGAGAGGGTCCAGGAAAGGGCTACAAAAATGATCAGAGGGACACGGCACCTCTCATAAGGAGACAGGCTGAGAGAGCTAGGATTGTTCAGCCTGAAGAAAGCTTTGGGAAGACCTTATCATGGCCTTTCAGTTCTTAAAAGGGACCTGTAAGAAAGATGAGGAGAGACTCTTTATCAGGGCCTGTTGCGATAGGATTAGGGGTGATGGTTTTAAACTAGAAGAGGGGAGATTCAGGCTGGATGTGAGGAAGAAATGCTTTACAATGAGGGTAGTAAAACACTGCCCCAGGTTGCCCAGATAGGTGGTGGATGAACCATCCCTGGAGACATTCAAGACCACGCTGGATGTGGTTCTGAGCAACTTGATAGAGTTGAAGATGTCCCTGCTCATTGCAGGGAGGTTGGACTAGATGAGCTTTGAAGGTCCCTTCCAGCCCGAACTATTCTATGAGTCCATGATTTCAAAATAGGAAGTGAAAACTTTTTTCAGTATTACATGTTTGTGGCTCCTCTGCCAGTTTGGTTTAAAATCCTTTTGATTTGATTTTTAAACTTATTTGCTGCTGTTTGGAGAACTCCCATGAAAGGGAGAGCTGCAAGCTTCTGTAATCAAAGCAGTGGCAAACTTCCAAAGTAAAGATTAGGAAACAATACACTCATGCTAGCAAGTTGATCTTTTTGGCAGACTTAAGGAGGGAGAAGAAAAGCAATTGATATTCCCTTAAGAAAAACCACAAAACTAAAGAGTGTTACTGGTAAATGCAAGAGTGGGATTTGGAATAAAGCAACCATTACCTTTTATGCCTTGTAAGGATTAACCAATTTCTGCAAGAGTTTCAGAGACTAAAGACCTCCCTTGCATAGCAAAATAGGCATTGTCATCGATAACAGCCTGTAACTTAATTAAAACCTATCACTTGACAGAGCGTGTGTTACCATTTTTGTATTTACCCACTATTAAATAAAGTTTGTGCACTGAATTGATTTTATTTCTAACTATCTGTGGAAAAATAAAGTGCAAAATTGTGTTTATTTCTGCATCAGAGGATATTTTGCTTGCTTCACAGCTCTGATTGTTGAGTTCAGATTGGCAGTATTTCGTTCAAAATTTGTTTTATCCAAAATACACTACTCTTCACTGTTTTATGCTACAGGGATTTTAGATGGTCATCGAATACTCAACACTTGGTTGTTGTTGGGCATTTGTTATTTTAAACAACTGAAGTTTTTACTGTGGTACATCTTTGGACAAAGGCAACCTATGGACAATTCATTTTATTTTTAAACAGTGAATTTATTGCAGAAGATGATAATGAGAAGTTTTGGCAGTTCTTGGAAACTGTACGAGAATTAACAGTTTATAAGCAAAGAGGTAAGTTAAACAGCATGCTAGCTTTAATATCTTGCACTGTATCTAACTTTTAAACATCAAGCTAACACATTAACGAGTTCTAGTCAGGTAGAGCCTAACTTTTCCACTGTTGCTAGGTAGATTTCTTTCCGAAAGCTGTAGTATATTTTCCCCTGAGAGCTCTACCTATACATGAGTTCTGAAAGCAAGGAAAACAAGATGGAGTGAACTGTTACAACATGGAAAAGAAGTGTAAAGATTAAAAATACTTACTTTCTTACATGACTCAGCAAAAGCTTATAAGATATACAGACTTCATGTTTTGTGTAAGGTGGATGTTTGTAGGGGGAGAAAATCCCACAAATAACTAAAATGAGAATGCTAGCTAAAGGAAAAAAAGGAAAAGAATGGCCAAAAAAAAGGTTTGTACTTGTAGGTGGCATAGAGACTGTTTTCTGTCGTCAATATTGGTGTTTCAGAATAAATATTTATCACTGTCAAAGTAAGATTAAAAATACCCTGCCTGATTAGACAGAAGAATAATAAGTTTGCAGAGAAGAACAAAGCACAGAATCCAGCAAACAAAAGTGAGCCACCTCAGAAGATGCCTTGCAAAGCAGTTTACTGGAAATGTCCATGGTAATGAGAAACTTGGAAACCTACCAGGCTTCACAACAGGTCGGTGAATATTAGACCTACTTGGTAGGTCCATAGATAAACAAGGCAAAAAAAGCTTCTAAACAAGGTAAGGCTATTTCATTTTGTTGTTTACTTCAGAACAGTACAGCTCCTTAGGCATGAGTGGGAGGACCTAACACTACTACTAGAAGAGACTTAGGTAAGTTGAATGTTACATTAATAGCCAGAAGCTAACAAATTGTAGAAAGATTATGTGGGAAATGGCAGTGAGATTGCAGAACTGAATCCTTGTTGTGAACACAGGAGTATGTTATGAACAAGGTCTCTCCCTACTCCCTCTATCTTTGACTTCCTAATAGAAAGGTATAGAGAAGATTAAAACAGACGTATGAAGTGATACGAAAAAAAGCCATGTGCACAAGTTAAAACATGGAAATTTTGGTTAGATACTATGGAAAATGTTTCTGCCATGGAGTTGAGTAAACACTGGAACAGGCTGCCCCTGTGAAAGGAGGCTGTGGAATCTCTTCCTGGAGACACTCAAAACTGCTGCACAAGGCCCTGAGCAGCCTAATCTAACATTGAAATTAGATGTCCTCCAATTAAAAGTTTTGATGAGTCGACCTCCATAAGTGACTTTTGGCTTGAATTACTATTTTGGGTTTTTTTTTCTTTGAATGGTTTAGATGCAATTGGTATAGCCCTTTAGACAAGGCTGATGTATAAGATGATGTGCCAGGGGTTTTTATCAGCATCCATCTCTTGTCTGTCTGCTTGGACCAGCTTTCCAAGGAATGTGAAGCTTAGTGACATTTATTATTAGTGACAGAGATGTCTGTTGAAATTAGCTGTTAGCTACATGCTTTACCTACTTCATTTGGATAAACTCTGTGTGACTGAGAATAAATAAATTGCCAGCAGGATGATTTGCATGGCCCATCTTGCCGATGAAGTATTAGATGCTGGTAGGGGGGAACTTTGAGAATGTACTAGAATAGTACTTTAATTAAGCATATGAAGCAATTGGTGTGTATTTTTATCATTATGGCCAAAAGACTTGTATATTTATAATGCAGGAAAACTTAAATTTGTCTGTGACCAAGCTGTTTTTCTAAAAGCCAGTTCATAGCTGGGGTAGGATTATGCAGGCAGACTGATGCTTTTTATGAACAGGATGAGAAGGAAAGATTCTGTTTTACAGGAAAAGAAAGTGGTTATTTAATGACAAAAATCAGATCAATTTGATTCTTCCAACTGGAGTATCTTACTGAAGTCAATGTACTAAATACGAAATAACATCATACTTACCTAGCAATAGTTAAGTCACTTTCAGTGGGGAAATCTGCATTAGACATTTGAAATAAAATGGTCAGCTACAGTGAAGAATACTGATCCTCAAATACCAGAGTGGTACAGTTACTGAAAGGTGTGTAACACTACTGGGAAGAAGTTGGTTCTCTGGATGGTATGGAATGGGTTCTGTCTTTGATGTTGCCTGTCAAGACACATTGATGTAGAGGGATGTTCGTGGTGCATTAGGGCTGGAATAACACTTGAGCAAATTAAATTGGTTGGGCCGATTGACTTCTCAGTTCTGTTCTGGATCATATCAAGAGTAGATAGGATGGATAACTGAGAAATAAAAGCATTATTGTTTTTAAATAGAAACATTGTAATAGAAGGAAAAGAATTACTAGATTTGAAGGCGGAAAACTGAGTTTATAGGTGAATTGGATTATGGATTTGTATTCCAACCCACTGTTGAGTCACAAAGTATTAAAGCTAAAAGGCAACTTAAAAAATCAGATACAGTGTCTTTTTTTATTCTTTTAAATCATCCTTTGATGATTTCTAATCTGTTGCTTACCAGTGCTCAAAACTTGTTATTTTAATTTTAAAATAGTCAAATCAACATCTGTTGTTAACTTGCTCATTTAAAATATTTGGCCATCGCAAATTAGGTCTAGTAATGGTCTGGTTAGCTATGATGCTTGGAACAGTTTAATGGATTTGGTAGGAAATGTGGACATGGAATTTTGTAAAGCATTTAGTGTCATGATGTGTTTGGTTGTTTCAGCATTTTCTTTCTTATGAACTCAAATCAACTTGGAAATGGTTGAGATGATACAATATGGAAAGCATCAGAAAGTTAATTATGGGATACACTATTAAATTAGAATGATGTCTTTGGGTAGCATGGACAGCATTGTGTATCTATACTTAATATGCAGTATACTTTCTGCCAGGCTTGTAGAAGATTTGGAAATGCAGGTGATGGTATTTTAATGTATAAAGAAATCAAAACCACAAAAACTTCATATATATATACCAGCACAGTTACGAAATGCAGACAATTGTATTTTAAATGTGCTACTGCTTTTGTATTTCAGAAGGTTAATTTAGGAACACAGAGTGAAGGTAAATAGCCAGTTTCCTGCCAACTAATTATGAGTGTTCACTGTCTTTCCAAGTGGTTTAGTTTCCATATTGAATTTCCAGCAGCCTCTTAAATACACTTTTAAAAATCCTCAAAAAAAAAAAAACCACCAAAACACCCCAATACAGACATATTAATAGGGAAACCAGTTTATCTGAAGAAAATCTAACAGTATATTACATATATGCAAAAATAATGCAAATTATTTGATGTAAGCTAGAAGACTATGCATTATTCATAACCAAATTATGTAAGTATTTTTTTTATGTACATATCAATCTTAAAGGTTCAAGAGTAATTCATTTCACAACCATGGAACTTCCATAATAATCATGCAATAAAATGAAGTATTGCCTCTCTGCTGGCATCTTGCTTAAATGTCATAGGGATTTGACTGTCCAGTGATTGCTTGAACTGCTGTTACCTGGAATCTCCAGTTCTCTAGCTGATCTATAGATACAGATACACGTCTCTGCAGCACTATCTCACATCAGAGGTAGATTAAAAATAGTGGGGAGGATGGTCATAAAAGGAAAGTAAAGATCTGTATCACAGATAGTAAACATTGATATTTAAGTATGAGTCTGTTGAGCTAGCTGTTCATTTCTTGTAGTCAATCTAACTAATTTCACTACAGGAGTTGAGAGAGCTATTCAGCTGACAAATTTAGGCTGCTTTAGAATGAGCTATGTAGTTGTTCAGGTTTTGTTGGCTGCTAGGCTATATCTTGGCTAGAAGAGAAGTTTACAGATATGTAGCTCATACACATGTTTATATGTCTGGAGCTGTATCCTAGTAATGTTGTCTATTTATTTTTAAATCAACTTTGTTAATGAATTTAGTGATAATATGCTACCATGCAGCATTTTATGATGTTTGTTTCTTTGATTCTCTGTAACAGCCAAAGAAATTTACTGTGACTTCTGCTCTTTGGCATAGAGCACAATGTTAGAATGTACCTGGAGGGCAAGTAGTTACCAAGTTTCAAGGGGCAAGTACTCTGTGAAAATAATTTGCAAAACTGAAACAGTAGTTCTGTATGTAACTTTAAAAAACTTCTTTTGCATTATGAGGATTGCTTAGCATTTGGTGTCTATTAATTTACTTTACTGAAGTTTAAAATACAGTTGTAGCCTGAAAGAAGCCAGCAATGTTAATGTAAGTTGAAGTAGAAGGGGTAGATGCACGATTTGATAAATGTGACATTGTTAATATGTTACACCATCTTTTTTGAAGGCATGTGATGAATTTTCTTTTTCATATTAAAGTCATTGTCTTAATCATCTTGTAGAGCAAAAATATCAGCTCTACAACAGTGAAAGTAGAGCTGGAATCTGTAAGCCAAAGAATTTAAAGACTTGTGGTAAAAATATTTTATTGAGGGGGTATCTTTAGAATTGTATATTTAATAGCTGTTCATTGTGTTCAATAGGATGTTATTTGGGGCTGAGTGGAGAGGTAGAAATTTCAGGCCCAATTTTTATTCCCCAGTGTAAGACACTTAAGATTCAACTAGACAGGGTGTTGGGACATGTAATCTAGGTCATGCTTGCCTAGAAAGGCTGGACCAAGATAATCCTTGAGGTCCCTTCTAACCTGGTATTTTATGATTCTGTGATTATTTTTGTGGAGGTAACTTGAAGAAAACTTGAAAGTATAGTTACTTGAAAGATGTTTCATTCTGGAAGCATTTGCCTCCCAAATCTTTTACATTCACTGCTTGGAATGTGTGAAGACAAATTTCTTCTTTTAGTTCTGCCAGGGCTATATGTAGGTTTATAAAACATAGAAGAGATGGGGTTTTCATCCATTGAGTGTAATGTTAGACAGTGATGAGTATATATAATTTATGGAAAGGCAGCTTTCTGGAAAAGCAGATCATACCCTTTTGTGATTGTACATTTTTTTATTATTTTTTTTTTTCCAGTGAATTACAGCAAACTCAGCCTTTCCAAAGAATCAGTTTTAAGAAGGAAGAAAAGGCTGAAAGGGATTCTTAGAGACTTTAAGAACAAATGCAAGTTAGGGATTGCAAAGAGGAAAGTGACAGGATAGGAAATCCTTAATTGTGAAAATCGTATATAGAACTGCTGGGAGCACTTAATGGATACTTCCAGAACTATGGCCTGCATGCTATTGTATGTGGTCTCATATCTTGTTGGAACCTAGGCCATGGTGAGGGAGTGAAATTTTAATTGCTGCACTTCTCATTTGATACAAGTACTTCTGGGATCTCCAGGAGCCAAGGCAGGTAAATTCTGGCAGGTTAAATCATATGAGATTATTTTCACACTGTGTAAAAATTTTTTGCCTCTTTGGACCCCTGAAAGGGTTTCCTACTCATATGATCATTTCCCTTTCACAATGGGAGCATCTTAGAATAAGGTGCTAGAATAGAATAAGGACACAGATAAGTTCAAGCTGGGCAGCCAGAATGGTTCATTCCCACAGCTCACTTTCCCTTTGCTACAAATTTTCACCTTTACAGGAGAACATTTGAGTTATGTGTGGAAAAGGTCTCGAATCACTTGAATCGCAAGTTTCCTGGTAGTATCTACCATGTAAAATACATGCTGATTACCTAGATCTGGGGAGGCATAAATTGGCAGTTCTGGAGTGCTTCATGGCTGTTTCAACTGTTCCTCCTATGGGAGAGCAACCTCTGGAACAGGGATGGTGCACAATGCTTGATATGGTCACAGCTTTGGTTCTTTGACTCAGATTTGCTTTCAAGAATATCATATACAGTGTATACAGCTTAATTTAAAGTTTTGGTGAGCATTATTCCTTAAACAGATCCAGGTCTTTTTCACAACCTGATGAAACTGCATTGCAGCCTCTTTCTAATTAGGCTTCTTTGCCTCACCCTCCAAAGGCTACATGAGAATATTCACTTGAATTTGCCTCTAAAAGAAGAAATGAACGCTAATTATTTATCATATATTTAACCAATGTTCTTTATTAGCACTTCTGTCATTCCCAAACACCATCCACCTTCCTTGTTGCTCAGAGTCCTAATTTTGTCCTTGAGAAGGCGAGATATGTATGGAGGAGGGAAGCCACTTCACATGTTACATCCACTCTCATATTCTTGTTTATCATGTATCTTTAAGGGAAGAAATAGGCCATGTGAGAGTAGCCTAAAGAATGTCACATTTGGAAGATTTTTATCTATGTAAGTTGCATAGCTGGAGTGTCCCAAGACTAAGTGTGAGGAAATAATTGGTAAGATAATGTATGAAAGTAAGTAACCTTCAGAATATGCATTAAAAGGCTAGCATAAGCTTGACAAAAATAAATCAGTAAGAAAATTCAAGATTTTCTGTATGGGTCTGCAGAGATACTTTGTTGTCTTGAGTGGATTTTTATATTGTTAAAAATGATTTACATGCGAACTAGTGCTTTTGTGTTTACTTTTGTTGTATTTGTGTTGCATTTGGCCTTTCAAATTGGCAGTAAAGGAAACAATTACAAGTGAACAGCATTCAAGATACTTAACTGCCAAGCAGTGCTAACATAATATTTTCTCTCATGTATCACAGATAGGTATGCCACATTATTTATGGCTAAATATTAAAAGTATGTCTTTTTATTTTTTTTTTAATTCAACAGATTCAGAACATTCCTATTACAATTTAATCCTGAAAAAAGCAGGACAATTTTTATCCAATTTGCAAATCAATCTACTGAAGTTTGCACTTTCGATACGGGCATATTCTCCAACTGTTCAGATGTTTCAGCAGGTGATTATATTATCTGATATATTTGGTTCATGATTTTATGTGGTATTTTGGCTGCAGAGTAGGGAATGTTCATTGTTGCAGTTCTGTAAAATATATGTCAACAGTATTTGCAATCAAACATGATCCATTTATGAAAGTGATGCCTAATAAGCTGGTTATATTGATAGATGCAAATATCCATGTTTAATTGTATAGATAGCATTATTTTCAAGGTAGGATTTTTGGAATTGTTCATTGTTGAAACTCAGATCATGGAGAATTTTTGCATTGCTTTAAATAAGCCTGTGGGAATTCAGACATTTTCAAATTAGGAAATTTCCTATAGCTTCAAGTGATTTATATTTGTTCCTTAGTGGGCATCTCATCTCTCATTATTTTAGTATTTGAAATATTGAAAGACTAGTCAAATACCTGGTTTGTTTGGGGAAAAGCATGAGGACGTAATTTCACTGTGCCTCTAGCCTAAAATTGCTCCTCCTCCTTTTAGCAATGCCACCTTCAAGATAAAGTGAGAAATCCATATTTCTAAAAGGGTATAAGCTATAATAAAGTTAGGGGGGTTTGCAAGTGTTCTCTGGAGCAATATCATCATCTCAGACTCGTATCTTTCCATTTTTATTTTTCAGCTTGTGAATCTGGAGTCATTGATAATCCATATGATTCCCACTTTACATGGGAAGAGCTGAATAGAGTTAAAAAAAAAAAAAAAGAAAAGAAAAAAAAGGCAGGAGGGTGAAGTAGGAAGGGGAGAGAGAACCAAAACTGACGTTAATTGTTTGGGATTTATGTGTTAGTACTCAAATCTTTGTACATCAACATGATTGCTGATAGTGACTAAAATGAAAAATACCTCAGAGTACTGCATGTGATTTCAGCTTTGGAGGTTTCTCAGCCCTGTCTTTACAGAACATAAATGGACTTACATTTTCTGGAGCATGACTGCATTTGATAGACCACATCACACAAAGGTTATAAGGTCTTAATCTTGTAATATTTTTCACATGTACCCAATTCTGAATGAGCTTAATTAGAAGTACAACTCAATGACAGCTGATCAGTTATTTTAATCAAAGGGATATGAGTTTAAGTTGAAGTGCAATCAGAGCATTCTGGTTGAGTATAATTGTTGACATATTAGATTGCAGCTGATGAACATCCACCAGAAGGCTGCAGTGCATTTGTGGTTATCCATGAGAAGCACACCTGTAAGACTAATGAAATAAAAAAGCTGCTGAAGAAGGCTACTAAGAGGTAAATTTAATGATTTGTTTTAAGAGGAAAAATAGATTACTGAAGTGGAAAATGTGTTATTGCATATATACTTGTAGTATTTTGAAATTTCTTGTTCTACTTACTTGATAATGCCAAGCCCATAAATACCAGTTTACTGGATATTTAAAGAGTTACCCATTTAGGGTGTTACTTTAAGAGTTACTTTTGGTTTTGAAGTATTTTAAACACTCATGAGACTTCATCAATTACCATAGGATCATTTAGTTTGGAAAAGATCTGTAATATGGAGTCTGACTGTTAACCTAGCTCTGCCAAGTCAACCACTAAACTGTGTCCCTAAGTGCCACATCCACATGTCCCCCAAACACCTCCAGGAACAGTGACTCAACCACTTCCCTGGGCACTCTGTTCAATGCTTGACAACTCTTTCGGTGAATAAATTTTTCCTAATACCCAATCTAAACCTCAGCTAGTGCAGCTTGAGGCCGCTTCTTCCCATCCTGTAATTGTTACTAGGGAAAAGAGACTGACACCCACCTCACTACAACCTCCTTTTGTGTAGCTGTAGAGAGAGATAAGGTCTCCTTAAAATAAAATTATAGAGCTTTGCTTCTCTATCTGCATGGATATTTTCATATTTCTTTTCCCTGGTATGACATAGTCGTGTTTGAGCTAGTGTACTTTCTATACAAACTTACCATTTAATGCATCTCAGATAGTACTTCTGCTGACAGACCTTTCTGTGTAGTCGGTGCCACTGAGTTATAAGGACTTGGTAGAGGAGCCTGTCTCAGCTGGCATAACCTTTCCTCACCTTGTGCTTGACTTCGCACCTATCAAGTATTTTTGCAGGCTTTGTCCTGTGGAAACAAGCATTGGTCCAGCATGAATTTATATCATGAAGTAAAATATGTAGAACCTATTAAAATAACAAATCTTAATATAGTGAGAGTAAAATGTTTAATTTCTATTTTAAAAACTTAATAATTTGTATTTTTTCAAGAGCTGTATGTAAGATTGTTTTGGTTGGTTAGTTAGGGGTTTTTTCTCCTGCAGTGGTCAAAGTCACCATAATATGCATTAGTGTCCATACCACTTCATGCAGTTATGTAGAACTGAAAGTTTACTTAGTAGGGCATATTTCTTGAATTTTGCTTTCTATCAAATACAAACTGGGGGAAAAAAGTGAAAACCTGTAAATTTGTCTCTGGGGATGGTTGATTCTGAAAACAGTTTTATGTTCTACAGGTGTTATTTATGGTATTTTCTGAGCCCACTGACAGAATTACAACTTACTAAATCATTGTCTTTTACTTATTCAATAGCCATGGTTTTTGCAAAAACACTTCACTTCCACTTTGTAATGTCCTATTTTTGACTATTAATTCTGCCTCTCTTATATTCTAGCATAAATTATTTGTACTATATTTTTGCCTTTAAAATTACAGTGAATTCTTCTGGTCATATATTAAGGCATCATGAGGCCTTAACATTTTACCACTATTCTAAAGCCGTTAACTGGTTTCAGCGCATTTTCCTTTCTGGAGATACAGTCCCCACATTTACAAGATTCTGGAAAATCACAGTACTAAACAATAGAACCCTGAAGTATTCAGAATTGAAAGAGTTACACTTCTAGAAATCATTAACTTCGAGAACTCACAACAGAGCTGAAGTTCTTTCTCTTAAATTGCTCTGGTGGTTTGGGTAGTTTTGTGTGCACCAGTCATTCCAACTTTCATCAGAGCTGCAGGGGCAAAATCTTGATCAATTTATTCTCCTCCCCACCCCAAAAGTAGTTGTGTCACTCAAATATTTACAATTCCTGGAGCTAGACTTTGAGAAAAATATGTTCACCTTCAGGTAATTATTTCCATTATTATTTCCAGTGATACTCTGGGTAGTAGATGTGTTTCACTCGTGCTGGAGATGTTTAGCCTAGGTGATACAGGTAGGGCTCTGTTCTGTTCTTTTTCAGTGTGGTGAACAGCTGCTACATGAGACAGTGTGCCATCTGGGTGTTGATTCCTCTAAGCCAGTCATTCATTCCCTCTGTGGCTTTTATGAAAAGAGATATTTTTGTTTTATTGATTCCTTTTGATTTGAAAGAGTTTTCCTTCGTGTTTCACTTTGTTTTTCTGTCTTCTCTCTGTCATGACTTCCACTTAAGCCAGGCCAATGTAAGCTAGGCTTTCAGTTTTGTCCAGAAGTTCCATATCAGAGAAGGACACTAGAAGTGTTCTATTTTTAGGGATAACAGTTCCAAATCTCACTGAAAGAAAAGGCTACAGCACTATTTTGTGCAGATCCATCAGCTCAACCTGAGATTCAGAAAGCCTCAGGTACTTTGGACTCAGGAGAGCCCTAAGAGTTTGTATGTGAAAATCAAGGTTTTGCTTCATCCAGTCCTTTATACAGCAGCTACTGTGATTTTGTTGCAATGGATTGCATGGCTCTGATTGTAGGTATTTTGTGTGTAGGTGCAGTGGGCTCTATTTGCCAAAGGAGAATCTGCTGTTAAACAGTTGAGATTGCTTATCTTGCTAACAGTCCAAAACACAACACTAGGATTTACATGGCTTTTGCTGCCAAGAGCAAAAGCATTGATAGGAGTCACATTTTGCTCAAAACAGTCAGTGCCTCAGAAGGCTTGTCAGTATGCATCTCTGCTGTCGTCTGTCCATCATATTCCTTCTGCATCCCATCTTGGCAACTATCTAGGGAAGTGTATAGTCGCCTGTACTACCCTAGTAACTGGTTAGTGAGCGCTGAGCTCCACATACGTGTTTAGGGTTGGTTTTCGTAAATTTTTTTGGCTGCCCAGCTGCTTTCAGGCAGCCTTCTCATGAGACTGAATCTCTTATAGCAGGAAACTAGCTGTCAGCTTTATCTTCTCACTACTCTTTACTGTTGAAGAGAAACAGAGAGCAGAGGCTTATCTTGGACTTACAAGGGCTGAATACTTTAATTCTCCAATCCAAGGTCATTATGGTAACCCTATGGAGTGTTATTTCACTGCAGCACTTACTGTCAGTGAAGTCTGTTCGTGATGGTATAAAATGCTTCCTTTGAGACTGTCAGTATTCAAGAAAATCCTGGCAGCACTTTGTACCCATCTTCTGAGAACAGGAGTAATTTTTCTGCTATACCTAGGTGACTAATTAGGGAAAGAGAAGCTTCCTTGATTTAGGTTTTTAGCTCTCTAAAAGTGACTGTGGCAGACTCTCTGCATATGAGAAGGAAATTGCACAAGTCACATCCCATATTATGCTTTCACTGTGGCAAATCTGGATCAGTTCTTGAGCAGAGCTTACTCATTCAGGTGTTGTTTCGCACTCCCTGATGCCACCTGCTTTGCCTTGTCCTGCAATGACAATAGGAAAGCTTGTCTGATACTTCTGTGACGTGTGGCTGCATGCACCCAAGTTAATTCTCAAACCAGGCCCCTTCTTTTGTCTCTGCCTTACAGATGTGGTCTTCAATTGCGTATCTACCAATCTACATAGGATGTTGACGTTAAGGCCCTGAGAAACCTGATACAAATTGATTTTGCTTTGAATGAAGGTTTGGAGCAGATGGCCTCCAAAGGTCCTTTGCAATGTAAATTATTCCATGATTTTATATCCCATGATTTTATATTGAAAATATTCCTAAACTGTGTTCTGCTCATGCGTTTCCAGTGTGACTTTCAGTGAGCATCTACTACACACATTTCTGTAGTGTGTGTTGGATGAGAGTTTCTGAACTTGTCTCTGAGAGGTTTGGAGGAAGTTTACTGGTCTTTCAAGTGTGACTATACAAAGGCAACTTTGAAAAAGAAGTGTACTCATCAAAAATTAGCACCTTGAGTAAATTATTCAACCATATCCTCTGTTCTTTTCCATCTTTCCTAAATGTTCTGGTTCTGGCTGGAATAGGGTTAGTATTCTCTCTAGTAGCTGGTGCAGTGTTGTGTTTTGGCTTTAGTCTGAGAACAATGCTGCTAACATATGGATGGTTTAGTTGTTGCTCAGTGCCACTTGGCCTGACCAGGGACTTTTCAGTTTCCCACACTCTACCAGTGAGGAAGGGTACAAGAAGCTGGGAGGGAGCAGAGACAGGACAGTTGACCCAAACTAGCCAAAGGGGTATTTCATACCACAGCACATCATGACCAGTGTATAAACTTGGGGAGATTGACTGGGAAGTGCTGATCTCTCCTCAGGCACAGTCTGGCCATTGGTTTGTGGGTGGTGGGCAATTGTAGTGTGCATCACTTGTCCTTCTTGGGCTTTATTCCTTCCTCTTTTTTCTTTTTTTTTTTTACTAATAATAATTGATACAGTTATTATTTTACTTTATTTCCATTACTAAGCTGTTCTTATCTCAACCCATGGGTTTTACCTTTTTCTGATTCTTCTCACCATCCCAGCTGGGATTGTGAGTGAGCAAGTGGATGCATGGTAATTAGTTGCTATTAAACCATGGCATGAGGTTTTATTCAAAAGATGTTTGCAGTTGTCTAAAAAATCACTGCAGGTATAGAAGACATAACTTTTCTTGTCCTGGCTTTCAGTGGGGAAAGTATGTAGTCAAAATCTGCAAAATTAATTAAATTAACAGAGCTTGATGGTGTTAGAGAAAGATGACCTCAGTTAGTTTCCATGGGTGTTAGCAGCTGTCTCAAACTTCACTGATTATCCTTCTGCTACTCTGTTACTCACTGATTGCTTTGTACATCTCTAATAGATGTAATGAATCATTTAAATTAAAAGCTTCAAGCTGTAACTGTTGCACAAATCTCCAAGTGCTATGCTTTTCATTTGCTATTTATGTTGTGATTTGGTAAAATATATAAAATTATTTATAGTTGATGCTGATTTTTCAGTTTCTTAGACTTTGATTTGCAGATTTGGTGTTCTAAGTTTATGAGTAATCATGATTATTTTGTGCTGATTTTAACATGGTTTGTATATTTTTAGCATTGTTAGATTTTTCAATTATGAAGTAGGAAAACTGCCACTGTTACTTTTTTTTTCCTGAATATATAGTATCATGATTCTTTGTTTTAAAACCAGACCCAGACCGTATCTTTTTAAGGGAGATCATAAATTCCCAACTCTCAAAGAGGATGGCCCAGTGGTTGTTCTTTATGCAGAAATGGGTACGAAAGACTTTGTCAAATTCCACCGGATTTTGTCTGAGAAGGCGCAAAAAGAGGAAATTGTTTATGTTCTCCGGCATTATGTTCAGGTATGCCATCCAAATTAATGTTGATTCAGTAAGCTGTTAGTGTTCTGTCTTTATTTTGCTTGGGTTTTTAGCAGAACACATTTTCTACATTTACTTTTGCATTTGCCTAAATTGCTTGCAATATATGTTCTCTTTTTAAAGCTTCCTAGATGAAGTAATTCACTTAATACAAGCTCTGAAGCTAATAAAACATTATAATATTACCTAATTATGTATGCAAGCACTGTTTGCATCTCTAATTGATCTTGAAACATGTCTTTTTGCATTGTATGCCTAGATTTTCTATGTTGTACAAAGATCTTGGATGAATCTTGGTGCAGGAGACTGAACGTATTAGTATTAGATAGAAAGTCAAGTTTAAAAATAATTAATTGTACTTATAATTTTCTCTGTTCTCTGTATAATCCTCTGTGTTCATTGTAGTACAGCAGCATGGGCTGTCACAGTCAACATCACTGACCAGTTTTTTGATGCTTGCATTGCACAACGTCAGTATTTTAAACATAATGTTTCAGAATGCTTTTCTTAACTTACTTTTATCCCTAAAACAAAACAAGACAGATACCAGTACATGGAACTACATGGTCCCCAGTTTTGGCTATTGGAAGGTTTTAGTAATATGTATTCAAAGAACAGCTCTTAAATAGTGTGGCTAATACGGATAATTCAGGGACATTACATTCATAGTTTGCAGATGACTTTGAGGTATTTGCTTACAGTAATGAAATATAGAATTTGAGGAAACCAGTCTTCAATTCTAAATAGTGTGTGGTCTAGATTTATTGAACTTAGTTCCTTTATGCACTTTTACTTTAATCAAATACCTACAGTCTCCTTGTTCTGACCAGTTTATGCACCCAGTTACCTTGCTTCCTGGGCTTTTTCCTCTCTCTGTTCAGGCTGCTCTTCTCTTTTCTACCTTTCTCACAACCTACATTTTTATTCTTGGCTCCCAACTGGGACAATTCCTCCTCCTTTTTTTTTTTTTTTTTTATTATATACCAGGAGAGGGAGCATTGAGAGCAGAAGAGGTACAGTCTTTCTGCTGTCTTGTTTTATTTTTGCCAGTATCACTGAGTGCAGTGCTCTCTCTGCATAGATTTGCTTAGAGGACCAACTGGGTAAACCTCCAGCCCTGCTGGCTTTACAGCTGTGGGTTGGAGGATTCTTAATACAGAAGGATTCTTACAAATTGCAAGCTAAAGCTGAAAGGCTTTGAAAAAATTTCTGCCATGCATGTGCAAATTGCATTTTGGAAAGGGAACTTTTGTACATTTTGGGCAAATTAGGGCACATTTTCAGAAATAACTATGCCCTGAGTAATTATGCTATTGAATATCAAACTCCCAGTCCACAGCTAGAAATAGTTATTACTTGTTTTTAATAAGTAGAGACCTGTTTTTAATAGTGATACTTTTAACACATTTTCTCAGTCCCTCTTGCAGAAAGTGATTAATTCTGTCATCAAAATTTTTTAAATAATTCCTCTAATGCAGAAACAGAGAATTTCCTCCTGACATCTTGAAAGTCTGTCAAAATTACAAATAAATCAGTAACAATGTAAAATATTAATTGTAAAGCATCAATAATTATGTAGGGTGCTACAAAATCTACCTCTAATCATAGAATGGTTTGGGTTGGAAGGGAACTTAATGATCATCTAGTTCCAGCATCCCTGCTATGGGCAGGGATACCTTCCACTAGACCAGGTTGATCAAGGCACCATCCAGCCTGGCCTTGAGCACAGCCAGGGGTGGGACAGCCACAGCTTCTCTGGGCAACCTGTGCCACTTATAGTGAAGAATTTTTTTCTAATAACTAAATCTGCTTTCTTTCAGTTTGAAGCCATTACCTCTTGTCCTGAAGGACTGTTCTAGTACTTCTAATATGTGAAGGGACTACAATTTCGACAGAGCCTTTTTGTGGTCTGCGGGAGTTAAAGAAGGCCTTTGCTCTCTGTTACACACCTTCTCAATGGACTTTCAATTTGTCTTACTTGATTCTTGTAATTTGTTTTGTGTAGCATTTAGTATTTTGAATCCTAAACTGAAAGATGAATTAAACTTCTTTTTTACTGCCATAATTGTTTAAATTTACAATATTAGATATTGTTAATCTCCTATAAATATAGTTTTTTAAATTATATTTTTTGTTCTGTTAAAATAATGTCAAACAGAAACCAAGTTCCAGAAAAATGTATTTATCTGGATATGGTGTAGAACTTGCAATAAAGAGCACAGAATATAAAGCGGTGGATGACACACAGCTCAAAGGTATGTATCTCATCAGAGATACTATTGAAATATATTACAATCTTTGGTTGTAAAGTCAGTAATATTTTAAAATACTTAATTTCTTATTAGAGAAGGAAATCTCAAGCATTAGGAACTAAAACATCAAAATATATGTAAGCATTTGTAAACAGTTGTGCTCAGAATATATGGTTCATTACCTGACCTCTGATTGTTGTGTTCTATGGCTCTTCAAAACGTAATCCATTCTTCTTACTTTCAATAAGTACAAGATTGTTTAACCTTTGTTCTTCAGTTACTTCATGTTTGTTGGCATCTCTTAACTGCTAATTACTACAGCATCTAGTAGTTTCAGAGGTGAGGGGTTTTTCTGTGAATTTAAGTGGAAATACTTTCACAATCCTTCTGTTGGAAGGATGTGCAGAATCATAGGATTTGGTACCAGTGTATGTTACTACATGTTGAAATGGGACATTTACCACAGAAAATGGTAGCTATAGAATTTTGATACAGATAAATTACTTTGCATGGACACTTGCAGGATATAGAGGTAGTTAACTCTCTTTGGTAAGGCTAAGGTTTAATACCCTTTGAATCAAGTAAAAAATAGTTTATTTTCTTTAAGGTAAAGAAACTGATCTCTTATATCAAATGGTAGCTGGAGATGCAAGCACTCTAAAGTCATCATGCTTTGCAAGCATGAATTTAGTAGTAGTTGGCTGATAAGAGTTATGCCTTACCACTTAGTCAAACTGAGGAGTGGCTATTTTTGGGAAGTGAACTATTTAACCATATCAATTTCATTTATGTAAAAAATGTAAATATTGTATGAATTATATTTAAACATTAATTTGAATGTTGATAAGTTCTGTGAAGTGATTCATTCTGATGCCAAAATAAGAAGGTGTAAATATAAATCTAATTGAAATTACATCTCAGAATGACAACTTTCTGATTGTATGTTTCTGTTAACCATTCTGTAATTCATAAGAACATAATACATCAGTAACTTTCTTGGTTTATATCGTCTACATGTGCTATGTGTTCAGAAACAAATGAGACAAAGGAAGACGAAGATGAGGAGGAGGAGGAAAGTGATATTCAAGGATTTCTTTTTGGCAAATTAAAGTGAGTTGATATAACTAAACTTCTACATTTGTTTCTGGAACCTGAACCAAAAATATTTATTTTTATTTAGTAGAATTATGAGAGATTTATGTTGGAAATTATTTTTCTCTGGGCACCATGCTCTTCTTCAGGTCTGACTAGTGATTTGTATGCTCAGTAGCTGGATTTTTGTCAGTGATGGTAGTTTATGAAAGATGTTCTCAGCATTGTCTCTCCTATATCCTTTGTAGGTAACACAATAAACTGTGTACAGTTACAGTTTATAGTAGTTAGTATGCAGTTAGTTATATGTTATTCTATAGTAAACCAAATATATTAATTATATAAATAGTATTGACACACTTCTACTGTGTGTTAATGCTATTTAATCTTTGAGTTCATATATTCCGTCAAAATTTTGTGGCAGGGTTTGAGACAGAACACTACAAAACACTGAACTCATCCTTGGAATTAACTGGCTTTTATTTCTCAGAAATCATTTCTTCTCACCACAAATCCTCATTTTTTCTTAAGAATGAATTAAAATTCTAATTCTTGCTTATTACCCTAAGAATACAGTATTAGCTGTGAGCAATATTATGGATAAAAGCAGATGCTGATGTATGTCACGGATGTGTTTTTAAAAAAAAATATGGTTTCTTGTAGACAGATGTATCCTGATCTGAAAAATAATCTGAAAGAGTTTAAAAAACATCTAATTGAAACTACTGACAACATGGAACCACTGAAGGTTTGGGAGCTACAGGGTATGTATGGCATTTTTTTTTAACACAGTATTCTGTTTAATTGTCCTTTATTATGTTGATGTTTCAGCATTATGATAAAAGCTTCTTTTAGAAAGAGATGTATAGTTTCATAAAAAGGCAGTATTATCTCAAGTATTAAAGAAGAATGTGTTGCTGTCTTGTCGTAGTATTATGTGCTAGAAATTAAAGGAGCGTTGAAATAGTTTTATGAGATGGAGCATCGTAACTAGCTCTGCTGATTTTAAAGACAGGAGTTATATTGGTTGTTTTTCTACCTGATATTTTATGTCAGATGTTAAATTTAGTTCCAGATATTTTTTTGAGAGGTCAGGCGAAAAATATAATTTTGACGTGACTGTTAAGACAAAAGATAGGTTGACAGTTTATTTTCTTTGTAAATTCTAACTTTATCAGTGCACTGGAGTTCATGTTGGTACTTTTTTTTAATACAACATCAAATGGAAAAACATGCTTTTAAAAGAAGTTGATTTCTGAACAGCTTCTGTGCGATGACTTGCAGGACATTTTGTAGCTTGAATGGAATTATACATCACTCTAAAATACATCCCTAAAATGTCAAAACGTTATAACACTTAAGTTTAGGCAACTAAATTTTGCCTGTTACATTCTTCAGTTTTAGAGGAGAACCTGTTTAAAACTGATTTGTCTACACTACTATAATAGCAGTGCAGTGAAGGAGACAGGGCAGTCATCTGAACTTGAGTTTCTTTTGGGGATCCTCACTATAACAGAGCTTGTTAGCAGTGTCCAGCCTGAAACTAGCTATTTGAGATCATTGTAGTTTATTTACAGTCTTTTATCAGTGAAATCCTCTTCAGCTGCAGGGTTTATCTTGGTCCAAAAAAAAATATTTCAAAAAAATTGGATTTCAGTTCTAAGAAATCTACTGTGCAAATAAAAAGAAAATTCTCTTTTTGTCTATGTAATTTTTTTACACAATTTAATATCACTCTCTTGATATTCAAACAGAAGTGACTGTAAAACTTTGATCCCTTTGGTGACTATCTTCACAAAAGCCTATACAGGGTTTAGTGCTCTGTTTAGTGATGGCCTTTTCTGTGGTGTCACGGCTGTGTAAATGAAAAGTGAAATTGGTGCTGCTCCCCAAGCAGTGTTGAGAGTAGTTAAGTGTTCGGATGCTGTTTGTTCAGTGCCAGAAAGACTGGTACTGGCTTGTGAGAAGTACGTTCAGGGCCTTCTCAGACAGGGGGTCTTCAGCCCCCTCTTTGTATGGAGCAGTTGTTTTGTTAGTCTTATTCCTGACATAACTGGTAGCTTTCTCTAATTCATTTTTAATAACTAATTACAGCAGCTGAGTAATGGCTCAGGTACTCTTTGATTTCTCTTAATTAGCTTCCAAGTAAAAATGTAATTAAATTTATCCTGAACTCCTTCAGCTACAGGGCATACTTCTATTTATAAGTGACCGTTTATAAATACCTATTTATATATACCATTCAGGAGTTGTCTTTCAAGAGCCTTTATGTTTTAGGTAGGTAATTAGTTTTACTATTCATAGTGAAAAATGATGCACAGAGTACCAGTGTGGTATTCCCTTTAATAACTCATTTTTTTGTGTGTGAACAGCCTCTTGATCTCTAGTGCTTCCTTAGCTTTCAAAGTATGCTTCGTGATCTGTTTTAAGCTCAGTATCATCTTTTCACCAAAGTGCCCTACACTGCTCTCAGCTGTGTTAGGGTGCCACAAAGGGAAGTTTGTAAGTGACAGTCCCTGACCAGAGATAAGCAAAAAGATAAAAAGACATGTCAGTTTGCCTCAATGGGATTTGAATATTTGTACTCTAGATGGTCATCATAAATTAGAAATGAGTAATAATTTATGAAGGATTTTAAGTGAGTGTCCTAAGTTTAGCTGGTGAAAGATTACTATCTATAGTAACAGCAGCAATTGGGTATTGCTTCACCTGTTCACAGCTCATGTGGCTGTTGAAAGGAATCTGAAATATTCTTTTTTTGAAATGGTGATCTCGTTGTACATTTTGTTGAAAGTATTAAGAAATACCAAGTTAACATTCCAACTGTCAGGCTCACCTTTTCTTCCAGCCAAGTTGTACCTTATCAGCCTGAACTAGGAACCCATGCTATTCACTTTTCTTCAGCCCTTTTTTTTCTTTTTTTAAATTCCAAATTGAATTGTAAAGATGGTGTGAAGTTAATCTAGGAAGCATCCCCTATTGCTTTCTGCCCAGCAGTTTTTACTATATTTAGTATCAGCTTTCCTCAAACTGAATAACCTGAGGCCTTCAGTTGCTGCTCCAGTGTCTTAACTATCAGATTATGAGGAAAAAGCATCATTTCCCTGAGGTATCCAAAGTACACAGAAGCACCTGGTATATTATTGCCTTACCCTATTGGTAGCAAAATTGGGTTTTCCCTAGTCTCACGTGCCAAGATTTGTCACACACAAGTTAGGCAACAGGGAAGGCTAGCTGAATTCCATCATTCTTTTTTCCAGTGGATAGGCAAATGGATTATAAACTGTCCTGATATATGAAAATTACTTCATTCTGAGAAGAAGCATAGAAAAAAAGTGAGATCACTTTAAAAATGATGCTAGACACTTAGAAGAACTGAAATTTGGCAGTAGATTGGCCTTCGTTTCCTGAGTCTCCATATTCTCTTCCTGTGAAATTGCTACAACTCTTGAAAATTGTACACCTCACATGCTCAATACAGCCTTTTACATTTAATATATCTGTTCTCTGAAAACCTTGTGAAGTCCTGGAGCTGGAAAGATCTTGCTCTTTACTAGTTATGGGTGTCTGCGGGTTGGTGCCTATCTAGGTTTGAGCATGATACCCTTGTGATGCTCTCATAATACCAGATGATGATTTGTCTGTTTTTTTTTCACTATGTTATTGTAAACTTAGAAATTATATGTGCAATGCGTATGCTCAAGATGGCCTAGCAGATTTCTTGTAGGAAAGCCTGAATTTGGTATTTCCAACTTTTAAGTGCCTTTTTGACCTTAATAATATTTTACAATATATAATTGAAGCATAAAAAGTGTAAATAGTGAGAATGTGTATATGGAACAGTTTCCTGATTGTAGGCAGTATTGATTGAGAGCGATATTTTCAGTGATGGTGGTTTATTCTTTTTTCCCCCAGATCTTAGTTTTCAAGCAGCTGCTCGAATTATGTCTACCCCTGTTTATGATGCCTTAAAGATCATGAAAGACATAGCTCAGAACTTCCCAATAAGAGCCAGGTATGACACTTCAGCATGTTTTCCAAATACTATTTTTATGTTTGCATTTGAATTTAATGACAGTAGTACAGATTTGTACCCAAATCCTGCAAATATATTCATGTTTTACATCTTGCTAGATGGATTCCAGGCAATTCCATTGAGTAGAAAAGAACTCCTGGGAGAGCTTATGATTTGTCTCTTAAATATTTCCTGTCTAATGCAGACGATGCCATGAAGGCATCCTAATCCTTCAGGCATGTATGGTTGCATGCCTAGTTCTGGCTTTTACTGGATTGGTATTGTCCCAGGTGGAGAATTCTGTTGATTAATAGCAGATCTACTCACAGCAGGGAGAGGCAAAATTCTATTAATAAATTTCATGGGGGATCCACACAAATTAGTTCTAAGCATAACACTGCTGATAAAATTGGGCCCCAGCTACTGTAGGCTAGTGTTCTTACTGGGGAAGACCTGTCTCCCATAACAGATTACTTAATAAAAGATCAAGATTATTATTAAATAAATTATCACCATTTCCCTCCGTACTAATATAAAAAATTGCTCTTCCTCTAAGCTAATTGTATTGTAATTGAGAAATGCTTTTCTTTATATTTAGTAAGATCTTCGTGTAATCCTATCAGCAATATTTGCTTAAATTACTCAAATATGATGCTAAACAGTCTTCTTAACTCAGTGTGCTTTCGCAGTTTACAAATGTTGTTTAATTACCAATGTGTTTCATTGTCATCTCTGATCTTCTTTTAAGGAAAATCTACACTGTAATGGAAAAACCATCTTTGTAACCTCTCATTTCAAGGAAGAAAAGTAACTTTCTAAATGCCTGAAACATAATTATTATGAAATAAATGGGGTTCAAGTTTACACTTAGATTAGCAGTCAGAATATGCCACTTTCCTTTAGAAGGTAGAAGAAATCTAATGTTGAACTGTAAGGCCAGTTCTGTTATTTAAAGGACAGGAAAAAGTCAGTTTGAAGTATGCTAGATGACATTGAAATCACCGATTTAAAAGGTCATTAAATGGTTACATCCAACTCCCACTGTTTACCTGTGGCATTAGAGCCTAATTTACCTACTCTTCAAACATTTTATTTTTATGGGTAAAAGTATGAGAAGCCTCTAGAATTGTTAAAAGGGGAATTGCAGTTGCTGTATGATTTATTCTAACAAGTTATTCTAGCGTGTTATTTTTAACAAGACAGAATGCAAATATTTAAATAATTTAAAGTTAGTAGGTCTGCATTGACAACAAACTTAAATCAACAGGGCATTACATAAAAACAGTAAACAAAGTATATTTCCTTAGTATTCTAGTCATGCTTAACCTGCTGAGTCAAAAAAAAATGGTCTGAAGAAAAATAGAAAAAACAGGAAATTAAAGATATCTGATCACTATAATAGTAGTTTGTTGTGGGTTTGGTTTTTTTTAATTTCACACAGTTTAGATAAGAAAACAACCATTTTTTAATTCTGCAAATTTGGCTTGAGAAGAGTGTATAAAGACTTCAGAACTATAGCTATGATACTGAAAATTAAGTATTGAACCCCTTAAAATAGAGGTGTTCCTTAGAGCATAAAAAGTGAATATCCCATTCCTCTGGAAGTTTCTTTCATTTTCTAGTTTATAACCTTTTTCTTTTTTTTTTTTTTTTTTTTGGTGGGGGGGTGCTCACTATTTCTAGTTTAAAAGGTTAATCTGAGGTAGATTTTTACAAGAGGTCATTAGATGTAGACAGTGTAACAGCTGATATATGCCATGGCAACATTTTGATCATTCATTTTATAGGATATTTTTATATACATGCCATAATTATCCAATATATAAGCAGCAATAATAAGAATGACAATACTCTGTTTCTTTCTATTCATTTATCATTCATGAATTAACATTGTGAACATCTTAAAAGTTTCATTTTTTTTGACCTGATATGCAATACTACATAGCTACATATTCTTCCAGGTAAGAATCAAGATGCATGAAATTGTGATAGAAAATATTACAACCTTACGGTCATGTAAGAACATTCCTACATCATGTAAGATGGTAAATACTATCCATTTACTTTCAGGCAGTGAAGTGTTTCTTTTTAGTGGGTCCTTGGCACTTAAATTCAGAAAAACATGTGTAAAACTTTGTGAAGCTCTGAAGCATTGAACAAATGACTGAACTCAGAATGGAAAGATGTCTTTCATAGGTGCTTTAATCATAGAGTCATAGAATGATTTTGGTTGGAAGGGACCTTAAAGATCATCTTGTTCCACCCCCCTGCCATGGGCTGGAGCACCTTCCCCTAGACAAGGTTTACACTTGTTACGTCAGATTCCTGGGGTGCCCTTTTCAAGGGTCACCCATCACACTTTGAAGTCTTGATAGAATCTTGCATTGTCGAGAGCAGTGCGTAGACAAGGAGCTAGCTAACAATTCTTTAATGTATTGCTTCCTTATTACCAAAAGAGCCATCAGTTAAATCTTACCTTTTGCTGATACTTACCTTTTGCTTTTACTTCCTTGCTAATGTTGGGCCAGCTTTGCCTTCTTTTCACCTTTTTATTATTTTCACATTCATTTTTTATGTTTCTGACTTACTACTCTAAGCTATTTGTAAAGATTTAGGTTGTTCTTTTTATCTGTGCAGTTTTTATCACTTGTGTATGCAGAATGAAGCATTGATTCTGAGAGCTGCAGGCCCTACTACTACTTATATTAGGTTTAGCAGGATAAAAATCAGATTTTATTTTTTTTTAAGCTCCAAAGTATTTTTTTTACTTCAGGACTCTCTAAAACAGTTGTGAGGAAGTCAGAATAATAGTTGCAATAGTACTGCCAGACATTGAATTTCCACCTTGCGATGGAGTCCTTCTGTTAAGTAGCTGTTAATGAGAAAAGTTCTGTAGTGTGCCCTAATTATGTCTATTGCTGGTAGAAGGTCCCTTAAGGCAGTGTCCTACACAGTCAGGTTTTAAGACTTCTGACTTGACAGTATTTTTTCCTAATCCTTCTCCTCCGTTTTTCCAAATATAAATTTGGCTTCAGATATTCTTTTCTTTGTAATTATTCTTTATCATATTTTTAAAAATCTTAAGCAGCAATATTTCTTTTTAAACAAAAATGTTTATAGTTTCTTGCTTTCCTGTCTACAATATTTATTTCAAAACAAGTGAACACAGAAAGTAGTACAATAGAAGATACATTTACTTAGTATTAAATACAAACCATTTACTACTTTATGTGCGTAGAGAGTAGCTAGCAGCATGATTATAGAGCTTTATGGGAGAGTTCAGTTTAGTTGGACAACGATAAGCAAGTTATTAAGCACATCCTCCAGTAACTATATAATATTATAGTCCACGTTGACTGTTCTTTTTTTCAGTGCTGTCTTTGACATCACAGTTTGAGTTACACCTTTCTCATTTTAAGCCAAGGAAATCCCACCAAATATGGCTTAGTATAAAAATACAGCTCCTTCTTGATCCATTATTATTATCCTTTTATCATGTGGTCCAGAAGAGATTCACAGTCACAAAAATAATCTGGCAGAATATTTAGAGGGGTAAATAGGAAAAGGGTATTTAACTGTGGTGAATTGTGTAATATTTATAAACAAATCTTGGAAGTCATATTGTTTGCACTTAATAAGAAGTCTCTTTGATTGCCTGGAAAGCTTAAGTATTTTGTTTAAGGTAAACTGATTCTACGTCTTATTTCTGACCTATAGCAAAAAAATGTGGAGTTTACTAGCAAGATCCATTCTAAATCAGTTTATTTTGGGGGAGAGGTGAGAATTTATGTTATTAAATAACTGCTTTATTATCCATAATTGAAATCGGCTTAGTAGGATCATTCTGTTTGTTTAATTAATTTCCAGATTTAAGATTACTTCAGTTTTTCTTAAAGCTCCATACTGATTTGCTAAAACATGTACAATTGTGTTTTAAGAAAAATATTTATGTATGCAACTAGAATATTTATTCTGGCATTTATTGGGAATTTAGGTTAATATGGTTTAGAGGTTCTTAATGGAGGGAATAATTTGCTCTGAGAGTATTTTATGATAGCCTCATAATTACAAATCTCATATACAACACGTTGTGACAGAGGAAGTTAAAATAGCCTTCCACAATGTTATTGAAAGGTAAAAAAAATGAATAAATGGATTATCTTCTAAAGGTCAAATGACTAAGGAAACTAAAATGTTGACTGGCTGTGAATGATTAACATTTTCAACTCTTTCAATTTCCAAATCTTTGTTCTAATTACATCTAATTTTAAAGTAGTTATTCTTTGTGTATTTTCCTTGCCTTTGACCAAAACATTAAGTTATATCCTTGGCTGTCTGTGCTCTAATGTTGAGTAGTATTGAGTTAGTAACATGAAATTAAAATATACAAATATTGCATGTACTTAGGTAATAATTTAGATCATCAAACAACTTTTTCATTATATACATGCTATTTTGCAGAAGAAAAAAAAGGAAAGACAACGGTAAAAAATACGCTGATAATACTATTTCAACAAAACCTGGCCTAAATTTGGAACCTGGGTTTACTGGAGTAACACAGAACAAACTGGTTGCTTTGGGGAAAAAAACAAAACTGAAACTGCATTACTCCTTTTTTAAGTCTTAATTACAGAATTTTTCAATTGCAGTGCATTGGATATGGTATTAAAATACATACTTCACGTTATTTAGTGCATTTTTTTAAATACAGTGGTTGAGTGATGCAAATGCTTTATTTTTACAGATCACTGACCAGAGTGCCTGTAGACAAGAAAATGCGAAATGAAATAGAAGAAAATCAGAAGGTTTGTTTTTATTTCATCAAATGAGCATTTGAGTTGCTATCATATTACTGGTTTTGGAGTTTTTTATTAGTGTAGCAACTTTGACATAGTTTCTATCAGACAAAGAGCTAATAGTCTTAAACATCTTTTGCTAAATAAATAACACTGAAATACTCAGTTCAGATTTTTCACTTCCTGCTGTTCTTGATACTTTTCCTCTTCCCTCTTTTGATTTTACAGAGTTGGGCAAGGACAAAGAAGTTCTGTAGTGTTATGTTCAGTCATAAATTGTGTGCTGTGACAGCAAAATAGGTGTAAACTTTCTAAAGCTTTGGTCTTGAATCTAGGCCTGCTGCTTATACTATGGTTAACATATAGTAGCTTTGAGCTCTCCACATTCTCAGAATCACACATGCAACTATTCTGCAACATATTTTGAATGTCATCTTTGGTGCACCGCATCTTTTGTGCCTTGTGTCACATGAGGAGTCACAGTTCATGTGATTTTGAGTGGTCTGAGATGTATCCTGAGTTTCTAAAACTTAAAACCAGGGGAAGTTTAGATTGGATATAAGGAGGAAATTCTTTCCTGTTAGGGTGGTGAGGCACTGGAATGGGTTACGCAGGGAGGTTGTGAATGCTCCATCCCTGGCTGTGTTCAAGGCCAGGTTGGACAAGGCCTTGGGTGATATGGTTTAGAGTGAGGTGTCCCGGCCCATGGCAGGGTGGTTGCAACTTGATGATCTTAAGGTCCTTTCCAACCCTAACTATTTTATGATTCTGTGTTCTGTTTGTCAGATTCATGGCATCTGTTGTATTTTCTGTCTCAGTGCAGAGTTTGTATTTTTTCTTTCAAGTTGAGTGTTAAAATTAAATGTTAGCCAGCATGCTTTGAGGACTGGTCACATGCCATGACATCCATAGCACTGTCCTTAATCTTGCTCTTCAGAGCATGTGTTTTCATATGGTGTTAAAACTGACCAGCACTGTAGCAAAAGAGTTGTATTGTTTATTTATCGTGCTCCTGTACTTTTCAACATTTCCATGTATCACTTTGCTTTGTATTCATTCAGGCCCTTTCCTCTTGCCTTGCCAAGACTAGTATTTCTAGGGAAATGCTTTTCCAGTTCCACCTTTTAAAACAGTGAAAATGCTGAATGTCCCTGTTACACTGATGCAGTCTTCTCATAAAGAGCTTGTCATCTCCACTGCTAAGCATTAGGCAGGCCTTTTGTTTCTTGCACTAGTGAAAAGTCTCATATTTTTCTCTCAAGGAAGCAAACCAGTATCTGCATGGTGCTTCATTGCTTTCTACATATAGCTGAGGTATGTGTTTTCCTATATGTCTTTCTTGTTAGGGTTATGGTCAGGATAAAGCAAATCAAAGCCCTGATAATCATGGTATCACCAGAGTAAGAGTGTGAGTATCAGGACTTTGTTTCTTGATGAGGTCTTTACAATGTCTTTCTCAAATTATAGCTCTGTTAACACAAAAAATCAAAACCAACTGCTTAATGAAAAACTACTCTCGTACTCCAAAATGCAAAACAGTAGAGGTGTATGAGGAATGACAATTATTACTAAATATAACTATTAAGAAAAGTTACTAAAATTTTGGTTGAAATTAAGATGTCTGCATATTTATGTGTAGTCATTGAACATCAAAAACAATGTAGCTCACTCAGTGGTTGTCTTGTGGGCATTACTGAGTTGCCTAAACTTGAATTTCTGATGTCATTTGAGATGCCTCAGGCTGTCCAAGTTAGCCACACAGGTCTGGCAGATGTGTGCACTGAGGCATCTATTCACTTTTGCCTAACCCATATTTTCTGGTCCAAGATACCTTATCCTGAAACAGATGATGTTGGGTATCTATTTGCTTGGTGCCATGGTTTAAACCCAGCCACGCAGCTCGTTCACTCACTTCCCCCCTTGTGTCCCTCCCCCTACTCCCGGAGGGACGGAGAGGAGAATCTACAGAATGCAACTCCTATGGACTGAGATAAGAACAGTTTAGTAACTAAGGTATAACACAAATCACTACAGCTACCACCAATAATAATAATGATAAAGGAAATAACAAGGGAAGAGAATACAACAGCTCACCACCCGCCGACCGATAACTTGCCCCCGCCCCTCCAGCCTGACCGAGCACCGACCGATACCTAGTCCAACCCCGCAGTGATCCAGCCCTTCTGGGTAACTCTCAGTTACATCCTGGGCATGACGTGCTGTGGTATGGAATACCTCTTTGGCTAGTTTGGGTCAGGTGTCCTGTCTCTGCTTCCTCCCGCCTTCCCCTCCTCCCTGTCAGAGCATGAGGCTCAGAAAGTCCTTGGTCAGAGTAAACATCACTTAGTAACAACAAAAAGCATCAGTGTTATCGGCTCTGTTCCCAGGCCGAAAGTCAAAACCACAGCACTGCACCAGCTACTAAGAAGGAGAAAAATGACTGCTACTGCTGAACCCAGGTGTCGTGGCTTAATCCTAGCCAGACAGCTTGTTCACCCACTCCCCCCCTTTCTTGCCCTCCCCCTACTCCTGGAGGGACGGAGAGGAGAATCAGAAAGAATGCAACTCCCACAGGTTGAGATAAGAACAGTTTAGTAACTAAGGTATAACACAAATCACTACTGCTACCACCAATAATAGTAATGATAAAGGAAATAACAAGGGAAGAGAATACAACACTTCATCACCAGGCGACCGATAACTCGCCCCCCCAGCCCAACCAAGCACCGACCCATACCTCCTCCAACCCTGCAGTCCCCTCTCCCCCTTCCAGGTCACTCCCCAGTTACATCCAGGGCATGACGTGCTGTGGCATGGAATACCCCTTTGGTCAGTTTGAGTCAGGTGTCCTGTCTCTGCTTCCTCCCGCCTTCCCTCCTCCCTGGCAGAGCATGAGGCTCACAAAGTCCTTGGCCAAACCAAAACATCGTTTTTATCAGCTCTGTTCCCAGGCCGAAAGTCAAAACACAGCACTGCACCAGCTACCAAGGAGAAAAATGACTGCTACTGCTAAACCCAGGACACCAGGACAGTTGGTCAACTGAATTACTTGTATGATTCCATGACTGTCATAAGGATCTTAGGCACCTATCACACTAAGCTTAAATTTCATCTGACATCCCATCTGCAGTCTAAAGGCTACAGGCTCTTAGACAGCTAAAAGCTGAAATATGTAGAATTAAGGTAGGGAAACTTCCTGAAAACTGCTGCTGGAGCACTATAAATTGGCATGTGCGTTCTTGAACTGCATTACATCCATCTAGCAGCAGGAAAAGTATGATCTCATGCTGTGTGTAACTGAACGATTCCCTCTCAAGATAATGAAAGTTGAATAGGAAATGCAGTGAGAGCAAATAAAGGTATTAAAAGTTGAAAGGCATGTGATGATTTAGGTGTAATAAATTGATAACTAAGAAATAGACTGAGAACAGCTATAGATAAAAGAAAAAAAAAATCTCATTAAACACAACTGGTAACTTCCAGTGCAGTAATTTGCTGACAATTTAGCAAGAAAATATGAGTATTATCAACTTTGAATTCTAGTCTTGGATGCTGTCCTGAGTTCAGCAGTAGCAGTCATTTTTCTCCTTCTTAGTAGCTGGTGCAGTGCTGTGTTTTTGACTTTCAGCCTGGGAACAGTGCTGATAACACCGATGTTTTTAGTTACTGCTCAAATGTTTGGTCTGGCCAAGGGCTTTGTGAGTCTCATGCTCTGCCAGGGAGGGGGGAAGGCGGGAGGAAGCAGAGACAGGACACCTGACCCAAACTAGCTAAAGAGGTATTCCTTACCACAGCACGTCATGCCCAGGATGTAAACTGAGAGTTACCCAGAAGGTCTGGCTCACTGCTCAGTCGGGCTGCATATCGATGGGTGGTCTTGTATTCTCTTCCCTTGTTATTTCCCTTACCATTATTATTATTGGTGGTAGCAGTAGCGGTTTTGTGTTACACCTTAGTTACTGGGCTGTTCTTATCTCAGCCCGTGGGAGTTATGTTCTTTTGATTCTCCTCCCTGTTCCTCCAGGAGTGGGGGTGGGGGGAAGAAAGGAGGGGAGTGGGCAAGAGGGCTGCGTGGTTCTGATTTACCGCCTGGGCTTAAACTACGACAGATGCCAAAATACTCCTTCCATCAAAGTTGTTACAGGAAATGGATGCTCTTCTGAACAATCAAATGCCTTGCATCAAACTGGTATGAATCTCAGCTCTGATTTAGCTCAGTTCTTTTCCTGTGGCAGTATTGAAGGATTTGAAAAACTTTGAGACTCCCCTTTCCATACCCAGTGGCTGACAATTTTTTCATTCTTCTTGCATTCGTTTTAGTTAATATGAAGATTTTTATGACCTACATCAGCCAGTTGCAGTCTTTCTCAGTGTCTGTGTTTAGATGTGTATCTGGGTTTATAGGAATGAGCGGTCAGCTTTCAGTATCTTTTCAGATCTATGCAAAAGTCCTGAAAAATCCTAATAAGATTTCTTGAGACTGTGATCCTCTTTACATTCAGTATTCACTCCTAGAGTCCAGTGGCATTAAGGGGGATTTTTCTGTGGTCACAGTACTTCATGGCAAAACACTGGAATGAAAATTGTAATCCAAATGGGAATTGCTAACTACAAAAAAATTCCAGGTTTACCTAGGGCTTTGGGTGCTTCCCTGCCTAGTGGAGAGGGGTCCTAATCACTGTGTGCTTAATTTTGTCCCATCTGCCTGTTTCGGTTGTGTCTCATGATCCATGTAGGTAAAATGAGAAATTTCACCTGCTGCAAGGTCACTTGGCATTGTCAGGATTCTATGAATCTCCTCCTTAGAAGGGATATGTAGAGTGAGACTGGGGAGGGTGTGTAGCTCTGTGTGAAGCTCTGATGGGAAAAATGCCAATGTGAGAAACCAGCTGCTACTTCTAGGTTACTTCTTTTTAATGGATGCGTGAGGTTTAAAAAAGATAAATATGAAGAGCACTTTGCCATAATAATCCAAAGTAGCAGTTGATTGTAAAGAAGGTAAACATCTTTCCTGCTTTGGGACATAGGGGAAAAATAAATAAATCTGTCATTTATAGACAGATACAGAGTATATGATTGGGAATAAAGTGCGTTTTATAAATTAGGAAAGCAGTTAACTTATCCCTTTCTTTTTTTTTCTTAATTGATCACAGGAAACTTACTGCCATGCATTTCTGCTCCTCATTTTGAAAGCTCACTGACATCCATTTTTTAAATTCCTGCTAAAATTTTCATGAAAGATAATAATTAAACCTTAAAAAAGTAATGTCTTTCTGGTTATTTCTTAGCATTGGTGGGATGCAACCCCCCCCAAAGCCACAATATTCTTCACATTATATTTGAGTTTGAATATATGTGTTTAGATATTTTGTAGCAACCATATTCAATTACATTACTCTTCTGTAAATGAACATGCAAAAAAAGCAATGAAAGCACTACAAAGTTCAGGTTACACCATTTGAATAAATTAAATTTACAAATTTCAAAAGCTGTTTTTCAAGGTCTTGGACATGTTTTGAACTTTCATAAAAATTCTTTGTTAGGTTCAGACTTACCACAGCTGCAGTTCTCCTTTATTGAGAGCCCTGCCTTTCGTACGCTGGTATTAGGTGCCATTACATATTCTCATTCTGCTTTGGGTCGTGAAAACGTTTATACTAGAGGAATGTGGTACCTTTTATGAGTAATATGCACATATATTGGATTACAAGAGGCTTCAAGTAAACTGTTGTCTCATTTATGTGGGGATGCACTTGAATTGCCACAAATCAGTTAGCTTTGGCTTTACATAACATTTAGCTGTGGGAGAGTAACCACTGTAAAGAAATAATATGGCTTTCAATATTTTCCTGATTCTTTTTTTTTCCTCTCATCTGCTCAGTAACAGGCTTACAAGTGGAACAATACATGCAGCCTGAGTTGCTTGCTTTTAAGTGTGCTTTTGAACAAAGTGTGGTTTTGTTCACACTTACTTTGTTCAGCAACTGGGAGCTAAATGGGGAAAAAATTACAGCTTTCTTATCTTGTTTTTTTTTCCTGTATATTCTTTGTGCTCTTCGTTCCTCTGTTCAGAATTAAAACAGATCTGGAAATCTGACTGCTCCTCACGGGGTGAGTTGGAATAAACTACTGCTGTTGCTTCTGATACTTATCTTGCCACCGTAGATCGAACAGTGTGGTGCCTCACAGCTCTCTGAAATAAAATAAGGCATACTTTACTCCCTAAATACTTACTACCTCTTGTATTCATTTATTGTGGATTTTATTTTCTTCTTTGCAAAGCAAGGATATGCTGTGTTATCCCTTCCTCATCTATGTTTTTTTCTCAAGGTCCCTTTGTTAGATGAGATTGTATGTTTCTAGTCTCTCTTTCCTAATTCCCTGTAACCATTGCAACTACACATTTTTTGGAACTGTGAAAGACATTAAGCTAGTTTCAAGTGGAGGTCTGAAAGACACATACAAATCTGCCTTTGTTGAATGGATACGTAGGAGTAATGCAAGTAAAATTTACAAGACATATTTCTGTATGTGTATGTATTTTCAGTGTTGGCGGACACTGGGAGTGTCTTATCTTGACTTTGTACAGGTAGGGACAGTATAGGTTGAGGGGGAGGGATCATCAGCTATTTTTATTTGTATTTGTACATTGAAAGTGTGTTAAATTGAACGCGTGGAAGTTTGTTGTTAATGTTTTTACCAACAACACTCAGCTAAAGAAAGAAATGTGGAGGAGATTTGATTTGTCTGTTTTGCAGAATTGCTTTAAGCCTTATTTATATATATATATTTATTTATATATATGTGTTAGTATTGACAAATAACTAAGATAGTATTACTTTTTTTCAGCATTTTCATGAAATTCTTGGAATCCAACCTGGAGAAGCACGTCTGTTTCTAAATGGCCTTCATATTGACCTGGATTTTCATGATCCTTTTAGGTAAGATGGTGTATTTTGTTCGAAGATTATAGAATTATTAATAATACTGGGGAGGTTGTGCTCATGGTGACAGTTAATCTCATCTGGGGGCCAGGAAGTGCTCCAATAGAGGGAGTACTGGTTTACAGTATGTTTGTTTTGAATATGAACCTTGAATAAGTAGTTGAAAATGGTGTTTTCTCTCTCGAATACAAGCTAACTACCCTGGACTGCAGGACAGCAGACTTTAGCCTGTTGTAAGATCTGCTTGGTAGAGTACCATGGGATAAAGCCCTGAGAGAAGGTCATCAAAGGGCTGGAGCACCTCTCCTATGAAGACATGCTGAGAGAGTTGGGGTTCTTCAGGTTGGAGAAGAAAAGTCTCTCGGGAGACCTTATAGTAGCCTTCCAGTACCTAAAAGGACTTGTAAGAAAACTGGACAGGGACTGTAACAGTAGGACAAGGGGTAATGGCTTTAAAGTGGAAGAAGATAGACTTAGATTAGACATTAGGAAGAAATTCTTTACTATGAGGGTGGTGAGACACCGGCACAAGTTGCCTAGAGAAGCTGTGGCTGCCCCGTCCCTGGCAGTGTTCAAGGCTGGGTTGGGCAGGGCTTTGAGTGGAAGGTGTCCCTGCTTGTGTCAGGGCAGTTGGACTAGATGACTGTTAAAGGTCCATTCCAACCCAGGCCATTCTATTATTCCATAATTTCAGTCTTTGTCTTGCCACCAATAAATTCTATTAATGCAGAGCTAATAAGCTTTTTTGTATAAGAAATGTTTCAGTTTCTCTAATTATAGTACAAATGTTTTGGGTGTGACTTGACTCTTCTATGCAAGCATTCATAAACTGTAAACATTTTCCCTTGCATTCTTCTGTATGTTGACAACAACAGGATAGATTTGACTATTTTAAAATCATCTCTGGAGACCTGCAAATTATAAATAAATCTACTGATGCTAAGACTGAAGGGTTTTTTTATGTTACTATGAACTGTCAAAATCTACAATTCTTTATCTTTTTAACACAAATTTGTCTTCTTTTTTCTTTCATGGAGTTTCTAAAACTTTCTTGGTTTTGGCATTTATACGTGCAATTTTTACTTGGTTTTTTTCTCAGCCAGAGTTTTGAGATGGAATTACTTGCATCATTTTTAGTAACAATGCATATATTAACAGTGCTTTTTAATGATAGCGCTAGGTTTAATTTCAACCTATTTTTAGAAGAAACCTTTCAGAATAGAGAAAATTCAAAATGAAGCAAGATAGAAATAAAAGCATTTGTAAAATCTTGACTGCTGTGTTCTGCTATTGAGTATTTCAGGTTTGTTTCCATTCTCACATTGAATTTTCAGGATGCCACAAATGTTCCAGAGTCTATACTGTCTTCTTGGGAAGAGTCTTCTTCTGGAGGTGTAGCTATGTTTCCTTTGTGGTGTTTTCAGGGTTCTGCCGTGATGCAGACTCACAGCTCATCTTTGTCTCCATCACTTGCTGCCTGCTTCTCTACACACTTTCAAAGCTTCCTCTTATGGTACCCCTGCTTGAGTTTCTGCCTTAGCCAGAAAAATGCAGTGAGCAACCTTTCACACTGCTGTCCTGCCACATCTTACTAAAGATCAATGAAATTCCATCATATAAAATAAACGTGAATGAACAACAGTTGTATAATCTGTTATAATTCTGTTTTGAAATAAGTTGGAGACATGCAGAATTATTAACTGATTTTGTTTTAAACATTTGACTGCAGGAGAATATAAAAATTATTTTCAGTGCTAAAAATAATCCTCACATTAATAGTCTTTGAAATATTTTTTTCATTTTGATGTCATGACAAGAGTTCTGTGTAGACATATTAAGCATTTTGTCTTCCTGAAAAAGTATCCTAGAGACTCTTAAACTGGAAGGAAAAGTGATGCATGGACTTCATGAACTTGGAATCAAAGAGGAGACCTTGAGTAGATTCATGAGGTTGCATATACATCCTACAGATGACACTTATGCACTAGATATTCGTCACTCTTCGATAATAGTAAGTAATTTAACAATTATTTATTTAAATATTACATATTTGATAACGCTGTGTATGAGGGAGTCTGTCTTTTTTTTTGCAGTGTAATTGAAATATTAGGTGTAAACCCATATATCAATAAGTAGTTTAAAATATTTTGGAGGGTGATAGCTCTTTAATATATTTTAGGAGTAATTTTCTCTAGCCCATACCTTACTAAAATTTTAAGATGTAGGATATTTAAATGAAAAGAGACATGTATCTAAGTACTTGCACACTCTCAGCTATAGAATTTGATTCTACAGCAATTAATCTACCTACATAGTATCCTCATACAATGCAGGGCTGCTAAATGTTCTTCAGAAGTATGGTAAGTGGATAATTGGGTAATTATGATAAATTGTGGACAACTTAAATATGTTTTTTCTAACTGTCCAATGATTCTGCTTCAAAATGTATACAGTTTTCATTACAAAGGTTATATGCCTGTGGAAAAAGCACTCAAGTGCTAATTTTCTTCACTTGAAAGAAGGATATATTCACTTTTCTGTTTCTCAAGGCTTGCACAGAAAACAATAAAGGAACAAATTAGCCATATATTTGTTAGTTCTTCTAATATATCTAAAGTGCTGCACTAGTGTTGATTATAGATAAATACTGTCTTACAAAGATGGGTATACTGTGTTACGCATATCTCTGTGGTATGCTATTATGACCTTTGTATTGTGAAAGTAGTTTCTACACTTGAAAAAACTGCTTTATTCACATCCTGATGTGTTTTTTAAGTGGCTGCCTTTGTTTTAGTGGATTAATAACATAGAACAAGACTACAGCTATAGCACATGGCCTGCAAGCTATCAGGAACTGCTAAAACCTGCATTTCCCGGAGTTATACAGCAGATTAGACGCAATTTATATAATTTGGTAAGTTTGGGAGAGCTCAATTTTTCTGCATAGTGTATGTATGTATGTACTTGAACAGGCAATTTATTGAAAAAATACACATGCTGTATTCATTGTGAAGGTTAGCATTTCATGTTTTCTATGTGGGTCTGCTAATAGCAATGGAAATCTTTTTGTATAGTGGGTCATATGTGATTATTAGTCTGATTTCCAGAAGTGGACTTGGGCACAGTTTTGGCTTGAGCTTTTCTCACTGCATATAGATAATTCACTACTATCAATTAATTTTCTTCATAGTTCACTACTTAGAGAAGACAATGATAACTGTGCTTGTTTTAAAGATGGTAAAATGAGGTACAAAAAGATTTAAGGTATAAAGCATACTAATTCTGAATGTCTTGTAGCCTAATGTTTCTTCTGTACATAGTATTATGTATCACTTAGGCTAAGGAAACAGCTATTGCTGATTTAAATTGGAATTTAAATAACAAAAGTTAATTGTCTGAATCATAGAATGGCTTGAGTTGGAAGGGACCTTAAAGACCATCTAGTTCCAACCCCCCTGTTTCTTTTGGTGAGTCAGTTGGTTGATACAGTTGGTTCTCTGGGCTGCGAGCACACACTGCCATTTCATGTCCAGCTTTTTTTTCCAGCTTTTTATCCAGCTTTTCATCCACCAGCACCCCTAAGTCTTTCTCCTCAAGGCTGCTCAGTCTCTTCATCCCCCAGCCTGTATTCATACCAAGGGCTGCCCAGACCCAGGTGCAGGACCTTGCAGTTGGCCTAGTTGAACCCCATGAGGTTTACATGGGCCCACTTCTCAGGCTTGTCCAGGTCTCTCTGAATGGCAACACATCCCTGAGGTATATCAACTGCATCACTCACCTTGGTGTCATCCATATGCTTGCTGAGGGTACACTTGATCCCCCTGTCTGTGTCATCAATGAATATGTTAAGCAATCCTTTTCCCAGCATGGACCCCCGAAGGACACGACTTAACCACTGATCTTCATCCAGACATTGACCTGTTAACCACTACTTTCTGGATGATACCATACGGCCAATTCCTTACCCATCAAACAGTCCATCAAATCCATCTCTCAGCAACTTAAGAGAGAAGGATGTTGTGGGGGACTGCGTCAAAGACCATGCAGAAGTCCAGAGAGATAACATCCATGATTTTTCCCTTGGCCATTGATGTAGTCATGCCAAGTGACATGAAGCTCAGTATATAAAAAGACAACCATAGTACAAGCAATGTGTAATAAAGAAATGCGTGTTTATAGTGAAGTGTATGTCTAATATGAAGTAGATTGCATTCAAAGTTAAATATTACTGAAAATAACAGCTAGAGTATAGAAATCTACAATGTATCATTTAATTATAATCTGAGGGGAGGGAGGGAGTGTTCAAACTTTTTAAAATTATTCTGCTGCATTTCAGCTACTTCAGCAAAATTATCAATTCTGAGGGGAGTTGCAGCACAAAGCTGAATAAATAAGGTATTGATGTCATAATTAAATCTGCGTAAGGATAATCTACCCATGCAGACAGATCCCAATTATGTGAGACAGGAGGGAAAAAATCTTTCCCAATGCTCCACTTCTCAATTAGAAAGTTTTAAGTCAGTATATTCTGTTTATTTTATTCTGGTTTTCACTGCGTAAGAGTTGAAAGAAGTAATGCGAAAAACAGCATTGGATCCTTTTTAATTAAATATCAAGTCCCTTAATAAAAGCAAAGTATTGGCATGGCATCTTTTTAAAAAGACTAGTGATATCACTTGGTTTGAAGGTCAGTAAATGGTTAAAGTCTGTTTTCAGTATTTGGTCCAAATTCATTAATTCTGAAGTTATTTTCATTTATACACTTAATGTTTTCTTACAATGAATGCCCTAGGAAACTGAAAACAGTTGAGGCACAAAGCTTCTTTGGAAATTTCTCGTTTGGAAATCTCAGATTTTATGTCTGAAAAAAAAAAAAACCAACCCGACATCAAGAATAAGTATTGTCTGTGTATTATGTTTTCTCTTATTAGGTACTTCTTATTGATCCTGTCCAAGAAGATACAGCTGATTATATGAAACTGGCAGAATTATTCTTTCATCATAATGTGCCACTTAGGTAAGGAAGACCGAAAGGCTTGAAGAGAAGTCTTAAAGGGTGTTTGATTTCCTTTTTTAGTTCTTCATCTTGTGTTCTGCTAGGCAAAGGTACAAATTCAAATGAAGGCCAGTGCAACAGCATTCTAGTCAGACACACTGGTTGCCCAATTATATTAAGCTTACCTGGGTATTAAGTATTCTTAAGAAAACAGGTTTCAAGGGATAGCATACCTGAGTGTGTGGAAAATGAACTGCAGCAGTCTGGTAAAAAGTTACCTTGTTGAATACTCCCACTGGATGCCCATGTGAAGATGAATTTTAAGCAAAATGGTCTGTAAGTAAAACATGATTCAAAGGCATTTTGAATTTAGCTCTTTCAACTGAGGTTGTTTTACCTGGTTTTGTTTTATATAAGTACTTGAAAAACGAAAGCACGATTTTCCTCACCCAGTTTTGAATTTCTGAAAATCAGTTGCCTGAGGCTGAACTGGTCATCATTTGAGGGAGAGAGAGAGAGACTTCTGAGGAAGAACATGGTTGATCTGAGATGCCTACTTAAGAAAAGATGAACTTCTCTTGGAAGTTCCTGTTTATTTACACAGTTAATGAAAGAAGAGAAGGGCATCGAAAGTAGATCTAAGGTTCAGCAAGATGAATTCCATGTTAAATATTTAAAATCTTCCTGTGAAACAGCTTTTTATTTCCTCAGTAAGTTACAGGGTTTTAATTTCCTTTAAAATTATGCTAGTTCCGATCATCATTTATTTTTTCTTCATGTTTTATTTTTTAATGACAAAAAAAGTAGTAAAGGACAGATATTAGTTATCTGTGCATTTTATCACTGTTGTTAATACTTGGGAGGCAATACTACTTCAGTCCTTGAGGAGAATATAGCCTAGAACCTAATTTGCCTTTTCTAATAAATGACAGCATAAGATAAGCCAAACTGGATCAGACTAAAGGTCTGACTTTGAGATTAGATCAACTGCAATGTACACAGTATTCAAGATGTGGACAAGCCATGGAGTCTATAGTTTCGTATAATATTTTTCTTTGCTGACTGTTCCTACAGCACCCAGATGACACACAACTTCAGGGCAAGTTATTTGCAATAATAATAGATGTAAAAATTGGGAGAAGCAATTAATTGTAGAACTTCTTTATGCATTAGTTATTACTTATATCTGTTTAGGAAACTTGCTCTATTTCTTACTACCCTCTCTCCTTTCACCTGATGCACAACTGATTATGTCATAGAATCAGAATGGTTTGGGTTGGAAGGGACCTTAAAGATCATCTAGTTCCAACCCTCCTGTCATGGGTAGTGACACCTTCCACTAGACCAGATTGCTCAAAGCCCCATTCTTGGGGTTGGTCTTGAATCTGGCCTTGAACACTGCAGTAGCTGTATTAAAATTGGTGTGAACAGGAAATTAATGGTAGTTTGAACATGGGGGAAAACCCAGAGGGTAGAAAAGGCAAAAGAAGGGCTAGTAAGAATGGCAGGTGTTGGTGACAGGACATCAAAACCCCTGCTTGTCTACATGCAGTTACTCAGGACACTCATTTCAGGAAAAATAAAAGACAGACAGTGGCCAGACTAAAACAAAGACTTAAGCATTCAGGAGATGATGGCAGGAATGTAAAGAATGTCATAACCTTCAGGCAGGTAAGGAAAGAAAAGGCTGTGAGTAAATCCTAGTGATTTACAAAAATCTTAATTATGGTCAGCTTTAAATGAGAAAAAAGACACCCAAAATCAGTACATAGTTGATAACCTAAGCATAATCTGGGAGACTGATGAAGACTGCATAGCTGGTATTGTCAGTGTCACCACAGACAGTCATGGCACCACCATCTAAGTACAGGTGTTTTCTTCATCCCTACATGCTGAACAGATTACTTGACCGCAAATGTCTTGTTCTTCTACTGTCAGTATTAGAATGTGTGTGAAACTGATACTGTTTTAAAATGTGTGAACTTTTCTTTTATAGAATTGGATTTGTTTTTATTTTAAATACAAAAGAAGAAATTGATGGAAATGAAGATGCTGGAATAGCACTTTGGAGAACTTTTAATTACATTATGGAGGAATCTGACACCTCTCAAGCCTTTTCCTCGATAATTAACGTGAGTACTTTCACAAGAAATCACCTTTTTCTCGTTACTTTTATTTCCTTTCTATATAGTTAGGATTTTGGTACCTTATAACAACTTGATAAGTTTGCTTTTACTGTACATGGAAGTAAAATATTAAAAACATGTATAGCATTGTTAAGCTATAGAAGGATTTGCAGAAATTCTTTCCTCTTCCAGGATCCAGGATGACTTGCTCTTGTTATTTTACCTGTCTACAGCCTTTCTTCAAGAATCTAGAAAAGTAGATGCATGCCTTATACCTTTCAGTGTTTTCTTGTGAAAAATTGTTCTGTATTATTTGTGTTAACATGATGTAGTTGTCTTGGTCTTCTGTATCTCTTGGAGTACAGGCATTTTAATATCACTTTGGCAATCCTATAAGCTTTGAAAAACCCTGGGTTGTTCTGTAGTTTAGAAGGTGAAACAGAACAAGACAAGTTCTTTCTTGCTCATGTTTGAGCTTTTCATGGGTGTAAAAACTGTAGAAATATTCCAGGCTTGCAGCTTAATAATTGAGATTGGTTTTGTGTGTGAGAGAATGCAGGTTTGTGTAAAGACAGGTATTTCAGAGGTGGGAGATGAATGGAGGGAAATAAAGTGAGCAGTCTAATAGAAAACTCTACAGGCAAAATTGTATCAGAGAATATTGTATTAATACATGATTTTTTTTTTCTTTTTTTTCCTATCATTCTGTTCAGAATGCCTAGAAACTAATGTCATGGACAAATGCAGAAAGCTTAAGAGGAATGTAATTGAGGTAACTAGGAGTACCTTGGAAGAGAAATAGAAATCCACAAGTGTTAGGGAGCTGATACACGTGTGACTATTATCCATGACCAGATGACAAAACATCAATTTACAGAGTGTTTTTTTAAATGTCGTGTTCTTCTGTTTACTTTGCTTCATAACATAAAGAGGAGGGAATGTTAAATATAATTTTAAGTTAGCAAAAATAGAATCAATAAAATACAGGGTTGAGATGTTCAGAACTGTAGAGAGAAATGTATTATTCCTCATTTGAAAAGAAATAGATTGAAAAATTTTCACTTCAAATTTCTTTTGTAAGTTTGATGAAAGTAATAAGATTTTATGCTATGGAATAAAATAGCATTGGTAAGGAAAAATTGTCACTGTAGGAAAAAAGTGTTGCTCACTAATTCAGGCTTGAATTCATCCCGTATAGCTTCAGGTAACTACTCATGGTTAGGTAGTTTATAGTAAGAATTTAGATTCCTTCTCTAATCAGTGGAGAAGAAATAACCTTTCACGTTCAGCTCACAGAAATGTATTTCCTTTGCCACTTCAGATTTAGACTGAAAGTATAATAATAGATTAATCAGAACGGTGCTCTGATGGAAGATTGTGCATATGTGTGATGGTGATAATTACTAAAGCAGTATAAAAAATGCACTATAGCAATAAAACCAGTATAAGAGTATACTGATACAGAATTTACTAGAGCACTCTAAAAAGTTATTTTTTGTTTTTATTAATTTAGTTATGTTATGATTGTCAATTTTTTACATTATTTCTGTTACAATTCTTACAGATGTACCATGAAGTGCAAGGTGGAAATGTTCTAACAGTAAATCATGTGAAAGATGTTCTTAGAAGAGAATACCCACATGCTCCTGTTCAGAGCATCCTCGGTATTCATTCTGAATATGATGAAGGGAGAAAGGTATGTTGGGAGGAGTGGTGAGAAATCCTGCAGTACACAATTAAGTATTTGTATATCAAGTATCTGAGTATTTGTCAAGCTGAAAGATTGCTAAATATTAAAGCAAGTATATACAGTATCTTTGAGTCAAAAATTTTCTTCTGCCATTTTCATTCAGTGATTAGTGAAACTGTTTAAAAGGTTTCTGCATTACTTACTATTCTGCCTGCTGCATTCAGGACCATAAGGCTTTTTCTAATAAGCATGTCAAGGGGCCTGTCCTGAACTTCAGAAGTTTACCTGTGTCTTCTGGGCAAGGAGCTGAAGCCTGGTCTTCTAGGCAAATAATTGTTTCCTTTAATTACACTTTCTGGTTATAATTTCTCTTGGGAAAGACAGCTATGGATTTTGATTTAAAGGCTGTGGAGAAGACATTTTTATCTATAATTGATTATGTAGGCAATTTTCTGCTGAAATATATACCTAAAAATACCATGAAGGATGAAAGAATAGGAAGGGGGAATTACTTACAATGTATTTGTATTTGTTTGTCTAACTGAATTTTCTCTGAGGAAAAATCAGATTGTTATGTTTTCTTATCAAATAAGGCTTTGCTTCTGAGCATAAAAGCCTTTTAAGTTGTTTTTTTTTGGGGGGGAGTGCTCTTTGGGGAAAAGGTCTTGTTTATTCATCTGAAACTGACTTTCTTAAGGTCTTTCTCCAATGTTCTTTACTTAATAGTTTTTGCTAAGAATATTAGTCAAAAGAAGATTCTCACCAAGAAGATAAAACCAAAGTTTCAAACCACCATATATCTATCTATAATTTCTTTTGCCATTCCATTTGAGAAATGAGTCCCATGTGTCCTGTTTGGTTTCCAAACATTTCCTGTTTTGTCCCTGCTACTTACGAGAAGTTGTGACACTGAATAGTGCTTGGAGATTAGAGTTCATGATCTCTTGAGGCTAGTTTCATTTTTTGCCTAAGTCAGCCACAGTCTTATTTAATCCTGTGATATTTCTGATCTGATCAGGCAGGAGCAACTTTTTATAAAAAGAGTGGCCTGGGTCCATTGCCTCAAGCTCTGTTTAATGGCGTGCCCTTTAACAGAGAAGAGATGGATGCTGCAGAGTTAGAGACCATTATTCTCCAGAGGATTATTGATGCCACCGGAATCTTTCAGAGGGCAGTGTTTATGGTATGTTTAACATTTCTGAATGAATGCAAGATGAAATATTTGATAGTAAACCACTTGAGCCATGTTTATATATTAGCTTTTTACAATGAGATGGCTTGAAATTAATATCACAAGTGAAATTACATTGTTACATTAATTTTTAGTCATGGTTTTGAATGAGTGTATTTAGATTATACAAGAATGAAGGATCAACTAAGCATGTAGTAATTATATAGAATTTTTTCAACCAGAGCCTGAGAATGTATTGAAGTTGTTCACCGAAAATATCTATCTGCCATTTTGAAATATTATATATATGGTATGTATATGTTTTTGACTTTTCCATAACTTGGTGCATGTAGAAGCTTTAATCTCAGTTGAAAGGTTGTACACATACTTGGTCTTTTTTGTCTTGAAACGAAAAGATTTACTTTTTCTCTCTTATGACAGGGTTTGTTAAATGATCATGTGAATGCAATGGATTTTCTTATGGATCAGCACAATGTAGTTTCCCGTCTAAACCCCAGTATTCTTGGAGCAGAGAAAAGATACATACATTTCAGATCCACATCTGGTAACTACTTTTCTCTGATTAGCCATTGATATGGTTTTCCTTTTTCTAAGTCTAACATATTGCATTTTACATTTTTCAGTTCCGTTTGATGTGGATGACTTCTCTACTTTCTCCTTTTTGGACTCACAAGATAAAAGTGCTGTGATTTCAGACAGCATGAAGTATTTAACAAAAAAGGGTATATTAATTTTCTATATGGGTATTATATTTATACATATATGTGGGCATTACAAATCACTGTAATTTGTCAGTTAAATATCCCAAGTAAGTACGTACCCCAAGAATCATATGTGAATAAATAAATTTCCTGATATCACAATATTTTCTTTCTAGAACCAGATCATATCCTAATATTATAAATTGTAACTAATAGGGTAGTTATTCTAGATTTTTGTGTTTTCAAAATGGGATGGATGATGTGGCTAGTTGTTTTTTGTTTTACAGATTTAAAGTTAAAAAGCTTTGTAAGACTTTGCAATTTCCATACTAACACTGTTTTTTACTTGAGGATGTTAAAGAGACTATATTCAGTTTTTAAGTGACTCTTGGTTGCAGCATTATCAAGTGATGAATGTATAGTCTTTATAATATCTGTATCAAAAATGGGCATTTCTACAATTTAAGGGATAGTTGATTTCATGCCTTATTTGCAGTATTTATTTATGCAGTATTAATAATCTTTACTTACTCCATTATCAGAAAGAAATGCCATACACTTATTTTTCTTCAGGATAGAATTATTTGACTCTATTTGATTCTCCGTCTACAACCACAAGGACATCCCAGCTAGTTGTCATATGATAACTGGCTTTCAATCTGTAGGTTCATTTCTAAGATTTAAATCTCTTGTGTAAAAACCCCCAACTTTTAAGCTGGAATCTCCATTTCAAATCTCTCTCTTCACTGTGTTTCTCTAGACCACAGCAACACTCAGTAATAATCTCTCCCTAGAATCTCAGCAGAACACTCCAAAATTCCTGTTGATACATATTACCTTTTAGGGGATATATCATAAACCCAAATAGACTGATATTCTTCTACAGATGATTTTGTAGAACCTTTCATGTACCATTGCCCTTCTATGATGAATAAAGATCAAGACACTATAGACTGAGAAAAAAGGGGGATTTCTGCATAGAAATCTATGCAATAGTTTACTTTTTTTGTTTAGTATTTTCCTGTTTGTGTCCAGAAACTGTAAATTTTGTCCTGCCTTGACTCTCCCTTTGCTGATGGGGAAAGTGAATGGCCTTAACTCATTTTAATTATTTTCATTTCTGGCTATATGACCAGCCTCCAGCAAATGTTCAAAAGAAGCCTGGGATAAAGCAGCTCTTGTTAATTGGAGCTAGTTTACAATTTAGGGCCATCTTGTTTCAGTGATACAGCAACAGATTGACTATTTTAGTGACTCTCTCATATTAACATGATAAATTACCTCCTAAGGATTTTATTTCAGTTCAGAGGGTAAAAGATTCTGATGTGGCAAAGATTGGTCTACAGTTGAAGTCAGAAAATGTACACATGAACTTCAAAATCTCAAAGAAAATCTAATTCGTTATTCATGAGAAGAGTCTCCAGAATGTAAAGCAGGATTATCTTTAATTTTCAGATGAAGATGCATTATATGCTGTTACTATCTGGATTGTTGCTGATTTTGATAAGCCAGCTGGGAGACGACTGCTTTCGAATGCCTTGAAAAGCCTGGTGAGTTTCTAGCAGTTTTTATTGCAATAATTATTATATGTTCTTAACAACACTGTGGACATTCAAGAATTACACTCTTAAGTAAAGGTGTAATAAGAATTATTTTTGTGGGTCAGATGACGACTTACAGGACTGTGCTTTCACTTTGCTCTACTCTCCTGCAACGCTGGCATCTGACAGGCCTGTAAATGATTATTTAGTTTATGGGTTCTCACTTCTTCCCAGTTACACACTTTCTCCCATGAGGTAACCTAGTGTGTTACCTGGGCCAGGGAAGTTAGATCCTAATATGAACCATTATGCAGTGTTCTTCTGTGTTGCATGTCAGCTGTGGCTGTGAAGTAACTTTTTTTTCACATCCTATTTGTATGCTTCTGAGACAGATTAATTTTTTTAATTTGTATTTTTATGTGCTAGGAGGATTATCCACATTTAAGAGTCTGATTAGGTTCCTCAGTGTGAATAATAGGACTTAGAGTATACAAGAAAATGTCATGTAAATATAAATGACAAAAAAAAAATCTCAGTTCTGGGGAAGTTAAAAGAGTGATTAGAATAAAATTGGGAAAACATCTAGATTTAACTGATCAGGAATGAAACTGGAACCACCCTAAGGGAATTATAAAATTGTTATGCTGCAGGGAGTGGGTGATACCAAATATGTCTTTAAAAATAACCTTAAAAACCTGCAAAGTACAAGTCCTTGTTACAGAAAATCATTTCATTTATCTGCCTACTAGGTCTGTGGCCTGAGCTTGACAGTTGTATTCCCTCTCTAGTTTTATTTTTTCACCCCTTCAGCAGGGAAAATATGCTGTAGGTCCCAACTAGGAAGTGAGAGCTGTCTGTCAAGCTCCCATGTGTTAGTAAGGAGAATCGAGGAAAAACATTAGAAAAAAAACAAGGCTTGCTGGATCTTCTATGAAGTGGCAGTTTAATTGGTTCTCTTAATTCTCATTGATAGATTTGATTTAGATTAACCTCATGTAAACTACTTGGTCTAGTGATTGCCAAGTTTCATGACAGAAAAAAACACAGATTTTTTTTTTAAGTTCATTGCTTTGCATGGAGGTTCTCTACTCCTTTCCAGGCCCTCTAGTTTCAGATCAGGGTCTAGTAGAATTTCTGGTAGGTACAGAACAGGCACTGAAACATCTTGTGCATGACTACCATCAGCATTTGAAGAAAAGCGTAAAAGAATCTGGGAGGGGAAGTGGATGAAAGGAACTGACAAAATTTTAACTATTCCAGTTAATACATAATATTTCAAAAAATACTAATATATTTTTACTTCATTTGTAAAAACTGGAGATGTCTTAGCTGGAAGAGACCTCTGGAGGCATTCAGTTAGGCCTCCCTCTCCAACTGGGATTATTGCTAATATCAGATCAGGTCAGCTGTAGGCTTGTCTGAAGAAGCCCTGAAAACCTCCATTGCCTCACTTGACAATTTGCTCTGGTGTTGCACTGCCTTCCTAGTGTAGTTTTTCCTGCCAAGTCAAAATTTATGAACCTTGTTATACTCTCTGCCACTAGCGCAAAGAGTTCAGCTCTCTCGTGTTTCTCTCTCACCATTAAGTAGCTGTTGGCATTCTCCATAGCCTTCTGTTTGCCAGACTTCTTTCAATACCTCCTCACAGGCCCTTAGGGCTTATTACTGCTACCTGGTGTAGACCTTTCGGAAGCTTCTCCAGACTCAAAATCTCCTTACTGCAGTGGTGGGACCAAAACCAGGAGCAGCAGTTCAAGTGCAGCCTCACAAGTACTGAGTAGAGGAGAATAAGAACTTCCCTTGATTGGTTTTCTGTATGTCTTGTAATGTAGCCTAGCGCACCACCTGTCTTCTTTCCAGCAGTAACACACTTATCAGGAGCAGTTTCAACTACACGTTTTCAAACTTTTCGAATAAATATTTTAACAAAACTTTCCTCAAGAGCTGCAATTTAGAGTTTGTCACTTAAATATGTTGCATACCAATGATAACTTCCCTTATTTCTGTATTCCTTACTGCAGTAGTGTCTGTTTACCTTTTCGTTAGCTAGTGATGCTATTTGATCGTACCTTAGAATCACTACTCTAATAAAATTTAAGTGGCACCATTAGATTTGCCTGCTATTAAGATTAAAGTGAGTGGATAAATTTTCTTATATTTATTTTATGTTTTTATTTGATAGTTTTTTAAAAACATCTACAAAGCCATTTCTGGTTTGTAAATGAACATTTGTATATGTTTTTAAATTTTTAAATGTTAAAAACACAGAATATTCTATTAAAAAAATATCTTCCATTTAAAATACATATTATGAAACAGGTAAATCCTTACTAATAAGATTTTTACTCCTAAAGTTTTGGATTAGGCATTGATGTCTGTTTTCTAAAGACAAAGAGCTGCAATAATTTAAATACTTACGGGCATTTCACAAAACTATAATAGATATGAATACATTAGGTAATAGCAGATGGAACTTTAAAACTGTGTATTATTCTGTATTTTTCTTCACAGAAAACAAGCAGTCATACACGACTTGGGATTTTGAACAACCCTTTGTCAAAAATAAGGGAAGATAACACAGCCATTGCAAGAGGAATTTTGACTGCTTTTCTAACCCAGAACAACAACAACTTAAAAAGTTTCCTAAGTAAACTCAGTAAGGAAGAGACAGCAAAATCCCTTGCTGCTGGAACTAAGATTGCTAAATTCCTTGTCCCAGTGAGTGTAAAATCAATTAGACTGTTTTCTTTTTCATTTCATATATTTTATTGTAAGGAGATGTTGAGAATAATAGTGTTTGGCCAAATGCCATGAAGTTTATAACACTTGTACAGTTTCTGGTCTAGCAGATTTGAGTCTTTGACAACTTCTGTGTGATGGAATAATAGAGAATTTCTTTAAAGTAAAGGAAGAAAATACGAGAGTATTGAAAAATACAGAGTACAGATATTGGATTATTGAGACAAATAGTTGAAATTTTAATTGTTGATTTTATTTTTTTAAAGCGCTCACTTACTTAAAATTACAGTATAATGTTTACCATGAATTAAGACTTCAGAAGTAACTGTGTTTACCTTGCTGTTGTGGTTGCGAGAAGTAGTAGGCAGAGACTGAGGAGGCTAAGGTTAATGAGCATTGTATACTTCTGGCTAATATTTTATGGTGCATTTCAATGAAAATTCATTGGTTTAAAATGTAAACGTTGCTGATTTCAAAGTTCACATGTAAAGCAGAGTTGAGTTGTCAAATAACAGCTGCAAACTACAGTTTCCATTTCAGATAGAGCTGTAAATGTTAGTATTTTTAAATAGGAAGATTTGGAAGACTTAAGAGAACTTGCTGGCACCATATTGGAAAACTAACTGGGTCGTGCTCTTACTTCATTGTCTGATAAATTTTGAATGACATAAAGGCAACTAATTAAGCAGTGTATTATCTGAATTAGTCTTATCTGCTTGGTCTGTGTGTTTCTAATGAAGAAATACCTATCGGTAGCATTTAATACAGGAAGGTAATTATGACAGGTGAGGCACAGTGCCATTGTAAGCATGGCAAAGTTCCAGCATTTTTTTTCCCAGTTTGAATGTTGATCTGTTACATGTCTAACTGGATGATTTTTGCTATCCCAAAACATGTTTAAAGCTGTATCCAGTGGCCACATAAAATGACTGTTAGGTGTTTAGAGTATTATGCATGTTTTTACACCTTTTTCCTAAAAGCTCTTTTTTATGCAGCTATGTTCTGGATCATAGAAAAAGTGTTTAAACTCAGGCTCAGCTTTCCTCTCATGGTTATTCAGTTTCCCAAAGGTAAAAACTGCATACTAGCTAGCTGGCAGACCATGGCTCCACTCCATCGGTCATGTTCTTACACTAGGGCTGAGGTGGTTCTTATGTTACTACATAACTTGAAGAAAATTTTGATTACCTCAGCTATTACAAAATCTATTTTTTGCTGAAATAATTATCTCATGCTTTACCTTTGCTTTAGGGAATGGATGGCAACACTTTTGAGAAGAAGTACAACACTTTAGGACTGGATATAATTAAAACTCACCAGATGTTCTGCCAGGAGGTTCTTAAGCTGCTTCCTGGGCAAATGGCTGTTATAAGCAATGGCAGGGTAAGAAAGAAATTAAGTCATCTCTCAGTCTCTCTGTAGATACTTACTTCCTGGAACTTCAGGTTCAAGGTAAAGAAAATGCATTATATAGATTTCCCACTTAATCAGTGTGTTGTTAGAGAATGGTGTAAATGTTTGCCTTGTTTTTTTATTTTGTTTTACTCCTGATTTGTATATTATCTCTCTTCGATTGAAGCTATTAGGCAAGTATGTCATCACTCCCACAGCTACTTAAGAGTTAATCCTACGAAATTCTTTCAGTACTTTAATATTTAATGCATTACAAATGATATTAAATAACACCTTTGATCCTAAAGTTACCTATATTTTACACATTTGAGGTAGGGTAAAATACTGCTTATATAATTAAAAAAAATAAATACATTGACCGGGGTAGTATTCCAGGCTGTAAAAACCCAAATTGTTTATAAGTATTAAACTGTTAGTCTTAATTCTTGGTGTTCAAACAAGGGTACAGTATGTCTGTTGTTTCAGTTTCTTGTATGTATATTCTGAAACTAATAGCCTTAACTGCAGTGTGGCTATTCTGAACTGCGATTAAAACCCATAATATAGGATTCACTATTTAGTACTTGTTAATGATAGTCAATACCTTACATTACAAATACAGTTTATACAAACTACTTTGAGTTATCTCTTCTATTTTCCATTTATTCCTCTACCATTAGAAAAACATTGAGATACTGTTTCGGGATGTCATTTCTAGAAACTCTCTTTAAATTGTCGTTTTAGTTGCTCTTGCGCATCCTATTTGGCTTCTGAGATACAACTGAAATACCACTAACAAACCCACAGAAAGCATTTTTGTTGATTAAGCACAGAAGAATTGTGTTGGCTTGTTTGTTCTCCCTCACCCACCAGAATGTGCAATGTTATTTTATAAATGGTTGTTACTGTATACCATGCCTTAAAAAAAAAGCCCTCAAGTGTCATATTTTAAGTTTGGAGGAAGTTTCTTTAAAACACTTGGATAAATTTGGTAATACATATTCATCTATCTGAAAGTATGTTTTCACTTTAAAAGATTACTTTTAAAAAAGACATGGGGTATCCTTCCTTTCTGTCCTTGCTATTTCATCACTGAAATTTTGTATTTATTAGCAAATTATTTTTTTCTAATTATGACTTCTACAAAAGTAGCATGGTATTTCATAATCACATTATGGCTTTCTCTATCTCATGTATCGTTAAAATATATTAATTATTCAAAAGTGTAATTTTACTAGATAACCTCTCATTTCTAAGAAGAAATTGAAATTTGGGAGAGGGGGACTCAGCACCAAATATACATCATGATATTCTACATATGGGGAGCCCTTTGGGCTCTTAAAGTTGATTTGGGTTATTTTAGCCTGGTGGACAATGAGTACAAAATCCAAACAACATTCTAAAGGCTGTTTTCTGGGACTTAAGGCACCTTCTTCTCCTTCAGATACTAAAAAAAGTAGTTCTGTTTCTTGTCTCTGCATATCCTCCATTCCTCATCCTTTGCTGTTTTCTTGCTTTCTATCCATTCTGCTTTATTTGAGAAACCTTGAGGAATAAAAGACTGTGTTCACTGAATTAAACAACTAAAGAAAGTGGTTGGCAGATAGTAATTGGAATTTCAGTTTAAATTATCTTAGATTTATTTTTTCTAAATAGTGTGGTTCTTTACATAGGTATATATAATGAAGAATATTGTGGATATTTCTATTGCAGCTGTTCTTTATGAGTAATAATTAACTGTAATTACATAACTGTAGAAACCTAATCCTGTATAGTTAATCTACAGTTTAGTAATATATAGTTAATAATATTGATGAGTGCTGGGGGGCGCGTATTGAATATTGTTTATTCATTTAAAATGTTAGTATATTTTTGCTTACAGAAGAAACATCATTGGGACATTCTATGCTTAGTAACACTTTATCTCTGCTTAAGGTACTGGGTCCTTTAGATGAAAATGAATTCTATGCAGAAGACTTTAATTTGTTGGAAAAGATAACATACAGTACCTCAGCAGAGAAGATTAAAGCTATTGTTAAAGAGATGGGAAACAGTAGTAAAAGGTAAAATTCTTTTGCATTTTGAGGCTTTATGATATACTGCCATGTTTATTGCCTATGACAAATTAATAATCCTTTTGCATGGGAAATACAAAGGTTCAATATATAGTCACAGTACTCTTCATACTATATACATACATATATACACTCTAAAAGCACTTAGTGTTTGTTGTTTGCATGCTATGTATTTGCTATCTTCTTACTTAGCATCTGAGTCCTTCTATGTAGACAAGTTTAACTGTCCCTCGTTTCCTTTTTATCATTTACCTGACAGGCTTAGTATACTTACCTACTCAAACCCTTGCCTTATTTTCTAGAAGAAATGGCACATTTGCTGCATTTTGCATCATAATTTTGCTTGGCTAATTATGCTATTTAACATAGTTTTCCACTGTGTATATAAACTGTATACGTTGGATTGCAGCTGCATGTGTTGTTTACCCTACAGCTGACAGTCTCTTTGCTACTTCCTTGTAACAGCACAGAGCCGAATAAAAAGGCACCCTGTGTTATTCAAGAGATGTGCACCCTTTTATCATTGGTAATATGTGTGATGAGGCTAAGGCATAAAGGAGGTTATTGTGTGTCTCGAGAATTATATACATGTCCTCTCCAACTTGCTTCATAACATTTGTGCAGATCTGCTAAATTACTCCAAATACTTCATCTACTTTAACTGTACTTAGAACCAGGAGACAAGTATAGCTAACTGCAAATAATACCTTCTAGCTTTTGTTTACTGAAGAGTAATTATAATGATACTAAGCTTGATAAAATTCAGTGCATCTTAAAACCACAATAATATCTGAGTATTGCTATTTGAAGTGAGGAAGTGCATTGTCTTTGGGAATCATTAGAAAAGGAGCATGTAGAAGCGTGGGCAGTGTGGTGTTCTGACACCTTGCTAGCCAACATTCACACATCTGTTAACTGAAGAAGTGTAAAGATGAGTTCTAGCCAGATTTTAATCTAAGGATGCAGGTTGTGTTCAAAGAAAAGAGCAGGATTATGTTACTTTTACAATGTCTGTTGACTTTCTATGTCTAAGTATCATTTCTGGCATTTGGAAGGACTGGCACAGCTGAAAGAATAACTACCAGAAAAACAAAATCAAGAAGAGATAGAAATATTGAGGAGATAACTAGTGAGAAGCAAAACCTATTTAAACAAATGTAAAGACTTAGTGACACTGAAAGATGACTGTCAGGGGCTGTAGTGATAGGACAACGGGTAATGGGTTCAAACTAAAACAGGGGTATTTCAGGTTAGATATAAGAAGCTCTTTACTGCGAGGGTGGTGAGGCCCTGGAACAGGTTTCCCAAAGAAGTGGTAAACTCTCAGTCCCTGGCAGTGTTCAAGGCCAGATTGGACAGAGCCTTTGGTGGCATGGTCTAGGGTGAGGCACGCCTGCCCATGGCAAGGGGGTTGGAACTATATGATCTTAAGGTCCTTTCCAACCCAAGCCATTCTATGATTTTATACTAAAGTTTCTACAGAAATTCCAGTAAGAAATAAAATACATAGAATGATTTGGGTTGGAAGGGAACTTAATCATCTAGTTCCAAGCTTCTATCATGGGCAGGGATGTTGTCCACTAGACCAGGTTGCTCAAAGAAAGACACCAGAATGCTCTATAAATAGCTATAAATGTCACCAGATTGCACCATGCAAACTGTGAGGCTGAATGGCAGTTCTGCTAGTTCTGCATCACGTAATTTTTAGAAGTGTACAGTTCACAAGCTGTAAGGCAGTAGTGGTTCTTGGTTATTTTCATGCCAAAGATTTTCTTCAAAGCTACAAATCTTGAGGTGACAATCATTTTAGAGAGTCTGGGTTTGGGATGTGGGTATCTGTTATGCAGACAGACATACATTAAAATGTGAGTGTTGTATTTCTAATGAAAAACAAATTATATATGCCTGATTGACTACAGTGGCAGTGATTTGATCATGAAAATAGATGCCTTACTGTCATCCTTGCCGAAAACAGAGACGAGACAGGATGTTGAATTACTCAAAGAGCAGCATAGGTAAGTTCTCTCTGTCGTGATATTGCGTTTATGCTATTGTGTTTAAAATTAAAATGTACTGATGACAACACATCTTCAGAAACTTGAGTAAGCATTCCAGTTTTAAAAGAAGCTGTTTATTCTATAGTTGTATGAACAACCTGTTCATCTGTTTATCTGCCCTAGCCTAAATAAAGTAATTAGGAATACCTAATGATTTTCCAGTCTTATCGTTTGCTAAAAAAGGCGATTACAATTGATATGAATGGAAGTGGTGATCTGGAGTGAAAAAACTCTGAGTTCATACATTTACTAAAGTGTTAGAAATAGTTTCACAAATTAGAGCTAAAAGAAGCTGCCTCTAATTTTCATTAATGTGGAATCCTCTAGCACAGCTGTTTCTGTTTGTGTACCTTGAGTCGTATTGGCAAAATTAATATATGTATCCTTATTCCTCTATAAGTTTGTGACTTGGTAGTGTCATTCTTGACCACAGCTAAATACAGAGCTTTCAAATGTAATTCAAAATTAAATTAAGTTGCATTCAAATGTAAATTAATAGGGCTCACTGGCACCTAATTCCTTAAGAAAACCTGAACAGACTGTCATCATCTAACAGACTTAAACTTGGTGAGCTCATATTAGTGTTATTTCTGTACTTGTATCTTGGCTCCTTGTGTTTCTGATACTAGATTGAGAATATGGATATGCCCTAAGCATCATCTTTTGTTGTCATCATAATGAATGAGACCTAAAATACCAAGATGTGCATCTTTGAATCCTGTCCTCATAATGGGGTACTAGCAGTAGCTGAATTTAATTTAAGCTTAGCTTGGATAAGCTTTCTGAAGCAGACAGGTACATTTTTTAAAATAACATAATACAAGAACTCTGATCAAAATAAAAAACCTTTGCTGTTTTCAAATCCCTGCTAGTTTTATTGGTAAAGGTGCTGTAGTGTGCTGTGCCAATGGGCTGGCCCTGTTGTTGAGCATACAGAGTGAAATGACTATAGCAGTATAACAGTATTCAGTAGTCTGTTCTAAATGGCTAACACCTTTTACAAAGTTATACTAATAAGAGTCAGTACTATGCTACATATTGGAGGGAGTTTGTCTCTCTAATGGTAGTCACATTTCTAGGTATATTTTGTATGGAAAACCAATTCAGATAGTTCATTTTGTGTATTTACAGCATGTTTTTAAATGATGTTTACTAACATTTCCTTCCTGTAGATGCAGAGTACTTTAACTAGGGTCTTTTTTACTTAGTCTAATCAAGTTTATCAAACTAAATTATTTTCTGGAATGCATAAAGCTTATCCGATCTATCAAGTTTCACACTTTTCAGATGCTGTTTTTCCCACTGTATTTTTAAAACTGTGGCACTGCCAGCACTTGTCAAATCTGATGCTTCTAGTTATCAGCAAAAGAAACTGTAGACCAGTGACCAGAAGGCCATTTCTAAAAACACAGCAAAATTTTATTTGATTAATTTTGTTATGGGGCATGTATTTAATCAACAACCAGTATAGATCTATGTAGATTAATGCTAAACCTTTAGTTGCTCTTAATGTTTAGCTTTTCTAGTGGCATCACATGGAACAGTACACTGGTTGAAACAAGGAAAACATTTTCATGAGCAGTAAAATCTAAAGTGCCTCTGATATTATAAATTTATACCTAAAAATGTTTCTTATTTCCACAAATAGAGTTTAGAGTTTTCATGTCATTTATTTTCTCATACCATTTTTTTTTTTTTAACAGTGTAGTAAAAGTCAATCCCCAACAGGATGAACCATTCTATGATGTTGTTGCTATTGTGGATCCATTGACAAGAGAAGCACAGAAGATGACTCAGTTACTGATTGTAAGATGGTGGTCATTTCTTTTAATTTGCATATTTGTTGCTAAACTTTTTTTTACTAAACTTTTTCTAATTTGCATGTACAGTGTAGCAACAGGGTAGACAAACTTCAGGTATTTTAAAAATAGATAGTTATCTATTTAAATTCATATTTAAAAGTTGGGAAGGATCTAATTCATCATTGTAAGTACCTTATTTGCAAGAAAATTCAGATGGGGAGGGTACCAGACTTCTTAAAAGCAAGTCCATAAATGCTCTTTATAGTCAGTAGAAGGAAAGGAGGAGATTGTCTGCATAATATAGAGGAAAAGGATCTCCCATCTCAAAATCTTAAGAGGCATATGCTTCTTTCCATTAAACCAGATCACCTTATTTTCCCATGTACCTAAATGAGGTGGTCTAAATCTGTCCCGTAATATCATCATAGGAAGATTGAACTATAAAACTTTCAGCTCTTGCAAGGGTATTTCTCAGTTGATTAATGCTGCCAGGCATATCTAGAAGTCTTCCATTGTGTGTAGCTATTGATCGTCTAAAGCGTATCAGTCCTGAAAACATAGCTCCTAAAATGATTGTCTTTTTTTCTCTAGCTGCAGAATATCACTCTACCTCAGGTTCCTTTATAGTTTCTCATAAAAATGTAAATTTTGTCTTCTCTTTATGGTCTGTTACAATTCTGAAGTCTGTAACTTGATTTTTCCTGCATCCTGTTTTATCTTTTTCTCTGCAGTAATTATGAAAGTTTCATAAATTCTTACACTGCTTTTTCCCCTTCCATTTTTATATCTTCTTATGCGTTTTCTATCAAAAGTTAAAACATCCACTCACTCTTCATGCATAATGTGAAGCAAAGTAAAACACTTAAAAAAATACATATTTCAAGACTCTTGAAATACTACCTTTTCTCTAGAATCTGATCTTTCATTTCACCATTCCCAGTTAAAATGAAAGCTTGATACTACCAAATAAAAATACTAACTGATGGGGCGAGTTTTTTGTCTTGCTTGAAGAAAAAGTCCAGTGCAGATACACATCATTTTGGATGCATTATCTTTATTTGAGAAATAGTTTTCTTCAATGTTTAAAATTCTGGGTGTGTTTTAGTAGACGAGACCAGCTAGTACTGGTTACACGTGATTTTTATTCCAAATTATAACTGCTTGAGGCACTTCGACCTTTGTTCTGATTTTGGAGGCCTTTAGCCCACGTCACATAATAATTTCCCTTGTTATGCTTCCAGTGCTGTTAGGTTCCTATTTCCTGCTTCTTCCCTTGTCATCACCCTTATGCCATTTTTTAGTCTTTATTTTTCGTCTCAGTAATTTTACAGTGATGGTATTCAAGTGACAGAAAGGATGGGAATGAGAAACTAGAGCAGAACAGGTCCATAGGACTAGATGAAGTTATAGCACTATAGTGAAGAATATGTGTATCCTTGGGTTGAAGTCAGGAAAGAAAAAAACGTTTATAATAAAAGAGAGATTTAAGGATGACCATTGACTTGCTTTGTTCCAAATTTACTTGCTGCTACAGTGATTTTAGATTTTAGCCTTAGTGGTATCAGTATTTTAACTTAGCTTAATATTTGCATTTCTAATAATATCCATAAAGGTAGGCACAGCTGCTTTATGCTTTCAAATAAGCACTTTGGATCAGAAACTACAGAAATCAAGATAATTTGATAAAGGTTTTTAAGAGTGCTTTAAGGAAATTAATAACCTTGTTAACTTGAAATAAAATTGATTGCTCACAAAAATAAGAAAAAATTACTGTCTTAATATTATGGTTCCAATATAACAGCATCCAGAAAATTAGTATTTTTAAAATGAACAGATGAAGATATTGAGAAAGAGTAGAAATAGTTTAGCTTGCAGGAATGTTTTGAAGTTGATTGAATAGTTTAATACATCATTAATCTACTGCTGACATTTAAAAATCATTAACTAATTAAGTATTAAAGTAATTCTCTGAGCTTTGCTATATTTAACAATTTACCGCATGCAACTATTTTAGTAAGAGTTAAGTCATTGTTTTAAGTTGGTTATTAATAAAAGGCATGTGTTGTACTCACAAACTTTCAAGTGCTTTAAAATCTAGAAAATGCAATAGAAGAAAGGTGATAATTTACTCAAGCACTGGAAAATAGGGATAGCTGCTCTTTAAAATACTGCATCACTAGGGGAAAGCATTAACATTTTGACTATTAAGAATATCATGTGCTAAATCATGCAGTTTTAGAAAAGGTCAGATCTTTAATTGGAATATCTGACAGCATCCCTTAATACACAGATAGATATATTTAGAACTTGCAAATGTTTGAGGTTTCTGCTGAAGCTTGAGAAGTGACAGCATGTCACAAGGATAACTTTGTCTTATTTTCAAAGTTTGGTGATTACCAAGAACCATTTTTTACAGAGATTTTTTTTTTTCTGTAGGTACTTAAAGACATCATCAATATGAAACTCAGGTTGTTTTTGAACTGCAGATCTAAGCTGTCAGAAGCACCTCTGAAGAGGTAGGTAGTTTATAGATTTTCTTACAAGTATATGATCTGGTTTGGTTTGGAAAAAGTGTCATCAGCTTATCTCCCTTTAAAAAGTAAAGAGTGGTTGGTATTTCTGGTTTCTTTTGTTGCATTAGTTACTTTATTTGAGTGGAAGTTGAATGTTACCTAAGCAGTTTGCACTTGTCTAGAGAAAAATTCTAAGGTCTCAAATATGGGATCATAGGGAAGTTATCTAATTCGTCACATGCACCTCACAAGTATCCTTACAGAAATTAGTGGAGAGTGTTTCATGAGTCTTTCTGTGACAACTTGCAGAGGGAGATTGTTTGCCTAACTTGGTCGCTTCTTTCAGCCCACAGTCTGTGCAATGATTTTTACAGGTTAAGAGAACTTAAGAATTTCATCTGAGTAAATGTACAGTCTGCATTTGAGACCTCATTATAACTAAGAATATACCATTAGAGTATGTGTTAAACTGAAATGTCTTAGCTGTCCGAAAACCAAGGTTCACTAATTCAGTTATAGATGCTTATACTGAAGTGAATTCTGCAGAAGGGATTCCTTTCCTTCTAAGTGAAATGTTTAAGCAGTGCCATCACTTTGGCAGATATCTTCCCTATAATAGTATTACAAGAAAGGCCAGTGGTAGTGCCTGCCCTCTAATCAGCAGACTAGAGAATTCATCACTTGCCCATGAAACAGAAGTCCTTCCTTTCCATTTGGTTTGAGAGGCATTGAACTCACAAACTCATACCTCTTCTACTGCATCAGAGTGTCTTAATTGTAAATCTTCTGAGTATCTTACATGAACATTGTCATGATTGCTTTTAAAGCTAGGCACTTTGCAGGTGCTAGTTTCTGGTTCTTTCCCTGTGCCTGGGAAGGGTGAGAGGAAAAAGCGTTCTGACATCTGGTCTGTGGGCAAGTTGTATTTTTCTTGCAGCAATGGCTTCTTATGAAATGCATCCATATACTAGCCCAGATAATTTGTGGGAAAGTTGTATTCCTCATTATAGGTACAGACTTTCTTAACTTTTAACTTTTCATGGTAATTAGTGTCCTATTTTTTTCCCCTTATGAAGCACTCATTGCTTGCTGCTTTCACTTTCCATCTTCAGTGCTGTCCTTTCTCTGTTCTGATTCTTCTCATTTTGTTGAACATCAGTAGAGAAGGGAAGAAAATCATAATTATTGTTGCAAGGAACTTGTACCTGTGGAATACATGGTCTAAGAGCTGGAAAATTGTCTTTGCTGGTGCAAGTGTCAGGACCTGTTCCTGAAGACTATTCTAGTAGATATTAGTCCTGCTTACTTGAGTGATAGAGAATTCAAGATATTTCACAGTTAAGATGTTTAGATGCACCTCTCAGATATACACCTTTCCAGCCATTTAGAATGTTACTGGGAGCCATGCGCTTTCACAGCAAGAAAATATCAAAAGTGAACAGGTATGTGTTTATCTTCCTTCCCATTTGAGATGCTGTATGCATTGTCTGTCAGTATTCCAAAAGAACAGGGAGCTACTCTGGCTCCAAACATCATTAATTTGGTAAATATTCATGATGTTTTAAAGTATTTTAGAAGAACTTCATGTTTGGAACTTCATGCTGCATAAATGTATTATGTTTTTTAACACTTTTTTTCAACAGCTTCTATCGTTTTGTTCTGGAACCAGAATTAAGTTATGGGATCAACAACCACCTTCCTTCTGAACCTGTGGCAAAATTCTCAGAATTGCCAGAATCACCCCTTTTGACTCTAAACATGATCACTCCTGAAAGCTGGTTGGTTGAAGCAGTAAACAGTTCCTGTGATCTTGATAACATTCATTTACAGGATGTAAGTAATAGTTTGTAAACATTATAAAACTTGTCTTGGGCCTTTCACTTCAAGAGGGAAATAGAAATATTGTGAGAATTTTTCGCCTGTTTTCCAGAAATAATTTCTGTGGTAATTGATTAGTCTGTATTTTGCCGTTTTTTATTTTCATCTTTTTTTCCGCATTCTCTCTTACTTTAGGAAAAAAAAAAAGGATTAAAAGAAAGCAATGAAATAGAAAAAAGACAGAGTACAAGTTAAGAAAGGCAGAGTACAAGTTAAAGCAATTTATCTGCTATGCTGGGCTTTATAATGTTTACGAAAATACTACTTTTTGAGATAAAAACACAGCAGTTAAGGGATTCTGTATATTAGCGTTCTATTTCTCTTTTACTTTTTAACTATTTTTGGTAGTAATAGGATTAATCTAGATAAATCTTCAAATAAACATGAATATAGGGTGGTTTATTAATCCAGATGAAAATATATTTGACCCTTTTTTAGTTCACAATTTTTTAATTATACTTTTAATCCCTCAGCTTCAAAGTCACTAGAACTGTTTCATTAAGATTATACAAAATATTGAGGATGTTTGATTAACCAAAGGTGTATATTGTGGAAGGGGTATTGTGAAAATAAAGGTTGGGATTTACCTTACCAAGGCTGAGATGCTTCAGCTTCCTCAACAATGGAGAGAACGTTCCTCTAGACAGTGATTCATCCTCTTTTATCTTGGATACCTATTTTAAAGTGGAGTGAAGCTCCTCCTGGAAGGGTTTTTCTCCCTTTTTTTTTTTTTGACAGCTAAATTTAGTTGAAGGAAATCCCATGCAACACATTTGTCATTGTAATATGTTGCTTTTCCCACATAGTTAAATGATGTAATTTATTGATACCTTTCCACAGATAAAAGGGACAGTTACAGCAGAATATGAACTAGAATATATATTGCTTGAAGGACATTGCTTTGATGTGACAACTGGACAACCTCCTCGAGGGTTACAATTCACTCTGGGCACAAAGAATAATCCTGTCATGGTTGATACTATTGTGATGGCCAACCTGGTAAGTATTAAGTACAGAAATAGTCATTACTATTTCACACTCTTCATGAGAATTCCTTAGGAGCTTTGTGTTCTTTAAATCCATTTTGCTGTGTTGTAAGCTCAGTAACACTACAGGTACCAGGAGCATTCTGGAGTTGAGACTATCTACAAAAGATGTGGATCTCTAATTTGCTAAATTTTTGCCCGCTGTTAATCCAGTATAGGTTTGGATATAGCCTAATGTTAGATTCTTATCTTATGTGCCTAAACTGGGAGCCTTGTTGTCTGGAGTAGACAGTAGGAGGTTGTTATGTTCAGATGGAGATTCCACTGGCAACTTTAAGGTATGAATCACATTATGATTAAAATAACCATTTTTGATACACAATGATCCAGGCAAAAGAAGACTTCTATTTTAGATGCTTCAGCTAAATGTTTAAAGCCTCTGTGGGACAAGCACACACCTGAGAATTCTTCTGGTCATCCAGAGTAATTATTTTTTATTTTAGTAATCCGTAAAGGGGAAGATCTTGTGATTTCTGAAGTGAGATTTATTTTCTGTTGGCTAAAGTAACTTGGCAGGGAAGGATTTTGATGAAATGTTACCCATCTACTATTCTTTGTTCTCTGTAAATGCTGTATCACAAGGAATAAAATGCTTAAACTGCAAATCTTTGATTTTTACACAAGTACTGAAGACAGTCTCAACTTCAGAGGTTGTTCAGCATGATGAAACTTAATGATTCTTCACATTCCAAAGCATGCTTTGTCTGGCTTTCACATAGTGATAGCTGTATGCAGTGTTCCTAAATTGGGAAGGAGTTGTGTTAACCTGGAAAGTTGTTCCAGACAAAAATTTGAATTTAGAAATAAGCTTTTCAATTTAGGGTCAGTTTAACAACCGCTTTTTTAGCTAGGGTCAATTTCTTTACTGCTCATTTACTTGCTGTTTGAGATTTTGTATACAGCTCAGTTTCAGCTAGGACCAAATGGAGTACTGAAAGACATTCAGATGGGCATACAGGAAAGGTGATAGTTGGTTTCATCACTGCCATAGTATGAGAGTAGGTGATGAGACTAACCTTGTCTGCAGTACCAAATGGGGAAGAATTGACTTTTGCATGTGTACATGGTTGATTCTGAAATACTGACGTAACAATTGCCTGTCTTTCGTTTTTTTCATAGGGGTATTTTCAGCTGAAAGCAAATCCAGGTGCTTGGACACTGAGATTGCGTAAAGGAAGATCTGAAGAGATCTATCAGATTTTTTCGTAAGTATTGACCCATCTTTTGGAAACATAAATGAATCTGAAAATGCAACAGATTTTGAAAAGATCTGACAGTACTGGAGGAAAATGAGTAAAAATAACATGATAAAATTAGAACCAGGAGCAAATGATGATTTAATTTTCATAAGCTGGAGGAAGTACCATGAATTTCCCTCTTATAATTTTTTTCACCCCTAAGGGTGCCTCTGAATGTAGTTATTGATGGGTAGCATCTTTTTTTTAACAGGAGCATTATATTAATTTCGAAGCTATGTTTTTACTTCAGTTAATTCTGAGTATTTCTTAGTTACCTAAGTCATCAAAAAATCATTGCGGTTACACCTTTGCCTTAGGATATAGAAGCACCTTTCAATTCCATACCCTGGTTACATGTCAGCTGTGCCACATTTCTCTCTCTGTCTTGGGAGAAACACCAAGAGAGGGAAATGGGAAGAAGTCACATTGTACTCCAGTAACTGGCATTTAGTTGCCACCTATATAGCTTAGAGATCTGTAATTTCCATGGTCAGTTTTCATATGAGGAACATACACTAGCCACCATTCCAACTATTCCTTGGAAGAATCATCTTTTTTCTCACGTTCTATGTAACAGTAGAGATCTGAACCGTATATGGGCTTCCTCTTGAAGCTTTGGATATGATCTCTTCTGGAGGAGCAGTATTGTTTCCATTTATTTCAGCTTCAGTTCTTCCTTCCCCTCCACCCCATTCCTGTAATTCTGTGGGATGAAACAGGTCTGTTTCTTATAAGATATTTGTTATTACGTGGAGCTCAGGAACACATAGCCCCATATGATGTTTAGTCATCAGCTGCTATTAAAAATGGAAAAAAAAAACTTGATTAGTTTTGATGCTGTTTTGAATACTTAGTTAATGCATCAGTTTCAGGAATCAGGAAATGTTAATAGGATATTAGGGTCATTCTATTTGTTTGTGATTTTCAATTTATTTTTTTCCAGAAACGACTAACAATCTGTTGAAAAAGCAGAAAAACAGTCTGTATCCTAAGAAGTTCACTTAATATCCACCAGCTGTAGCTATATCATTTAATTTAATTTGACATTCAATTCTTAAGATATATAACGTGATTTATGAAAGATATCATGGTTTAAAAATGTAGTTGAATTTAAAAATGTAACAAAAATGAAACAAACCACTCAACATTTTAGGATGGATCAAAGGAAACTTAAATCATGTGCCATTTTTTAAGATCCCTGATTTTCCCTAAGAAGTAACACAGATAAGCTTAACTGACCTCAGTGAAGTTATGCAAAATTAATACTTGATGAGGAATCTAAGCAAAAAACATGTATTTAGTTTAATTATTACAAGCCATAGGCTTAGAGTATGATGGCTGAAGTATGTTTGGGAGGCTGTACCAGAACATTTAATATTACTTTTACTGATATTGGTATTAATAGTATCAAATTGCTATCAGAACTTCAGCAACTATTTGATAGGATGGGATTTTGCCAAGAGGTATTGCAGTGTATACTCCATCCTGACGTACTAGTCATATCTTCTCCTGTTGAACATTCTCATCTCCTGTGACTGAGATGAACTGTTTTCTTTGAGGCACAGGCCTGTACATTATAATGGGAGTTTCAGGAGAGTTACAGCATTTGAAGTTACAGCATGTTCTACACCTCTGTTCCTATTTGCTTCTCTCATAGTTGTATGTAATACAAATGCAAGTAACTGATTTTTACTTTATCTAAATACACAGCTTTTGAAATGAGCTTCTTTTTTTTGTTGGTTTTTTTGTTCCCCTGAACACTGCTTCTAACAAGGGTCACTATTTTGAAGCAGTCACACTTGTAAATCAATTCACTACTAATAAATTACTATAAATATTACAGAAATGAAAATTGTTATATATAAGCAGCAGTCTGAGCACTATTATTGGAACTTTAAGAAAAAAGGTAGTTACTGCAAGATAAACCTGTAGAAAATAGTTTATATCTATATAGAAGCTCCTGCTGAGTGTGTTGGTTTTTCAAAAGGCAGGTAGGTATTTATTTATATTTCTATTAAAAGTATGTAGGTGTTTTGGAACATTTAAAAGCTGTGACATAGTTTTGTACAACAATTACATAACAATAAAGTAGTTGTTAAATATTTAATAGTGCTCTCAGTATGCAAGACGTTGTGCTTCGATTTAAAAAAAGAAGTTGTGCCTACTTTTAATGTGTTTACAAACTGAGTTACACTAATGGTGTTCAGTATCTTTTGGGAAAAACATAGAATTCTTACTGGTTTTGCTAAAGGAGTTTATAAATCGTGACCTGGTTCTTCCAATCCCCAGGTCATATTCAAAACCTTACTCACATGATCGTTTGTTTGAAATGTACATCTGTTTACATGAATAAAACCACAGCATGCTGAATATTGTATGCACAGGGACAGAGAAAAGATGAGAGGGCCTGTATAAAATTCAGCACACTGAATTAAAATTAAACAACAGTGATGGACTCGATTTTTTCAGAGACACCCACCAAGAAAGAGTGGCTATCCTATTCTGTAAGTAGCCATTCAGCATGTAGTTGGGTGACTAGGAACTGAAGTATTCTGACAGGAAAAGAAGTTACCGTAGTGTAATAGTAGGAAGTATATGAAGAAGTGAATGAGAAACAAATAAATTGTATCTTGAGACCAATGTTAAGTGTCCAAGGTAACTAATGGCAACTATCACTATTTTCAGTTCATTGTTCATACTGGGATGGAAACTCATCACACTGAGTGCTGTGCAGAGGAAAACAATTGGCACTCAGCAAAGACAGAGCCAACAGTGAGGGATCCACAGAAGAGATACAAGGAGGCAAAGTGATGTTATTAAATTTACAGCCAAACCAAACACACATTGTAAAGACTTGGGAAAATCATCTTTGTTGGCAGAGCTGCAGAGCTGGCTACAGAATACTACTAGCTGAGTGAATAACAGAAAAATTTGATTGTGTAAAACCTGAGGGCAAAATTCAGAATACTGTGCCAGCTGCTGCCAGTTCTGCTATCAACAGTTTGTGGTTGGCTCTAATTTTATTATTTTAGAGCTTTTTAATGATAGCCTTTATTTAAAATTAGGATCTCTGCCTTTTATGTTGAGTACTGTATATCTCTGTGATAGAAAGACTGTTCTCAGCCAACTGCTCATATATGCAAATTCTAAAAGAGTGAAAATTAGACTAAACCAGAGAGTAGAAAATTCAAGATAATATTGAACCTTGTGCAGGAATTGGCCATCTCTATGAAACTTAGTAATCATAGGCACGTTTTGCTGATACGTATTTAATAGAATAATCAGACAACTATAGAAAATCCTGGCATGTTTAGATAGGTAGTATGACACAGATTGAAACAAGTTTTAAATATTTCAATTTTCTAGGCAAACAAAAAAAAGAATCAGGCCTAAGGAGTAACAGATTACTTTCTTAAAACAATTTTTTGTGTGCATAGCCTTAGCAAGAGGGAACCACATAAAGCTGTTAAAAGACAGAAAAGATGAAAGGAAAAATATATGGGCTATTGAAGTATAAAAGCTATACAATTTGAGAATTATGTTATTACACAACAACATTTTTCATACTTGTTACTCAGTGGACTGCAGTAAAGTTTTGAGGTGCTTGAATGGCTTTAAACTGGTGTTCAGTAGGGCAAATGTTCATGTGGTGTCTTGCAAAGCCACAGCTTTAGGGGTAAAGTCAACAATGCCAGCCAGTTGAAAGCCAATCTTTACTATCTCAGCACTGTGATGAAGCTTTCCCTAGACTTCTTAAAGCAGATTCATTTTAAAAGCACATTTGATGCTGTCACAAAGTAGTTTCTAAGATGTTTTTCATATTTGACAAATAAAATGTAGTTTAATATTTGAATGTAATATATACCCATATAATGCAGAATAATGTTCTGCGCTAGGTTGCTGCATTTTTAAATTTCCTGTGAAATCGAAATTAAAAAGTGAGGGCTACCACTGTGGACAGTGTCTAGTGATGAATAAAACTCGGGAAATTTCCAAATTTAAGATATAAATATGTGCAAGTAAAGAAATTTTATTTCTATAAATATCAGCAGTCCTAAACCTTATGCTCTAAAATGTGTGCTATTACCTGTGTTTAATGAGCCAGTGCCTTTGCATGTGTTTTTTGTCTCCTCACAGCCATGAAGGAACAGATTCTGTAGCTGACCTGACAGATGTTATCGTGGTATTAAACAACTTCAGAAGCAAAATTATCAAAGTCCAAGTATGTATAAAGATGCCTTTTTTTGTCTGAGGTATTTCCTTATGTGAAATGCAACTAACACTTGTATGTCTTAGGCTGTTTGATTGGAAAATATACACTGAAATATATAATTTAGATTTTCTATAATTAAATAGAGAAGGGTGTGTAAAATCAGTGTAGTTAATTTGATCCAATCAGGTTATACTAATTGCATGGTAAATTCTTAAATACCTGCTAAACATAAATAGGATTTCTCTCATCTAGCTTAAGGTGTGTAAGAGTGGGGTCTAGGTACCTTAAACTTCCTCTCTGCTTAGATTGAGAAGGAAAGTCCAAAGGACTGCTTATCCCAGCTCACGTGTGTATTTAAACCAAGAGGGTAACTACCTCCTGAGATATCCAGTTCTCACCTGTGACTGGGGAGGAATTTTATGTGAAGTCCGGACACCAGAGTAGAAGTTAAAATTAGGTACATTGAATTTTTCCCTAAGCTACCAAATTTGTGCAGATGAAATTGTTACTTTCATTCTTGAAGATGTATCAAAAAAGGGATAATGAAACACGACTTATATTAAGGAGAAAGAACTCGTAGCATTATGTTTTCCACTATTTTGTAAATAACATTTTGTGTAGGTGTCCTTGATATGTTATATCCAAATTTTAGACATTGAGAAGGAGTGAGGATGACATAAAGTACAAAAGGCATTTTGTGAAACCACATATAGGAGTCTCTTCCTCAGTCCAGTAACTGAAAGTCCAAAACCTGGAGAAAAAGGGTAACTCTGGAACCTGATGAACCTGCCTTTGAAACACAGAGAAAAACAGTGCCACGTGGGCCTAACAGGAGAATTATTCTATGTGAAAAATGGTACATACTAAGCTTATAACTAGAATATGTAAGCTCTGCCACCCAGTTGAACTGTAGAGTGACTTCACTGATACCTAGGATGTGGCTTCACAAGCGTTAGCTAAGAAGATGGATGATTTAATGTGAACAGAAGCATTAGCTTGAAAGTATAAACATGTGAAATGAAATGGTTTGAATTTAATATGTTCAAACATGTAGTGGTTTAGAAGCTATTTGAGTTTCAAAACCAATTAGGTGTCTTTTAATCATGCAAATTAAGGTCAGCAAACAAAATTAACTTGGACCCTTTATTACGTGTCTGGGTAAGACAGCAGAAATTGCTGAAGTTGGATGGGAGAGTTTGTATTTCAGTGACAGATGTGTCGCTGTCTCCTTAAGAGAATCACAGTTTCCATCCAGGTAAGGTCTGTGCATGGTGCAATGCCCTCCTACACTGCTTCTGCCAGGTAGTAGCTGGATCAGCAGCTCATGAGGGAAGAAAATGTTCCCCACACTTTTCGTTACTGTTTGCATAAAGTAGTACAGAAAGCTTGAACATGCTGTTTGGTTTTATTAATCACTACCTAATTTTTCATAATTGATTACTTTTCTTCTTATTACAGTAAGTTCTGTACAAAGTTTGAAAGTATGAAATTACATTTTTACTGTTTGGTTTAATGCAGTTCAGTAAGTATTATACTGAAATAGAAATCAGTAAGATGTTGATCAAGCTTTAGCTAGTAAGTACACCATAGTTAGGTATCACAACTGAAGTAGTGATTGTTATCAACTAACTTCCCAAATTCCACAAATACATATTTAAATGACTAGGTACAGAAAAGGCCTGATAAAATTAATGAAGATCTCCTTACTGATGGAACAACAGGAAAAAAAAGAAATCAAGAATCAGTTCTAAGGTAATGCATAATTTTCTTTAACTGTGCCAGGACATGTTTATTAGTACTCATAGCAAGTGTTTCTTACTTGATAGTGATACACATATGTAAAAAGACTCTCCAAGGGATTTATAATACAAATGAAAGAGAAAGACAAACTATAATGTCTTGTACATCTTATTTATTTCCTTTTTAATCCCTCTTTTGCATTTCTAGTTCCTCCTCATTGTCTCCATTGGCATTTTTATTTTGTTGTGGCAGGGAATCAATCTCAATGTGAAAATCTCAGCCAGTAATGCGGTACTCAGATGTATTAAACTGAACATCAAAAAGCAGGCAATGATACTGCTTGTCTGCTGCTAGGTTTAATTTATGAAAGCTCAGGAAGTGTTTTGATATTTGTCAATAAAATACCCTTTACTTTAAACTTTGAATTCTATAAATAATTGTAATAAACATCTCAAGCTTTACATTTGGAGCTAATAACTTGTAGTATTTTGAATTTCCTGTATAGCATCATAACATTCTGTTTTCAGTTGCTCGTAAGTATGTTGTCTGTAGATGGTGTGTGGTTCAGGCTGATTTTATGTTTAATTTGAATTTGTTGTTTATTAAAGAAAGGTAAATATTCCTACAGAATTTTTATATGACTTTTTGAGAATAAGGGCACAAAGGGATGCTTCATCTTTGCTTAGAAAAGAAATTAGTGAGTTTTTTTAATAGACTAGTGCATCTGTGCTGTGGATCAGAACATGGGGTGTTGTATCAGATTCCAAGCCATGTTAGTTGTTCTTTTGAGAGCATTTCAGTCAGATAACCTTTGACCAATGTATTTTAGAAACAGTGGCCAGGGTGCTCTCCGAGCATTCTTTCTTTGTAACACTTCAGAGATTTTTCTCCCAAGAAACTTCTGAAAAATTAAGTTCTGGAGTATGACAGCTGGAGTGCCGGCAAAAGTACTTACTGAATTCCCAGTGACTTGATTTCTTCATGTCAAAGAAGAATGAGCTTGGGATTTTAATCTAAAATGCTGGTAGCACACTAAATTCATCCCCTCTTTCAAGGTGATGAAAATTGCTCTTCTGGATCTTCAAAGCTATTTTGAGGAGGATCTAACTTGCAATACATTGTTTCCATAATAGATTCCATCTACTTTGTACGAAACACCCATGTTTGCTCTCAGAAAGCCTGATTTCCAGCACAGGTTGTTTCTGCAGTATGCTGCCAAGCACTAAACTGTCATAGCTGTAGAATTGCAAAGAGAAAGAACCAAAGGGAATGCCTTCTGAAAAAGAAACAGTTCAGGGCTAATGACTTGACTATAAACAACTTAATCCAAGTAATCACAGATCTCTTTACCCTAAAAGAAAAAAGAAATTGCAGTAGCTTTATCTGTAAGTACCTTTAAGCATTCAAGATTTACCACTGAGGTAAAGTCTGATCCCTCCATTGTTCAGGAGAACATCTTTGGGCTATAATTCAGCTAGTAAGAAGGGGATAATGTCAGTATGAGGGATTTAGGGAGAATGTCTTTTTCATCATTATTTTCTCCATACCCTAAAGACTTTCTGTTCCCAAATGACTGCTGCAAGACTCAAAACGTTTTCTTCCATTTTCAGTAGCCTTGGCAATGGTTGTCAGTCACAAAGACAGTTAAAGAAGATAAAGGCACAGCAGTTCTACTTTATCCAGTAAAGAGCTGATCCCAATATAATCCTCAGCCAGTCCTTAGATCCAGGGCACAGCTCAAAAAAAGACTACTGGAGCGAATCTCCAACAATATCAAGCCATAGTGTAACCAGTTTGGCTGAGGCAGCCTTTGCCATTCCAAGATCTGTGAAGCAGTGCTCTGAGGGAAACTGCAACCACCTTTCCCTAGCTGTGTGTGCTGGAAGGCACCCATGATTAAAAACAATCCAGGAGATGTTTGTATTCAAAGCAAGCAAAAAATGCTGTACAGCAGAAACAGAAAACCTCTGGATAACATACCTTAAAGATACTGGGTAGCTTATAGGGAGATCAATTGTTTCAATTTAAGGGACAATGCAGAAAGTATTATGAAAAACGCTCAGGAAATCCCATCACCACAGACCGTTAAATGTTACAGGAGTATTCTGGGAAAGGTACTGGCTGAGGTACCTATGGGGCTATGAAGACATCCCTCACCTGCCCATGGCAGGGGGTTGGAACTAGGTGATCTTAAGGTCATTTCCAACCCTAACTATTCTATGATTCTACCTCAAGAATATGCATTGGTGGTTCTGATGTAGAATGCACATGAATGAAGCTTGAAAAGTAATCGTTGCTGATGCTACAAATAATCAGTTCTCAGCATACTCTGGCTGTGTGTATTTCTGACTTTTTGCTTTGATAAAACATGGATTTCTTGCCAAATCAGGATTCTGTTTGATTGAAAGTATCAGAGACTATGGTTGTGCCATTGTTTGTCCTGAGTGACTGGGTGTGTAGTGTTGCTTCCAAAAGATTTTGTTACCGTAGGCATTGCAGTGGGAGTAGATTGTAAGTGGGATGAGTATTTCTTTTGTGTATTCTTTTACTTCTGATTCTTTATGAACTTACTGGTAATGCAGTAGTATTTTCTTTCTGCTGAATGCTTACTTTAAATAATAATTTCTTTGGGTTTTTTCTCAGCTTGTCAGAAGAAACTCCAACAGAAGAGAAGGAAAAGCAAAGTGATATTCTTAACATCTTTTCTGTTGCTTCAGGCCATTTATATGAACGTTTTTTAAGGTAAGGAAAGGTAAAAATGAAACAAGAATTTCATAGCAATACTGTAAACATTCATTCTAAAACTAAGCAGCTTAAACTGGCTTTTTTAGCAAGGTGCAAACAATAAATAAATTGTCAAATTGCAGTGAAGTTGTATACACTGAGACTAATCTTTCTTGGAGAACAAAGTGATTCAATATATAGATGTTCAAAAATACCATTATCCTTTGAAGAAAGAAAAATGTACACCCACGAGTGCATGTGTGGAGTGTGAACATTCATAACAGATGAAGCTCAGCCTCTCTTTACAAAGACATAACAGAAATTACTTCATTTGACCTGTGTCTGTTTATGTTTAGTCCAAGCTACAGAGACTACTGTGTGCACATATGGCCTTACTTAGCTCAGTGTTCATTCAGTAAGCAATGATTGGTTTTAAGGATTTTTTACAGTATTGCCTAATCTGTTTACAGCCGTTTCTGTTACTTTCCTGATTTGAGTACTTTCTGCAGGTGTCAGATTTAGTGATTTTATTGCTTTAGTAATCTGATGCAGTTTGAGCACCTGCATTTCTTTCCCTCAACCTACAGCAACCTTCATAAAGGGAAAGACTTATTTATTTTAAAGGAGTAAAAAAATAAGTCTTAAACATCCTGTGTGCCTCTTTGCCTTATTTCAAGTTTATTATTCCTTGATTTTAAGATAGACTCAACCTCTTGTAAAGTTGTAAGGCATCTCCAAATCTGTCTGGTAAACCCAGCCAAATGCTACAGTAGTGGGAAAAAAATTGAACCCAAAATAGCGATTCTTACAGTTATCAAGGTCTATCTGAAGAAGATCTTAACTTGAACTATGGTTTCTTTTTGCTCTTGTTTTTCTTATCAGCAACCTATTAAACTCAACCAAAATATCTCCAAAATAAGTCATCTCAGCAGCAAAGTTAATACAGTGCAATTATTCTAACTTTGTTAGGCATCTCTCTTAGAAGAAAACTTATTGACAGATCCACTTTTGAAATTGTACCTTCTAATATTGCTGAACCAATCTGGATTGAGTAAGTCTATCTCAAAGCAGTCTTGAACACATGCTCTTCAAAGCTTTCAATAAGAAATAGAAATTTCTGCTTACACTGAGTTAAAGAAAATCAAACTTAGAAAGTTTCAGCACTTAGTAAGAGCAGTTGAAATTTAACGACCTGTATGTATTTGTTTGTTTATTATAGACTTGTATTTCCACAGAATTATGATGCTTTCTGTCCTACGTCATACAAAAACGCCAGTTAAATTTTGGTTTCTGAAAAACTATCTCTCCCCAACATTTAAGGTAGGAGAAACATTTTTCTTTTATTATTTCTTTCTTCCAAATTTTAAGTAGTTTTTAAAAGAAATTACAATTGAGTAATGAGGCAGTTGAAATTGAATTTTCACAGTTGGAAATGATCTCTGAATGCGTTCAGTACCAACAGTTTTAGAAGTCTTGTGTATAAGATTCTTTTCTGGAGCCCAAAACTCAGTGAAATGTTATCATAATTTATTCCTTCTTGATAGTCTCCAAGAGCTTGAGAGAAATGCTTTTTATATTTGTGTGGCTGAGGATACTGCCGGAATTAAAGAAACATCTGAAAATAAGAAACTCTGTACTCAGTCAGGCCAATGCAGCTGCCACGATGTTGTTGCAGCATTCCCTTGTTTGCCTTTTGAGGCCTTGTATGTCACATCCATGTGCAACTGATACTTTTTGGTTCTTCTTCTAGGATGTAATTCCTCACATGGCTAAAAAGTATGGTTTCAAGTATGAGTTAGTACAGTATAAGTGGCCCCGCTGGCTCTATCAACAGACAGAAAAACAAAGAATTATTTGGGGCTACAAGATTCTTTTTTTGGACGTTCTTTTCCCTTTGGCTGTGGATAAAATAATATTTGTCGATGCTGACCAGGTAAGAAAAGAATAATAATGTACAAATGTATGAGGAATTCATTTTGGCTTAAATTGATCCGGTTTCATTCTCTGTGACCATTTTATTCAGATGCTTGGCTCATAAGACTATTGCAGTTGTAAGAGCAAACCCCATGGTGTTACAGAATGTGAAATGCAATAATTTGACTTGTCTTTGGTCATGTAGAAATGAATACACTCACCACACTGAGTTACCCTAAATTGCCTGTTGAGAGCGAAAGGCTCCTGGAGAGATGTGTGTGATCTTAAAAGTGCATCTCACCTAAAGCCAATTTGAGTGATATAGTCTTTGGGCTGATTGTGAGAGGACTTTGGACTGAGGAAGGAGTCTGAGGTGGTTTCTCTAGACCATTTGAACAACTTCCAGACAGCTGAAATTTCCCAAGATTACTCCTGTCTCTTTTTCTTAAATTTGTATGCATTCTACCACTCAGAAATGAATACTGTACAAGGAAAAATCACAGGATCATAGAGTGGTTTGAGTTGGAAGGGATCTTAAAGATGACCTAGTTCCAAACACCCTGCCATCTGCAGGGGCACCTTCCACCAGACCAGGTTGCTCAAAGACCTGTCCAGCCCAGCCTTGAACACTGCCAGGGACTGGGAAGGCACAGCTTCTCTGGATAACCTGTGCCTGTGCCTCATCACCCTCAGAAGGAAGAATTTCTTCTTAATATATAATCAAATCTCCTCTCCTTCAGTTTAAAGCCATTCCCCCTTTCTGTCACTGCATGTACTGAAGGTAACATGCTGTCTCAGATGAGACCTTGAGGAGTCTATCCCATGGTTATTAAAAGCCTCAGAAGAATATTAAATATTTTGGTCCATTTCCAAAGCTTGAGAATAAATCAAATGTAGATACTGCAATGCACACTGCAACTTCCTGCATTTTCATCTGGATAGAATAGTAGAATTGGGTTTCTGTCCTAACTACTGTAAGAATTTCTCTGTACTCTGAAACAGCTAAAACCTTTTTTACCACTGACAGATTAGTGGGGTTTGATGGAAGAATGCTTGATTAGTAAATAAAGGACATTCATAAAATGTCTTTATAAGCTATTTTTAAAAGTATTTTATTACTAGATACAAAGATTTTTCAAATGATGCAATAATATTGGCATGCCCAAGTGATGTAACAAATAGGAAGGATTTTCTGAAGGAAGATGCTCAGCAGATTGGGAAGTGACACTCCTGCATGATGGAATTCAACATAGGGCAACCAGAAACACTGGTCTACAAATTTGAAATCTTAGCTCCTTTTATTTCATTTACTTGTTAAATGTGTTACACAGATGATGGCCACAGAATAAACACTTTATTTTTCATTGAATAATAATTTGGTAGCTATCATTCAGTGCCACACTCTATACTATATATTCTACACTATTGGAGTGTTTCAGGGCTTTTTTAAATGACAGTTAAACTTCAGGAAGCTTGCTGCAATAACTGCCCTCATATGCACGCTTTAAATACAGTATTAAATTATTAAAATATTATTAAATTATTAAAATACATATTGTTATTTAGATTGTGAGAAGTGACCTAAAAGAGCTCAGAGATCTAAATCTAAATGGAGCTCCCTATGGATACACACCTTTCTGTGACAGCCGTAAGGAAATGGATGGATACCGTTTCTGGAAATCAGGATACTGGGCATCACATCTTGGGAAAAGGAAATACCATATTAGGTAGGATAATGCCGTATGTATTTTTTGTGCAGTTTGTGAATTTGGTTAAAATCTGGCTCTTTATATTGATTAGAATGATACAGGGCAGTTGCTTATGAATGCTGATGCATTCGCAGTAAGAGGTGAATAAGAGATTAATTTTGATGACATTGATTTCCCTTTTTTTATTGTGGCTTCAGCCACTTAATTAAAACATATATTCCTTTAGGATGGGAAGAGGTTTTGGTTTCTTGTTGCTTTTATTAATGTTATAAAAAGAAAAGGTGAAACTCCACAAATCTTAATTCTTTTTATTATTCTTTGTAGTGCCTTATATGTTGTGGATCTTAAGAAGTTCAGAAAGATCGCAGCTGGAGATAGGCTTCGGGGCCAGTACCAAGCTCTTAGTCAAGATCCAAACAGTCTGTCAAATCTAGATCAGGTGAATATGACTCTAAACAATTTGGGGTTTGTTTTCTTTATCTTCCTCAATATGCATGGAATTATTATGTAACTTAATGTATATGTTTTGTAACTCTGGAACTATTTACCCTTTATTTCTATTTTAACACATTGTCAAGTGTGCATATGAGCACAGTTCAGAAAACTGAACACTAATTGTTTAATATGAAAAAATGAGGAAAAACAGCATAGAGGACTGCTGCCCTTAATCTGCAGTTGTTCTGTGTGCATTTGCGTTTTTCTAATGATAATCCTATATTCTGATAATGGTAGTTACATTCTTCTTTAGCAAGAGCCTTTTCCTCATTCTGTTTTTCTATCCATTAATTAATTGGCTAACTACTAATGCACTCTAGTGATGGCTGTACATGGTCACCCTGGGGTGAATATAGGCTTCATTTATAAAATGAATTTTTAAAGGTAAGTGGGGTAGGTCAGGGTGCAAGTCACAAGCAAGAAGTGGATCCCAGATGTACAGAACATACTTAAATTTGTTTTCCTATAGTAGAGGTTCTTTCACTCAGTAGAAGATTGATAACACGGGTCATCCAATTTCTGTCTGAGTAAATAATGCTATGCATTTATGTCTGTCTTTGGGTGAACTTAAGAAGGCTTCGTAAGTGAGATTGTCCCTGCTTTTGTCATTTTCTTTGTGGAATTACTAAAAGGTTTTATCTGCCTATAGCAGAAAAGGAATCCCACAGTAGCAAAACCCAAGTCTCTCAGTGCCTGCATTCCACCTCCTTACTCTGCAGGCAAGTTTCGCTCTCTTACATGAGTACATTATTTGCATTTATTCCAGAAATGCAACTAAAAATTGATGATAGCAAATAATGGACAAAGAAAAGTGGAAATGCATCTGTGCTACAAACTGGAACTAGCCTGGACATGGAGAGTTGGAGCAGCCTTAAGCTGTAACTGTTAAGAGCAACGGACTGATAGCAACAGTCAGATTTTACCTCTCTTTTCTGGAAAATAGAAGGAATTATTGGCCCTGTATTGCACACTTTGAGAGTTCTGATGTGCTGTAGCTGTGTGTTTTTCAAACATAGTCTCACCCTTTTGTACAGGGTGTCTCTTTTAAGATTCAGAGGCTGGTTACAGGACTTCCACCATAATGCTGCTTTTGAGAAAGAGTTAATTAGTTTTATCTAGTATTCTCAAAACATTAGTAATGTACATCTTTCCATCTTAGGATTCTTGTATTTTGAATTACAGTATTACTGCATGATAGCACATATCTCTTAAAAGCCTGTTGCATCAAATCGAAAGCAGCTTCAGGGTCAGCTAGCATTCCCTCAGCAAGTCAGGGCTGAGCACAAACATTAAGGCAGCTAAATCTTGACAGAATGGAATTGGAAACACTTTGGAAAGGGAAATATGTCAAAGTAATATTTCCACAGTATTCTGCTTTCCGATTTATTGATACAGAATCACATTCTGCCTTCATTGCTGCTACTCTACCCCAAACAACAGCCACATTCCCAGAAATACAAACCACAGTGCAATGTATTTTACAAGAGTCCTGGACAGCTTATATCTGCTGAGAGGATGCAGCATGATCATTTGTTTTCTTCTTTATTTTAAACATCTGACTGGAGTGCTCACTCCCCTTCTCAGTGAAGAAGCAGTCTTGGCTCTTTGTTATCTGCCAGCACAGCTGCTTCCATGGATGGTAGTTAAGGTTATGCTACTATAAACCACAAAAGAGAAGCAGATAGAAGGGAAAAAAGTCACTTAAAATGCTAAGGGGCATAAGTAAAATCCTCCTAGGGAGAAAAAATACACATGGTAAGAAGTAGACTACTGGTACAGCGAGCGTATTGTGTTGTACTCTTGAAAGAGAAGCATGGGAATGTCTGTGTAGAGATGCCACGACAAATACTTACACTGATAGCAATTCACTTAAAAGAGAATTAACCATCCTGTTCTTTACCTAAAGAATAAAAACCAGCAGGATATAATGTAAGATTAATTCTTTTATTAAGAGGTAATCTTTTTCTATTTTTAAATTGAGCTTTTTCCTTTTTTTTTTTCCTAATAAAGGTGCTGCTGTGGAGGAGTTCTCCTTTAACATTGTGTAGGTTATCTGGGTGAACGTGAAAACAGGCTTACTGTAAATCAAACTGAAAACCATGTTTTAAATGTGAAAGTGACACAAAAAGATTTCAGTAGTTTACATATCTTGAATGAACAAAAATTTGGGCACTGACAGTGAAAACAATCTGGTTTTACCCTTATTCCTTTATTTTTCCGATTCATTAACATTTCCTCTTGGATCTTGTAGATGTATTTTACTGGTTTTGAGGTTAAATCACTTTCTTTTGCAAGGATAGGCAACTTTTTGGTTAGAACTTGGTTTTCTTCTATTTACTTTAGACCCTGGAACCAGCATTTGTCTTTCTACTTTCTACTCCATGTAACAATTTGTAAATTCACAGCCCTGTGAGCTACTGTAGTAATGCAGGAATTGTGTTTTCCTTTAGAAAGTCAGAGAGGCACAACAGAAAAACAGTCTCCTTTCTCCCGAAATTGAGATGGTGATAAACCATTCCTTTTATATTCAAAAAAAATCATAAGTTGAAGGTTTTTAAAAAAGTAAAGCATTTAAATTAGTGTTTAATGTCTTGTGTACTCAGTATCCTTGTATTTGGTGTAATTTTCCTGTGGTAATGTATATATTTGAATTCAATTATGTGCCTTTTGTAATGCATCTATCTGTGCTATTTTCTTCTGTCACATTTAGCGAGAAGAATGGGCAAAATAAGCTGTGACTAATGCTTGAGTTCTGGCACTTATTTTTATATATAATGTAGGGGTTGCACATGGGAAGGAGCTTACGAATGGATCTACCAGTTACATCTGCTATTTTTAACTGTGGCCAGAGGACATGCAGCGTGTGGCTGCCTGAGGTTCTTCTCATAGTTAAATGCTGTTCCTTCCATTCTGCAAGATACTGGTTCAGAGTGTTCATGATCAGAGGACTTGAATACATAATAAAGGTTATAAAAGAAACAATATAAATTAAGTAAAGTAAGGAAGAGGAGAGCCAGAATAGCAGCGTAATTGCTTTTCCTTTTCACATTCATGTTTCAGGAATCCATTTTCCTAGAAGTTAAATTTAGAGCAGTGGTGCAGTCCTGGATTTAATGCTTTTGAGGGGGCTTTTTTTTCCAAATGTGAGGAATGGAAAGATGGTTGAGTTCTGCTTTAATCATTTCACACAGTCTAATTCTGCCTAGAGGTATTTATAGTGGGACATGCAATATCTGAACCACAGGTATCAGATAGTGGTATTGCTTATGTCAGTCTAAGGAAGGACAGATGTTAAGTACAAGAAGAAATTGATGGAGAAATCAAAGCTGGAATTGGCCATCAAAGTAAGCATGACTGAGTTTCAAATCTGCTTGAAAATCTACTTGAAAAAGAACTGGGGGAGCACTTAAAGGAAACATAAGAAGAAGGAAACAGACCAATTAGCTGAAATAATAGGCAGAGGTATTCTATGTACTTGCTCAATAACCAGTTACATTACATTCAGTGCTAACTTATGATCTTACAAAATTTGTGCAGGATCTTCCCAATAATATGATCCATCAAGTAGCTATTAAGTCTCTCCCTCAGGAATGGCTTTGGTGTGAAACCTGGTGTGATGATGAATCCAAGAAGAAGGCTAAAACAATAGACTTGGTGAGTGGATTTCAAGTTATATTGGTTTTATCCATTAAAAACCTTTTGCTGTAATTTCTGTGGCTTTTGAGATACACAAGTATGTCATGTCACGTCATGGAGGCAGTCCTGCTGGAAGGCACTGTAACATGGTATCTGTTCCTACAATACAGCAACTCTTCTCCTTTTCTCTGAAACCTTCTCTGCTTGCTCTGTACCAAATTTACTTCTGCTAAAGCTGAAAACTGCCCCAGAATGAAATATTGCTGTCTGTAACTGGACAGGATTGGGGTTTTCACACTCGTACATGTATATTCCTTATCTTTTTAACACAGTCAACTGGATTAGTGAAACTCTGAGGTACTGTTAACTGTCTGGGTTATTGTGTGACCCTGTTAAACCCTCTACGAGGGTCTAAGTTCCTCCAGGGCCAGCTGTGTAGAGGACGAACTGAATAGTATCATGGTTTCCTCTGTCCATTTCACCACTATAAACAGGAGATAAAGAAGAGCTTTTTAAGTGTAATGCTGAGGATACTATCCATATTTAGAAAGAAGAAAGTGTCTTTATTTAAGAATTGAAACAGAGAAAATATCTAGAGGAATTGGGGCTGCCCCATCTCTGGCAGTGTTCAAGGCAACCTGGTCTAGTGGAAGGTGCCCCTGCCCATGGCAGGGGTTTGGAACTGCATGAGCTTTAAGGTCTCTTCCCAACCATTCTATGATTATTGCCTCCATCCTGGTTTTCCCCATTCTCATTTTTTGACAACACCAACACACTGTGATACTTCAGACACAAAATTCTGAAGAGAAACACACAGCTGGAATCTGATGTCGATGTTCAGTATGTAAATTGTTTTGTTTTCTCTGTGTCTTTGCAGTTGTTAAAATAAGATTTTCTGTACACAAAGGACCAGAACTAAAGTTACTGAACGTTCTTTCAATCCCTATTGTGTATCACTTTTTATTATGATTTCCATTTATGCTATTTTATGGAAGCAATCAATACATTTTTCTAGACAACAATAGAGGAATCCTCACAAACATAATAAAAGCCCCGTATCAGATTCAGTTCCAATATGCTAATGTATAACTTCTTTCTCCCTGTGTAGCTTTGTCTAAATCTTAGTAGTCTCGTGCTAGCCGTTTCTGCTACTCAGGTAGGCAGGAGCACATGGCAAAATTAAAGTATTCACAGTAAAATGTTTTGAGTTATTGAAACAGGGTTTAGTTACAGTTTGATTTGTGTGGTTTTGGGTTTTTAACTGACCTCACTTTCTGCCCTTCAATGAAACTGTAAATGCTAATGAAAGCATTTAGATCAGTTCCTTGGAAAAGGAGGTATTTCCACACTTGATCTGTTTACATCTGGTATGTTTTAAACTTCCAGTGCAACAATCCCCAAACCAAAGAACCGAAATTAAAGGCTGCTGCCCGCATAGTTCCTGAATGGGTTGACTATGACTCTGAGATACGAACATTAATAGAGCAAATCGAGAAAGAGAAGAAAAACCTTTTCTTTCAAAAAGGTAACTTGCATGCCTATTCATCTGCTACCTTTTAACAAGTGCGCCCTCAGCAAGTTTGCCAACGACACCAAGCTGTGTGGTTCGGTTGATACGCTGGAGGGAAGGAATGCCATCCAGAGGGACCTTGACACGCTTGTGAGGTGGGCTGATGCCAACCTCATGAAGTTTAACCATGCCAAGTGCAAGGTCCTACACCTGGGTCGGAGCAATCCCAGGCACAGCTACAGGCTGGGCAGAGAAGAGATTCAGAGCAGCCCTGCAGAGAAGGACTTGGGGGTGTTGATTGATGAGAAAATGAACATGAGCCGGCTTCAGTGTCTTGCAGCCCAGAAAGCCAACCGTATCCTGGGCTGCATCAAAAGGAGTGTGACCAGCAGGTCAAAGGAGGTGATCCTGCCCCTTTATTCTGCTCTCGTGAGACCTCACCTGGAGTATTGTGTGCAGTTCTGGTGTCCTCAACATAAAAAGGACATGGAACTGTTCGAACATGTCCAGAGGAGGGCCACGAGGATGATCAGGGGACTGGAGCACCTCCCATACAAAGATGGGATGAGAAAGTTGGGGCTGTTCAGCCTGGAGAAGAGAAGGCTGCGTGGAGACCTCATAGCAGCCTTCCAGTATCTGAAGGGGGCCTATAGGGGTGCTGGGATGGACTCTTCATTAGGGACTGTAGTGACAGGACAAGGGGTAATGGGTTAAAACTGAAACAGGGGAAGTTTAGATTGGATGTAAAGAGGAAATTCTTTCCTGTTAGGGTGGTGAAGCACTGGAATGGGTTGCCCAAGGAGGTTGTGAATGCTCCATCCCTGGCTGTGTTCAAGGCCAGGTTGGACAAAGCCTTGGTGATACGATTTAGAGCGAGGTGTCCCTGCCCATGGCAGGGGGGTTGGAACTAGATGATCTTAAGGTCCTTTCCAACCCTAACTATTCTATGATTCTATAATTAATACAGTTGAAATTAAGATCAGGGTCTGTAAGCACAAATACTGTAGTTGTGTCATTTTCCTTGCTCTTACAGAAACTGAGTGGGGTTTAAGAGACACACGATGCTTCTCTACATTAGTTTCACTAAGAGGATAAAATCTATTCTTTCATGCCATAATCTGAGATCATTTTCTTTCTCTTTGGTTTACAGGTCTTAAACATGATGAACTTTAGCACAGCCTTTTACCAGCAATGGGGACAGCTCAGAAAGTCTTCTGTGAAAGACCCAGTGGAAGTTACGAATGTTGCATTGGCATTATTTGTTACATTCTGTAACATGAAGTCAAATATTTTGTAATTTACAGTGTTATTTAAAAATGTTTTCAACAAAATACAAAACCAGAAGAGAAATCCATGGGTACTTTGATTATTTTTATTTTTTTTTACCCAGCATAGAGTAGGTTTCCTGATGCTTTGGGTTTCCTTTCTTTCACTAAATGAGTTTGCCCAGAGGGGTTTGAGTACAAAGACTGATGTGTTCAGCTCTTCAAAGATAGATTGTTTCAGTCTGGGAGAGAACACACACATTATATGTACATAAAAACTGGTTTGTGCAGATCACATGCATTAAGCTAATGTTTTTAAAGAGAAAGAATTTTGGTTGTGTGTCCCTGGAGAAATGCTGTGGTCACAAGAAAAAAAATCTCAGGCATAAGAAGTATCTTGTGTGATTTAGATTTGTGTGGCCTAAGTCAACAGGGAAGCTTACTAAAGCAAGGAATGTCATTTCCCATTTATTATGCAGGATTGCTGCACTCTGATTATTAAAAACTAAAATCATTTTTTTATTATTAGGCTCTTTTTGGTCACATCAACAGTATGTCCTAACAGTCAGTCCATTTTTTGGTTAAGATGATTTTCCAACCAGCGTGCACTGTGTCAGAAGGTCAGTACCTAAACGCTGTTTCCATTAAGTTTTGATTATCATCATCCTGTTCAGACTTGATAATAAAATCTGTGAGTAATTTTGACTATCAGTCAGTCAGTGGTGGCTCCTGTGATTTTCTGTTGCTTTAATGGGCTACTGACATTTTGATCCCCCTGAAACTGCAGTGAAAAGTTCTTGCGATACAGGTATTTAAAAACAGGGAATTTATTTCTTAAACTGAAATCTAGTGCCTTAAATACTAGGTTGGTTAGGCTGTGCTGGTTTCAAAAGAGACGGGATGTGACAGTACATTCTTGTATGAACAGCTCAATGCAGTCTTTCAGTCTAAATGCTTGAAGTGACAAAAGAGAAGGTGATTTGCACTGAGTGGGTGAGTCCACAATGAGTTGCATGATAGTATTTCCATACTAGCAAATTATTTACTAAATAACAAGAAAAACTAAGAGTATTTTGTCTGTATTGTATGTGGCCTCAGGTGTTAGTTATTTAAAATGTCTCCCTGTAAGAGCAAGTGTCCTGGGTTTTGGCTGGTGTTAAACCATGACAGCAAGTCTTTAAAATCATACTTTGCTGCTATTTTTGAAGTGTTAGAAATAAAAGATGTGCAGATTTCTTGTACACCTTTTTATATTTTTCACTGTATTACCTTTATACATTTTCAAGCAGTTTTAACATGTCACAGATGGATTTTAAAAGGTTCATTGTGGGCATTTTCTTTGTATGAAGTACCCAAGGAAGTTACTTCCTGTGTAACCCATCCATAAATCCTAATGTCAGTTCTCTTTAGATGTTCTGTTTCACTGCAGTACCTGTTTTGTTATGCTTGTTCGCCAGCATAATTAGTTTAGGGTATCAAGCAGCATAGAACTTCTTGAAGCTGGTATTTTTATACCATATAGATAGTATTACACTTAACTTTGAATGTATAGTAATGGTGCATATACATTTGCTGTGTGTAACAAAGCGATGCCTGATAACTCTGTACCACAGAAAAAACCCCAAACAGTATTCAGCTGCTTGCTGCTTTGTTTTTTCCCTTTTCTGTGTTTAAGCTTACGATACCACCCTGATGCTTTACTCTGCTGCAGTGTTTTACATCAATCTGCCTTGGAATGCTTGAAGCAGACAGTGGAAAGCTTTCTTTTTAAGCCAGAAGTTAATCTGTAAGAAACACATTAGTTCTCCTTAATTATGATTATCTGTGTGGAAAGTCTGTTTGTGGTGTGGCTTAAGCCCAGCCAGCAACCCAGAACCATGCAGTATAAAAAGTGGGCAGTTTATGCACGATCTCTTATTCACCGGATCTGTAGAATGCTGTTCTTTTAAGAACTGCATTACTTCTACAGGCTTTAAAAAAGGAAATAGCTCTTTAAGCTACTCGATCCTCAAGATCACTTAAATGATTAGAATATAATTTTTAGAACTACCAGTTGCTGAAGGTATCTTGAAGATTTCAGAAGTTTCATGGCATTTCCTACTGTTGTATATATTCGTAAAAGCAGTTTATGGCACTTTATTCCTGCATAACAATACTTTCAAGGAGAACTCCTTTTTGAGACACTTACTGTTCTTTTAAACCAGAGTGTCCAGCAAATATCAAAGCTGTCTTTACAGCAGCACTTTGAATCGTTAGCAGCATTGATTTTTAATACCAAACCGGTGGATTGTGTATGTTGTACAAAATATTAAGAGGTGCTACTAGAGGAAAAATGATCAGTTTTTGTCCTCCTATTGTGTATTATACAAGAACCATTGAATACTTGGTTAACAGATCCAGGGCAGAAGAATGCAACAAGACCTCAGATGTCTTTAATCTAAAGGGAAGTGTTTGTGCTCTGTGATGGGGTGAGAGCTTGGGAGAGGCAGAGCGCTTCGCTGCAGTTTCTAATCTATGTGCTCTGTCCTGTGAAAGGGAAGAAAATAGATCCTGGATTACAGGAGTGTTACCAGAACCTGGGCTGAAGTTAGTAAATAAGCAAAGTAAAATTTGAACTGCTCAAATAAAGAGTTTAAACCATTTATGTTCATATTACCATTACAGTGTCTTTTCTAGGTCTTGTTCTTCTTAGTATCTTGTAAGTTTAAAGGAAGTGAACAAACAGGACATTAATTAGCACAATATTGTTCATAAGCCAGAGCTTTAGCATTGAATGTTATTTCTCAGTAAGGTTCCTTTTAACCTTTTTGCGTCTTTGTATAGTGGGGAGCAAACCTGCCCAGCCCAATGGGAGGAAAACTTAAGGTGTCCCTGCCCATGACAGAAGATTGGAACCAGATGATTAAGTCTCTTCCAACCCAAACCATTCTGTGACTGCTTCCTGATGTACGTTACCTGTTAAACCCTGACAACATCAATGTAGCTACTAAAGAAATCCTACTTTCACCCCCAACCCAGGGTTATGGCAGTCTTTTCCTGGACTTCTGCACAGCTCCAACTTCAGCCATGGAGAGCAGGATGAGAGAAGGGCAGACAATGACACTGTGGTGCTTTCTTGTCATCATAAATATCTTTATTGTGAAAAATGCCATAAAATAATTCCCACAGTTCTAGAAAAAACAGTTCTTGCTTTTTAGAATCATGATTTGATATAAAGACATTTCATCATTTGAAACATTTGATATATCTCTGGCTAGTTTTACTTCTTCTTACAACATAAACCTGCTACTTTCAGATTTGCTGGGGGGGGGGGGCATTATTCTTCCATCTATTTTGTTATTTTATGGATAAAAGCATGGATTACAGAGCAGACAAACAATACCTTCCAATAAGGCACTTTTAAATACAACTAAGCTGCCAGGCAGTTTCCAGCCAAGGTCCTACAAGTCGCAGCCCTAAAGAGAAGAGTAATTCCTGTTCCAAAAACTGGCCTGAAAACTGAAACTATGACAAGCTTAAGTTAAAATAATAAAAGTTTCAGCTGACATTTTCTGCATGTCTCAAGTTTGAGCTCTTAAGTTTATAATTCACTTTAAACCTGGTTTAATACTGATTTATTACTACGTCAGTATTAAGCACTTACCAAGCTTCTCACCTTCCTCCCCCTTCACTGTAAAACAAGTTGGAAACAAGCTTACTAAAAGTGAAAGAGAGAACTCAATAGAGAAAATCTGCATCTACACATAAGCCAAATATTGTAATGATTCTTCATGCACACCTCGGATTTATAAGCAACCAAGACATCTATTTCAATGTTCAGTTACTGAACATTATTGCACTACAGCCACCCACAAATAAATAAAAAGGCAAATTCTGCTCCCCAGAGCATCACCTGCACCAGTAACACTCAGCATGGCACCAGCACTTTGCTTTCTGAAGTCACATCAGGAAACAGATCGCCATGTCTGCAGACCCTGGAAACACAGAGGCTTGCTTTTGCACACAGATTCTGTCTCCTTGTATTTACAGAAGTCCCTCAGAGCTACAAGCCAGCATCTGCTCCCTGAAGAACAGCACCTGAGCAGTAACCGTGCTTCTCAGTGGTAACTTTAATAACAGAGTGCCTTGCACACCACTGCTGGGTTTTGGTTTGTTTTTATGACACTGTCTTTCACAGAAGAAATCTGTAATCAGCACAGTCATCTTCCTTCTACTGACTGCATTCAAGTTTACCTCTCCATTTCCCCCCCCCCCTTAATATGTAGTTTTCCATTCATTCTAAAAAGCAAATGTAATGCTTTATGTTCCTGCTGCTTGCAGTGCTCACCACAGCTGCCTGCTGCCTTAAAGAAACAAAGCTGCACCACTCTGGAGTCAGCACTGTGTCCTGATCATTTACTTACGAGGGACCATCTTAACCCATTCCTACAGAATAAAAAAGAAAACAAGAAAAAAAATATCCATGAAATTTCTCAGCTTAAGGTTTTAAAATGGGATGACAACAAAAAGGCTGAATGAGGGCAGACCTGTAAGAGTAGGTTTATCATTCCAAGAACTTCCCTAGCACATTAAGCAGAGCTGCCTGCAGCATTTCCCGTTACCTTCTGCAACCAAACGCCACTCCTGCATGTACAAACATGACATGCTGCTCACACTGGTCATTCAGTCACAGAACAGCTTGGGTTGGAAGCACCTTAAAGCTCATGCAGTTGTAGGCAGGGACACCTTCCACCAGACCAGGTTGCTCCAAGCCCCATCCAGCCTGGCCTTGAACCCTGCCAGGAGGATGGGGCAGCCACAGCTTCTCTGGGCAACCTGTGCCAGTGCCTCACCACCCTCACAGTAAAGAGCTTCTTCCTAATGTCTAATCTAAATCTCCCCTCTCTCAGCTTAAAGCCATACCCCCTTGTTCTGTCTGTATGTGCCTTTTCACAAAGTCCCTCTCCAGATTCCTTGTAGGCCACTTTCGGTGGGAGAAGGCTGCTCTAAGGTCTCCCTGGAGCCTTAATACTAATTTAAAGCAGCCCATTATGTAGTGGACAAGGCAATACAAGAGTTTATACGGGGGAACAGCTCACACATAAACACCTACCACCAGCAACCCCCAGAGCAGCACCAGCTACTCAGCCCACAGGGACCAGTGCTGACAAAAGCCTGGAGCAGCCACTCTGGGTGGAAGCTGCCAACCTGGTTTTTAGCTGCTGTGAGCAAGAAGCACACATGTAGGGGCTGCCACCAAGGCCCACAGGTTATTTGTTGTGCAGCAAGTTCCTACATCTGAGCCTTGGAGGTCCCAGGAGAACCACAGCAGCCTACAACAGTGGGATCAGCATCCTACAGTTTAAACAACAATCCTCCAGATAGGTCAAAAGCAGAAGTCCAACTTCTAGAAAGCCATTCAGCTTGGAAAACAGCCAGCACTGGAGATCAACAGGCTGTTGGGCAGTTTTGTACCATGGACTGCTTGAAATCAGCACGTGCGCTCTTCAGCGTGAAGATGAATTTCTGCTGCACAAACACTGACCTTTAAAAGGCTGTTGAAAGGCATTTTAGGATGCCACATGGCCTCACAATTACATTTGTAAAAGTACCGAGGCAGGAGACAAGGGCTTACGCTTCAACAGCAACTCCCACTGCAGTAACAAGAAAGCAGCTTTGAGACTGAAGGCCTTCTGTGCCACAACTTCATTTGTTTTACTGAGGCTCATGCTTTCAAACACATGAACTGAAGTGAGAGAAGGCTCCGTCAGCTGACTACTGTTCTCCAGTTAAAATCCAATCAAGACAACACTGATGAACTACAATTCTTGCGTTCTAGAAGTATGGCTACTGCTGCAACCCTGTTACAGAGGATGACTCCGAGCAGTGACTGCCCTGCAGCCCCTCAGATGACATTCACACATTTCCATCAGTCACCCTAAACCAGTATAGATACATGCACCTTGAAAAAATAAATCAGACTCTTGGCTAATGGGAAGTGAATCCCTCCTTTTGCACGCAATTGCTTTTCCAGCACTGTGGCTGTTGGGAAAACAATACAACTTAGGTTTCACAGAGCATTAACTCATTGTGCCAGCACCCAGCAGAACTGAAGTCATGTTACAGGGTGAGGCTAGAACGAATACCCTATTCCCGCTCCCCTCACAACCTGTATAGGCTCCGAGCTGATGTACAGAGAAGTAACAAATTGCTACAGTCAGGGAAACATCACATCAAATTGTTTGGGCAGATCTCAAGCAGGTGTTTTGATAAAGTGCAAACTACTCAAACATGAGACCAAAACATCCCAGAAAGGTCTTTTAAAACATACCACATCTGTATTTTTACTTTCATAGTTGACAACTACCGCCAGGGCAATGACCCCAATTTATTGCAGGTTAGTGACTGAAGTGAGCAGACATTTTCAAACACAATTACTTACAAGCAATCTTCTCTGAGGGCAGTTGTTGGGACTCATTCCATACGCAGCCTCTCCACCCCCCCTATGGCACTGCTGACAGTAATACAGGGGTAGGTGGTCCCCAAGGGTTCCTTCTAAGAATACTGAGAGAGGGATCGTTCTGCCCAGCACAACTAACGGTTTGTTAACGTGGAGACTATTGTAACTACCTTTTCCGTATTTATTAGGCCCCAATCCAGAAAAATATTTACATGCATTTTTACTTTTAAGCATATACTTGAGTCCTAAATTTATGTTTAAGTGTTGTCCTAAGGAGCCTCTTATTGGTTTTTCCATCCATAGGAAAGAACGTGTCCTATATAACCACAACAAATAGACAGGCAATAACAACCCCCCCCAGTAATAAACCAAACTTGTATGAGCTTGGCAAGTTCATCACAAAGCAAAGCCTCTGAATCCTAAAAGAAAGAAGGAACTTTCTTCCAGTGCAGTAAGACTCTGGGTTAAGGACAACATCAGAAATTAAGATTTTGGGGTCTTGAACTGAGAGACGTTTTATTTTTCAACGAATTAAGTAAAAAACAGCAGCAGCCACCGGAAACAGTCTTGGCTCTAACTGAAGTGAAATTTGAATGTAAATGGTCCTCCTCCCGATCCAAAGGGGTTGAATCCTTGCCATGTGTTCCAGTTCCTGTGGAAGGGGTTTCCCCCACCCTGCTGACTCTCCGCATCCAGTGGGTCCTCTCCCGCATCAAATTTCCGCCGCATTTCTAGAGGAAACAAAGCCAAGGTGGAATCACAACACAGTAGCTAGGGCAAGAACACCAACCATCTTTAATGGCTGATAACAGATACAGACACAGATATCCCCCTTGCCCCAGCCAGGGAGCTGCAGTTAATGCTTGCATTGGCAGCATCTGTAGAACCCAGTTACTCTTGAGTTTTTCCAAGTTGGCCAGGACACTGGCAGAGAAGAGATTAACTCCATGAACACACTGCATGAAAAACTTCAAACTAGTTATCTGGTTTAAAAGCAAGGCAAGACAGTACCCTGGCTGTCCCACAGGGCAGGTATGAATTTCAACAGGAACAGGAGAGCTGCACTGCCCCAACAAATAACTGGGGTATTTTGTCCTTGATGAGTTGTGTTCAAGGCCAGGTTGGATGGGGCTTTCAGAAACCTGGTCTAAGAAAAGGTGTCCCTGCCTGTGGCAATGGGGGCAGAACTCTTATGATCTTTAAGGTCCCTTCCAACCCAAGCCACTGTATGGAGTCTATGAACTCCAGAGCTAATCAATCCTGCAAATCTCTGCAAAATGGTACCCTAAAGAGACTTCAGTTTACAGTCATTGAAACACAGCAATTCATTCCATGTTTACATCTGACTTCATGCAACAGATTGGATGTAAGTATTACTGCACTGTCTTCTTAAGATGGTAAGAGGAGAAAGAGAAAAGGGGAAGCTGCAATGCTTAGGACTTACACTTGCTGAATTTTACATTACTGTAAAAATGTAATTAAAGTTATAAGAACAATCATTACCTGGGTCAGTGAGGACTTCTTTAGCAGCTGCTATATCAATGAATTTTTTCTCTGCTTTCTTCTTTTCTTCCTCGCTCTGGAAATTATCAGGGTGCCACTGCGATGCCAGCTTTCTGTAAGCTTTTATGATTTCCTGCTTTCGAGCATTCCTGGATGGATAAAAATCATAACTTTAAATTCTCTATTTGCCACGTGCACATTAGTGGATCTAGAGGTTTATTTTAAACACTGGGACAGTAACTAAGGGCATCAGGAAAATCATGAGGTGCTAGTCAGCCTTCTGGAGTGGCACTGAAGATTCTTTACACAAAAACCAGAAGCAGCAGGCTGCAACTTTAAACAAAATTACTCACTCTTTCCTTCACCACCCATTTACTTTCTTTGGAGAGATGCTACTGCCAGCTACCCTGCAGAATACAGTTCCCAGTCTGAAGAACTTACAATCGGTAACAAAAATACAGAGTAGAGATCAAATTAGTTCACAACTGGAAAGATGAGCAATACTAGTTCAGAACTAGACATCTGCTCAGTTCTTGTTAGAAAGAAGTTGTTGATTTCTCAAGGTTAATGGCGTAAGTATTCTAGACACCTTTCAGTTATTCCTTTCAAACTCTTCCTGTCTGTCAGTACTTGCCAGTTTCATTTTTTGTTGCTTTCAGTAATTCTCTCCAGTCTTCATTTCATCACCAATTCATTCACCTGACCCTTCATCTATACTAAGAATTTCTTGCCAAGGGATCTATTTCCTTTCTTCCCAATGCTGTTTTTTTTATTCTAACCAAAGGGAACTACAAATAAATGCTACTTAAAAGCTGAACACTGGTAAACTGCTACAGGAGGAAAATGAATGTAGTAACATACAGGAACACCCAGCAGAACAAATTCAAATGACCAGCCCTAGCTGTACTGGTTTAATAACCAACTTTAATATTATCATCTCAGATATTACTATCTCACCTTTTTACTCCTAAGATTTTATAGTAATCCCTCTTCTGTGATTGCTTCAGCATCTTCTGGGCACGTTCCAGCCCCTCCCGAATCTGCTGGTCGTTTTCACTATTGGCTTGGGCAGTCTCGTAGTCTTTAATAGCTTTAGTAAAACAAGTAAATAAAAGAAAGATTACACAACTCTTTCATACACTTCAATGTAAAGAACTCAACCACTCACCAAAACTGAGGGTGTGCTATTCCCATGTGTAAACAGCAGAGCTTTTAATTCAACTTTCCATGTTTTGGGGTGGGGGTTTTCCACAAATCAGGAAACCTTTGAGTACAGGAGATGAATTTTCCACACACAAATTAGGCAGTTTTCTTCCTCTGGGCTCACCACACTTTTTGGGAAGGAAGAAGGGAGGTTACTAGTAATGGGTCAGAACACTCTCTAGAAGCTACAACAGTCACATGGATGAGTGTAATGAACATCTAGGACAGGGATGAAAAAGAAGTCAAGAAGGAAATTTCACGAGTTCGTATCTGAAGAGCCCACTGCACAGTGTTAGTCCCACACTGCTGCTCAAGTGAAGATGCGTAACAAATAATATTAAACTAATATTCCTTCTTCTCCCTGTTCACCTCAATCAAGAGGATAAAAAGCCTCTTCCTCTCTAATGGCAATAAAGATGGATTTCAGATTACAAGGAGGTTCATACTCTTACTGCAAGACAAATACTTGCCTTTTACGCCTCAGCATAACATGCAGGCAGTTATGTTTTAAGGTTGAGGTTTTCCCCAGAGACATGCTCTCGCATTATTTGAAGTGGTATTTCTCAAGAATGAAAGCAAGAGGTACTGTAATGTATTCACAAATTTTTAAGACATTTCAGGTCAACACTTCAAGTAAACTGTATTTACTACTGTAAGTGGCAACTGAATGCTTAAGACACCAAGTTTACAAATTCTCTGATACCAAGACTTATCCAGGGAAGCAACTGTTTTTAAGTCTTTAATGAAACTGCTCTTCTTTCACTGTTCTAATCTTCAAAGTCTTATTTGCAGATCCAAGTTTCCTAGGTTTCTCCAGTTAGACAAAGTACTTGCAACAGATTATTTCCAAGCAGATGCTATTTCTCAGCAGGTGCTACATTTGTTTTTCACTGTTTCTGAGCAAGACAGCAGGAAGTGCTAATGAATTCTTATTACCCAGACATCTGATACCACTGCAATCTTCCTTTGGTTACCGAAAAAACACACCACAAAACCACAACACAATAATCCATAAAGTATTTCCAGTGCCCCAATAGCTTCATGTGCTATTACAAACAAAACAATTTCTATTCATTTTCACGTCACTGGACACTGTCATTTGCTGCTTCAAAAAAGCATTTTGGCTTCTGCTGATATTTGTAATCATTTGTCCAGTCATTAAAAAAAAAGCCCAACAAACAGGAGTGTACACTAATGCGTGTGCCCAACATATGCTGTCAAAACTGATAAAAAGAATGAAAACGCAGGGATTTCATCACGCTGCTTTACCACTCCAATGATTTTAAGCACCAGAATACTTAATCTGCTTCATGTAATGATGGGAAGTCCCACCACAATGTCTGCCAAATGCAGATCAGATTGCTCAACATCACTGAGCACCACATCATCTACAGCACACACCGCTGCTGGAAACCAAGCTGCTCAGGGTCAAGGATTTGCAATGACAGTACAAGACTGACTCCCTTAGTTAAAGGCTGCATGCATTAAGCTCACAGGAAGGCATGGTTTTCAGTGCTGCACACTGCAGATGGAATGCACCCAGCACACCTGACGGCAAGTACATTTTGCATTCTCCCAGTTGAAAGATGCTTCAGTTTTGATGGTACTCTCCAGTGTAGGAATTTTCTTCTTTCAGAGAGCTAATGCTCTCCCCACCTGAGGGGTGAGGGCTGGAAGCAGGTGGAAGCAAGATAACAGCTTCCTGACCACCAGCAGTTTGCTATGAAAACATGAGAAATATTCCTATTTCATGTCAAATGAGGTATTAAATCAGTTCTGCTCAGTCCTATTTCTAAATGTACTAGTCCCTCACATACCCTACAAGAATCACTGACTTGCTGTTTCAGTGAGCATCCTTTCTTCCTTTCATCCTGCCCCATGTATCCCATAACACAAAAGGAACTACCAGTTACCAGTTTCAATGCAAATACTTTAGTCAAATCTCTTTTTTCAATACAAGAGTTTTCACAACCTCTCAAACAGTAAGCACATCATATCTCTAAATACCTTAGCTGGCTTTCCTATCTTGCCTACCACCTCTAAAACAGTGACCAAGATTCCCATTATTCAATATGCAGAGTTCATTTACTACCGAACACCAGTAACTGCAGGCAACCTATGTCCATGTCAACCATTAGAGGAATAACTGAACCAGTTACGGTCTTACTGAAATAGGGACTCTTTCCTCGACAGTAGTAGGGTAGGGAAAAGGGGGGAAAGAAAAAGGTGGGGTTTTTAACTCTTTTACAAAACTCGTGCTGTATACTTCAGACAGACTCCTGTACTTATGAGGTAAGCCAGAAACTGAGTCATTACGCATCTGTCTCTGTAGACAAGCCCTGGATCCCATGTGATTATAAAGTAATTAAACCCATTTGATGGGAATCAGAACTCAGTAATACATACTGAAATGCATCTTGAAGACTTAACAATAATAGCCTTCAAAGTTCTGAATTACAAGTAATTCAAAATTTTCTGGCTTTAAAACAGGAAAACGGGTGCCTCTAGCTTGAAGTTTTCTTGAGAGGAGAATGAGAATCAGTTTCCCCTTTAAATATAAGGCAATTTTAATTGCTCTACTGTTCTCTACAACAGAGAGAAATCAGCCATCATTTTTACAGCAGTTAAAACTTAAGGATAAATGGAGGCACCTTTAGGCAGACTAACATTAATGGGCTATAATAGTGTTTATGGAGGCTCTGCTGGAAGGCAGAGTGTAACTACAATCATCTCACCACTGTCAAGGGCAGGAGAAAGGCAGACGATATGCTAAACCATGGGAATTTGGACAAGCACGGTTCCACTCTAGCGTGATTGTCCTCTTAGAACCAGGCCAGGCCAAGCCAGCAGGCTCCAGCCAAGGAAATAAGCTGTCCCAAATCCTATGTGTGTCCCACTCCATGTTTCCTTACATCCCGTAACAGGTATGCATTTGCTTCATTGTAAGACTAAGCTGCATTTGTGCACGACCTCATTACAAAGCTTTTTCTCCCCCCTTCCAGTCTGCAAGAGTTGCCAGATTCTCTCACCGTAGAGGAACGAGAAACAGATGAGGATTTAACTGAAGATAATGTTAGAAAGATCCAAATCGAGATTCATCAATTTCAAGAAAACAAACAGATCAATTCTGTCCATTAGTAAGAAGCAAAAGGTACATCAAAGAGGACTCACAGCAGGGCCTGTTTGGCCTGCCCGTCTGCACCCTCCTCTAAGCTGAAGATTCATACATCTTGAAGAGAGAAAACAACTTTAAATTTCCTTTGGGTTCTCCTTCTGCTGATACTCCTTCCTTTTACATCAAAAACCTCTTCACAATCCTATCTTGTAGATTTGTATTCTGTACCTTAAACTCTTTTTAGGGAAGTGTTTGGGTTTTGAGGGTTTTTTTTTCGTTCATTTGTACATGTACTTTTCCCAGCACTCACTGAATATATTTCCACTGTTCTGAAGTACAGAAAAAGATTGGGAAATGCCTAAAGGGGACCTCATCACTGTGAAATCTTCCCGAGTCTTACTTTTAGGCCGACACTACAGTTCTAATCAACAGAGGGAAAACCATTAGCCTAAGAAAACAGAAAGATTTTTCCACATACTTTGGGTTTGTTGGGGGTTTTTAAGCAACCCCCCTTCCTACAATGGCCACCAGTTCTCTGAATTACACTTTCACCCTTTTTCTTATAAGGGGGAAGAAGGCTTGCCAGTCTCAGCAAAGGGGGACTAGGTCACTTCAGAGGTACAAAGTCTCCAGGCCTGATGAACAGGACTGTCTGAAACCACACCAGTCCTCTTTATACGGACTTTTGATTTGAGCAAGGAGGCCTAATACGAGAACAAAATGGGTATCTCGTATTTGAAGCAAGATTCAGGAGGTGAGCAATATCATCTCTCCTTAATTTCACAAAAAGGCAACAAAATAAATCTGTGTGCTATAAATAAGAACAGCTGCCTCATGAATGTTTAAATCAGAAAGACTGTTTTTTCAGTTGTAAAGCAAAAGATCCAGTACCAGAATACAGAACAGAAAAATTGCCCTGTAAGTACTAAAAATCATGGAACTAGTTTTCTGTAGATTTAAAACCTACAAGTCCTCTCCTTCATCACACTTGACTGAAACAGCCCAATGCTTCAGAAACTGCTGCATGACTGAGCTCAGACTGTCCAAATTTCCTCTTAAGCCTCATTTCTTGTGGAAATGAGATTCACTAAATTAGATTTTGAAGATTTTTTTTAATAGCACATTAGCACTCAAAGAAACCAGGTAACAACATAATGGGGCACTCAAGGCTCTTACTACTCAGTCCCTACTTCCTGAGGCTGCAGATGGAACCATGTAACAATATGCATTTTACGGAAACCCTGCATGGAAAATTCAGCCTAAGGAGTGGCATCGGTTTACTGCTCTTAACAGCACTAGAGACCCATAAAGGTGAAGCAATAGCTATCATCTTTCTCTGCCCTCAATACACGCTAGGGGGTGGAACGGTGTTGTTTCATGCTGCCACACAAAGACATTAAAATAAGAGTTCCTAAAACGGATTTATATCACCCTAACTATAATTACCTTTTATTTCTAAATGGTTGTCTGACACTGCTGATTATATAAAATGCGTTTAAGTAAGCTGAGTAAGCTGCAGTCTCATAAAACATCCTGAACATAGCCCACTGTTGTAAAGACAACTGCGCTGTAGATGGAACAAGTACATTCCACTTACACTCATCAAGACAAAATTACCAGCAGGTACTTTTGTGAAATCTGCAACTACCAGTGCTGATTAGGGATAACAACATAGTATAGAATCAAAGCGCATGTTAAAAAACAGGCGAAAGGCTGACTGCATTTTAAATGCACACAAAAAAGTATGTGCAAACCGCATACAACTGTACCTTCTTCATAAAGGTCTTCCAGCAGATAAGCTTCTGCTCTGTCTTTCAGGGCATTCACATTGGTTGACTCCAGCTGCAGAACTTCTGTACAAACTTTTATGGCTTCTGTAGCCTGCTGGTTCTAGGGAGCAGAAAGTACAATAGAAATCATGCAGTGCTGTGGCTTGGGTTTTTTGTGGTGTTTGCTTTAAAGAAGTTTACAGACTGATATAACCAGTATTACCTTTGACAAGCAGTGGCAGATCCTTTCTTTGGCACGAGTAGCATAAACTGGGACATCTGGCTCAGTTTTCATTACAGACTCATACTTACTGATAGCATCTTGATACCTGTTTAAATCACAATAAGCATAATACGATATGCAGTAACAATTTCATCATTTGATGTACTTACAAGTTTCAAAATTAGCAGACTTTTACATCCTTATAGCAATGTAACCTTCAGTAGTTTTAAAGGTGTGGTGTGAGACAACAGTATGAAGAAACCTTTCAGCCACTTCAATTACATCCCCATTCCCTTTTCTGTGCTATGAGACAGAAGAGCAAGGACTATGCCTGGCACAGTTTTGCAGAAGGTAAAAACTGTCATCCCTCACTGTGCACAGACAACAGCGTCTAGCTTTGCCTCCTGTCCAACATACCACTCTGTACTTGGAGAAAAGTATTTCCCTCTCTGATACACAAGATGGCTAAAACTGGAGTCTTGCTGTGAGAACTGTATTATTTGCATTTCTTAGTACAAAAAGACAAGTCCTTTATAGCAGCTTGAATCAGATAGTTGTTTTCTCCGTTCTTCCTTCTCACAAGTCACACAGTAAAAGGTATTTTTGCTGTGAAGGTTTCAAAAATGTGGAAGTTCCATGGTTTGAGTAAGAAATTGGTTAGAACATTCACCTAAAAATGCAAGCGTGTGACTGAACCCATGGGTTGCTACAACCTAGGAGAAATTCAAGCTCTCAGAACACTCCCTGAAAATGTGCTGATACTCGATTAAATAGAAGACTGAAATGAAAAGAGTCCAAAACAGACTGCTAACTTAATAAAATTGTCTTCAGTAGTGCTGATTCACACTCCTGTACTTCACTTTGAAAAGCCACCTTGACAGCGTTTAATCACTTATTAGGGATCCTTAGATTACAGTTGGATGTTGTGTGCTTGGTAACACACAAAACTGAAATAAAGTAAGAAATAGAAGAATACAGGGGCACTGTCTATAATTTCATAGGGTGCATTAAAGAAACCCATTAGTCAGATCCATTTTTGCTGGCAAGGGACTGCAGAATTACTAGGTGGATTTAATCTAAAAAAATGGGCTTTTAATTACAGAATAGTTGAAGCTGGAAGGGACTTCCAGAGGTCATCTGGTCGAACCCCTGCTGAAACAGGGACACCTAAAGCAGGCTGCCATATCCAGACCTGATATCCATATCCAGGACCATATCCAGATGCATTCTGAGTATCTCCAAAGCCGGGAGGCTCCACAACCTCTCTAGGTAACCTGCACCAGTGAAAACAAGGGGGTACTGGGAAGCATTTCCTTACGTTCAAATGGAATTTCCTGTTTCCCCTTGCATCCACTGCCCTGGCCCTGTCACTGGGCACCACTGAAATGTTGCTGCACCCTCTGCATCCTCCTTTCAGGTGTTTATGTACATTGATGAGACCACCCCGTAGAAGAGAAGGCTCAGGGGGAACAGTCAAAGCTATTTCAGCCTTTCCTCACAGGGATGGAGATGCTCCAGTCCCTCCATCATCTTAGTGGCACTTCGCTGGACTTCCTCACTCCATAGTTTCATCTCTCTTGTACTGGAAAGCACAGCACTCAGGTGTGGCCTCATCAGTGCCAAGAAACAATATATGAGAGCTGACAGGTATCATCCCTATCTCAGTCTTACTATCTTCTCTACAAAGGAGCTGACCATGCAAAGAGAAGACAGTGGCATCAGAAGGAATGAGAATAGAATTGTCACTATGTGAGTCAATATTTATCTTAATAGTAATTTGAGCGCTGTGCTCAGTTATCCACTTTAACTGTCAGATGCAAAAAGCATCACTTAACTCCTCAATCAATAGTAAGTTGGCACCTCAGCAGTGGCTGGTTTTCCTTTGTTTTTAATATAGCAGTGAACACTTACCTGCCTTCTCGGATGAATTCCTCTGCTGACTCAATCTGCTTATTGAGTTTCTTTACTTGTTTATACAGAGAGAAGCACTGCTTGTGATCTTGGTCTAGTTTCAGGCACTCCCGGACTTCACTGTTTCCAAGGAGGTAGGAATGGAAAATAAAAACAAAAACCAAAACAGAAGACATCACCACACATTATGAAATTTCATCTAGAGGTGCAATGTAACATATATAAGCTGTCCAGAACAGTTATGAATTTTACACAATCTCTCCTTTCATTAAAAGATGAATTTAAAGTGAAACAAAAAAAGACCTCCAGAACATACAGGAATATTTGTCTGGTTTTAATTATTTTGTACTGCCAAATAGGAAGAGACTGAGGAGTGTTACATTAATAACTGACTAAACAGCAGATGAAAAATATACCCTGAGAATGAAATTATATTCATCAGGTATCAGATGCAATTGATTGTGATTTTCTTGTATATTTAACTCAGCTGTATTACAATACCCATGTAGAAGTACATTTTATACTGCCTGAAACAGATGAAGTTCAGCTAAGACCCATTCTTTTGATGAAATCTCAGCCAAACCTGAGCCTGACTTTTCACTGCAAAGACTGTTTAATCAGACTCTGATTAGGGCAGATACCTCTTAAAATAGGCCAAAGTCTTAAAACCCTCCAGAATGCAATCGTATGAAAGAATAGAGGTTTTGTACCATATAGAATCATCATAGCACAACCAAGGTGTTATTTTTAGGAGATCACAAATTCTCATTTTCTTCCTAAGCACACATAAAACCACCTATTATTTGAAAATCATTAAGCCTGTAAAGGTAAATGGAAGAAACTAAGGGAAGGACACAATTCATTAGCCAGCAAGTCCAAGAGCTATACAATTCTCATACTGTATCTTATGATGCAAGAAATAGAAAAGAGTCAGAAGAATAAAGGAGAGAGGCTTATTCCTTTATACTGATACTACTCTATTCTTCAGCAGCTCTCTCAATTGTACTTGTAAAAACTTTTTGATTAAGTTACTAAGAGTGTGCTCGTGTGGATTTCAGGGGTACGGGTGGGAGAAGAAATCTTACTGAAGAGATTCTGTGGTAGAACCCATATTGGAAGGAGTTTGGAGACGAAGGCAGAGCATCTGAGGTGATGAGATGTACAGAAACCACTCGTGTGCAAAAAGGATTACATCATTTGTCCAGCTAGGCATAGAGTATGAAGTTAAGAGTCTAGATTGGGCAAGGGCAGTAATCTGCAGGACTGACTAGGAATGTATGGGAATAACACCTTAAACTTAAGTGAAAATAAATAAAAGGGTAGGGTGTTGTCAAAAAATACTCCAATACTGGACACTGGCTGTAAGAATCAAAGATTGACAGCTCTGGATCCCCAGCTTCTTACACTTGAATGCTTCTGGACTTTATTTATAAGCTTGTAATCTTTTGTTTCCACTCTTCAAAATAAAAAACCTAGCCTAGCCCTAAGACCTAATGCATACATTTTTTGTTTGCACTGTAAACTTCAGTTGGATGAAGTCTGAAGGTTGCTAAAAAAAAAAACAAAAAAATAAACAAAAAAAAAACACCATGCTCCACCAAAGCAAGTTTAGAGATGGAGAAAAGCAATAAAGCAGCAAAGTAAGCAACTCTGACAGACTTGCACTTCGGTAAGCAAGATGCTACAAACCACTGATGGCTGGTCTGCCAAGAATAAACATGGTGTCTTCACTGGTGTCTTCACTTCTGGAAAAGAGCTTCCTTCATCAGATCTAAGCCAGAGGTGCTACTCCCTCCAAAAACCAGACAGCATAGATATTTAATGGTTTAACATGACCTGTATCATCACATTGTGTCTCAATTATAACAGTTAGAGCAAACAGGAAAATTACCTGAGTGACAACTCATGGTCCCCCAACTGATAATATATTCTGCTGATTTTATAGAAGGCTTCAGTGTTATCATTCTTTAATTTTGCAGCAGCTTTCAAGTCACTAATGGCTTTGCTTGGTTCTCCTTCCTTTATATAACACTCAGCTCGAAGTTCCCGTAGCTCTGCATCCCAAACACAAACCTTGAGAAATCAAAATTAAAGCTTGTTTTTGGTCTATAACACTTCACTTCTTTTCCTCCCCAGCAAAAGAAAAACCCCATTTAATTTCACTTTGCCACCTGCAATAGCATAAGGTTCAAGCTGCATGCAGAGCACATGAAATTAGCATCTCTGCTTCCTGGTGGATGCTGTGATGCACCTGCCCACATAGAAAACAAAGGCCTGAAAAATTTGTAAGTGATTCAATGAGCTCATGCAGGGAGATGAATTAAATCTGTTGGCACTGCTTAAACTGGGACAGTCTGTTGAGCCTCCAGTGAAGGATATCAGAATCATAACTTAATGTATCTTCCCAAAAGACTCAGGGTAATGAACAGCAAGGACCAAGCTGTCAGATGCCCTCTAGAAAGAAACCTGAGGGTAAGATTCAGCCACACAAGATTTGATCTTAGTATCCATATTTTAAAGATATATATATATAGAAGTAATAATGTCACAATATAGCAAGAATAACTACTTAAAAGGCTAATCATAATTCACAGTATCACAGTATGTTAGAGATGGGAAGGGGCCTCAAAAGATCATCTAGTCCAATCCCCCTGCCGGAGCAGGAACACCTAGATAAGGTTACACAGGAATGTGTCCAGGCGGGTTTTGAATGTCTCCAGAGAAGGAGACTCCACAGCCTCCCTGGGCAGCCTGTTCCAGTGTTCTGTCACCCTCACTGAGAAGAAGTTTCTTCTCAAGTTTAAGTGGAACCTCTTGTGTTCCAGTTTGTACCCATTTCCCCTTGTCCTATCATTGTTTGCCACTGAGAAGAGCCTGGCTCCATCCTCGTGACACCCCCCCCCCTTTATATATTTATATACACTAATAAGGTCACCCCTCAGTCTCCTCCGAACTATAGAGACCCGTTCTAGTGAGAATTTATTCTGGGTCTTATCATTTGTTTGTAAGCCATCCTTTTAGAGAACAAGGCTTTTATGCTTTTCCACATTCCCTCCCTATAAACAAACTCCCACCCTTTGGCAGTTTCTTCAGCAAAAGCCAGAATGTTGCAAATTCCAAATCTGTGTTAATTTGCTTGTGAAGAGTTGAAGCAGTTAACAGTCTTCTAATATATATTTCTATATGACACACAAAATGCCCACGATGAGTTATTTACACTTATACGATCAGCCTACCTATACTAATTAAGATTAGATACACACGCATCTACAGAAAAAGCTGTAAACCGAAGAGCTGTTTACATTTCTAACTTTGTGGTTTTAATCTTCTGTTACTTCATTCACTCAAGACAAAACCTGCCTGCATAGAGGCAGTGAAAAATCTAATGACAAACCTACACCTTCTATATTCGGCAAAACTTCATTGGTTTGAGCAGAATTAACATCCCATCTTCCCCAAGAACACCAAACTGAAATAATAGAAAAGTATGATCAAGGAAGTTATCTGCAACAGAAGACTGGCTGAAGTTCTCTCTTTAACCCAAACTAAAAAACTATTATTTTGACTTTTTGCAGGTAGTGCTCAGCATTCTTGACTCTCAAACTTCATTATGGACTCACAGTGCTCAGCAAAACTGGGCCAGTTACATCAAGTGTTTTCATATCAGTGAAAAAGTTATTAAACAAAAATACACAGATGTCAGACAGGAGCTCGTACTTCCCTTTCACAGTACTATTATACTTCACACTTACTGCCAAGATTTCATCAAGAAGAGAAATAGCGGCTTCATAATCCTCTTGCTGGTAGGCAGATAATGCTTGTGAATGCAGGCGCTGTAGCTCATCAGATTTTGTCAGCTGAGTCTGGGCTTCTTTTTCCTCATTATTGCTAGGACTGGATTTGAGCTGCAAGCATTAAGAAGGAGAGAGACTGAAATGCTTGTTCAAGGATGTCTTTTTGTCCCATAAATAATCACATCATGGAGAACTGACTAAAGCTGCCAATAAAGCCAAATCAGTTTTAAAATTCCACTGGAAATGTTTCCAACTCCAAACTTCAGAAAAAAGACAGGCACTTTTAGCTTCAATACGAGTTGTAGAAAGTGAGACACATCCAATTCCTCCTGCCACGGTGCCCGATTGCTTACCATTGGACACATCATAAGTTAGTCCCCCCATCACCACCGGAAGTCTCATGGATCTCTCAATTGTAGTCTAGTTAATTCATCTCTCTACAGTTATCATACACTTCATTCCTCAGCATCAGCAGAAATATCCACATAGTATAATCACATACCTGACATTAAGCACAATATGTATTCATAAATTCATGACAGAAATAACTGTAACATGTCTCAGACAGCATTACTGTAAAGCTGTTTCTTCCATTTTCCCCCTTAAAAAGTGGCTACAGCAGTAAGTTAAGATGCACACATGGAGGAAAGGCTCAACACTGGGATCAGCTGGGAATCTATGCCTTTTGCTTCATATGTAGCTGCAAACAAGCCTGAAGTTTTCTTCTACAGAGACTCCCCATTTCTCAAGCCCCCATTTCTGAGCAAGTAGAAGGTGGTATATTGCATTTGCCTTCATTTGTTTAGGGAGCTTTGTATTTTCAGAGAAAATTAAAAAAAAATCCCAAAACCTCACAGGCACCTCTGCTACCACCCAGGAAGACCCAGGGCCACAGGGATGATCAGGGCCTGACGCATATCTCTTACAAGGAGAGACTGCACAGACTAGGCCTGGTTAGTCTAGAGAAGACCGAGATGGGATTTCATTAATGCATATAAGTATCTCAAAGGTGGATGCCACAAAGATAGTGTCAGACTCTTTAGTGGTGCCCAACAACAGGAGAAGGAGCAGTAACCACAGACTAATATGTGAGAAGTTTCACCTCAACATGAGGAAGAACTTCTTTATACTGAGGTTGGCAGAGCACTGAAACAGGCTGCCCAGAAGGGTTGTGGAGTCTCCCTCTCTGGAGAGATTCAGAACCTGCCTGGACACGTTCCTGTGTGACCTGCTCTAGGTGGCCCTGCCTTGGCAGGGGTTTAATTCATATGATCTCCAGAGGTCCCTTCCAACTCTAATGACTGACTCTGTAAAGACAGATATGGGCCAGGAAGAATCTGTCATTCCCTTGTGAAGCCAGGAATTCATTTATAAGATTGGCCTGGATAAGGTACTGGCTCCACACTTGTTGCCAATCAGAATGACTTCCAAAGTTTTAAAATGACAAATCACCAGGACTTTTATATAATAATTTATATAATTTATATAATAATTTTTATTATTATTTTGTTTGCTCTAAAAAAATTTGCACTACCATATTTCCCCCCCCCCCTTTTTTTTTTTTTTTTCACAAAATGTTAACTGAAGTTACTGGGCCCTCAAAGTCACCCCCTACTTTTCTTTCCTCCTTTATCTCAAAGTGGCCTCTTCCCTTTCTCTCATCAATAAGTTCTTCAAACACTCAGATTTTGTGCTTCAATGTAACGCAATTCTCAATGTAATCTACATGTAATGTAATTCAAAATCAGCCTTCAGAATGCCTTAACAAAATTCCCCTTGCTTTTAACACTGAAGGATATGAAAGGAAAAAGCCTAAACACTACATCAAAAGCATGCACCAGTCTCACCTCTACCTTAGACTCATTTTAGGTCTTTTTGAACCTTATGCAGTTGTTTTATTTTACTCTGGCAAAAATCAAGTTGTACTTAGACATGAAAATTCTCATTTATCCCCTACCCCATCTTGCAGCACAAAGAAAGGAATGTGATCAAAGAGTTTTCTCTTTTGTAGGCTAATTCCCAATATAAGTCTCACAAAGCTTTTCTTCTGGTTACAGCAGAAACTCTGCCTATAAACCCCTGATGCTGTGCATCCTGCTTCTCGCCCAGATCTGGAGCTTGTAGCAGTGGCAAATTTCTGCCCCTGTAATTTTAAAGTTCCAAAACTACAAAGCTCTCTGAAGTTCTGAACTCTTTAGTTCCAGCTGACGTGCTTAATTTCTCTCTATTTCTCAGCATTTTCCCCTCTTAAAAATAAAGAGCTTTTGCTATGGACAAGCCTTATGCTTCCCTTTAAGCTTATCTCCCAGTAACACTGCACTCAGACACACCGTATGTTTCTTGTTACTTATCTGGAGAAAAATGTCAGTGGAATATGAAAAGCAACTCTGCAACCATACAGACAAGCCCAACAGTAATAACAGCCATTTGAGTGAAACACCCTAGATAATTTTGGTAGTACAAACCATCCAGGTAAAGAAAGAAATTTCTCAAGATACCATTTAAACTAAAGCCATTAAATGTTTGTGTGATACAGTACGATGAAAATATACACTCAGAAGCTCTTATTAGGTAATTAGTTCATTGCTATGAGGGTTTAATCAATAATGTTAAATAAAGCTTTTCATTCAACTCCTAGGAAAAGGCTGAAAACATGATGTAGTTACTTAATACTCTCATTTTGGTTTACTTTCCTCCCTCCCCCCCCCCCATGTTTTTGCCCTGTGATCAGAGAACCGTCATCATTTCAAATAACTGAAACGTGATTCATTATTTCTGGTCTTCCTGTGGAGCAGTAAGCTTGGGGGTGACAACTCAGAACAACTGCTCACACTAAGTGTGCTAGAAAGGAACACAGTATCAATGGAGCAAGAAAGGAGCAAGCCACCCTTCAGCTGAATTTAATACAGGTCTAAGGCAAACCTAACGCTCCTCTACATACTTCATTAGTGGCCTCAAGGCACAAAGTCAGAAGCTATGTTCTGCTCAGTTCAGCTGGACAAGTACACTGCTACTGGTGAGTGTATTCTCAGTACATGCTTTGCTGTCCGATGTTTACTACATTTGGATAAGAACTGTAAATTAGCTGCAGTTTAAATTGCAGTAGAGCTAGCCATCTGTTAACAGCAGCTTTCATTTGCTACTGACACCCTCCACCCCAAACCTGCACTCAATTCCTGTACAGAAAATAAAAGACCAGCATACAGGAATAGCTTTGTTACTGTAAATAATTCTCTATCACAGATTTACTACCATGAGTGCTGCTTTGTTTTATAGCCTAGTCTCAATACAGGGAAGAAACCCATCCTAGGTTAATCAAAACCCCATTTCCCTTCTTCCCCCCATTTTCCCCTCCCCCCAGTAAACAAAATTAAAGGGAACAAAATCATCCTCCTCTCTCAACTAAGTTGAGCTTTAAAGCATTCACACATGTATCTATCCTTTTCCCTGTTACTCTCAGTGAGGAAGGTAGCTTCTTCTAAAACTTTATCTCAAGGTACAAAACTTTACAACATTACCTTACTGCACCCAGGGCAGTCAAAAAAAGGTATTAGTAGTTCACTTCATGAAACCCAGCATCTTCTTGGCATATAGAAAGTGTTTAGATTATTTCTACTCTAAGTAGGCAGCCTTGGAATGGCTGTGTTACATTTGCAGTCAAACATCAAGTATTCAAAAGTTTTCTGATGGGAAAAGCACTTTAACAAGGTAAACAATCCATGCTGGTTTTCAATAGGCAACATCACACCCCCCCCCCCCCAACCTGCCATATTTCACTGCATTTCGCAATTCTATCAATATGACCTTCCTAACTATACACAGAAGTTACACCAACCACACACAAAGCTACATAAAAAAATACAATGCACCACTAGTTCAGAAAAATATGTTAGTAGCAGGGCATCCGAACTTTATCAGCAGTGACAAAACACTGAAGTGAAACCAATGTTAAACTACATAGGACCATTTGTGTCTTGTGTGTTGGATGATGCTCAGGTTGTCCAGAGAAGCTGTGGATGCCCCATCCCTGGCAGTGTTCAAGGCCAGGCTTCATACAGCTTTGAGCAACCCAATCTAGTGGAAGGTGACGCTGCCCATAGAGGAGGGATTGGAACTGGATGATCTTTAAGGTCCCTTCCAACCCAAACCACTCTGTGATTCTATAAACAGAGCAAGTACCTCCTGCTATCAAATTTAGTATGAACTCTTTGCTTCAGGATCTTTTCTCAGAAGGGTAGGAAAGGGTTAAAAGACATGCCTAAGCTAATTCAGCAGTTTAACAATCTGTCCTGCTTTCCATCTACATAGTACTACATTTCTTTGCAATGGCTCATTAACAATACAGGAAGAAGTTGGGCACTTAGCACAGGAATTCTAAGGAAGAACAGTCACAACCACCTTAAGAAAAAACACCAACTCTAAATCCATACTCAGAATACAGATTAAAAATATACAAACAATTCACCAGTGGCATTTGAGTATCTTAGCATATATTATAAATAGACAATATCAACTTGAAAAAATCCTCTTAAATACTGTTGTTAAAATCAAATTATTGTTAAAAATAAATGTTACAGATGCACTGTTTCTATACCTTGCTTAGAGTGGTTCAGTGCCACTAATGTAAGCATACATCTACACATTCTAAGGCTGTTTTATTTTCTTCCTTCTTAAACGTGTAAATACACAAGCAATGAAAATTGCTCTGGCTTGTGAAAAACATTCAGGGGAAACTGAAGAAATCTCCACTGTTTGTGTTATCTAAAATTAAGACATCCACATGCTCAAGAACAGTGCACAAAGGAAAACTCTGCATTAGCAGAGCAATGTATTAGGTAACACTACTGTGATGGTAGGCAGATGGAAAAAAAAAAGCAAGGAAATACCTTGTAGTCTTTACCTAGAAAGCTACAGATGATCACAGCACCGCAGAGGAATGTATTTGGAAGTCTAATGTTACTTCGATCTGGTTACTACTTTCAAATACCCAACCCAAGATTCCCTAGTAACTTACTCAAATGAGGTTCACTTACAGTGGCATAAGATGGTCTCCTCCACCTACATCCAAAATAATACTATTACATATAGCAACCAACCACAGAAAACTATTATCCAGTGTACTTCACAACAGCTGAGGACTTCTCTACAAGGCAATTTGCAGATGTACAGTGCTCAGTCACTTGGTCTTGGCTGACATCTAGTGGAGCTGGAAGTAGCACCTTCAGTTTCCAGCTTGTCAATGGTTATGCTCCCAAAGGAGACAGAACTGCATATTTAGGGCACCTAAATTTAGAGTATTTATTGCAACAAACTGCAACTGTAAGCATTATAGTTACTCTCAAAAACATGAAGATTAACTTAAAAGAAATATGGCAACTTGGTCCTTTCCACACTTTCCAATAGACTAGGCGGAATTTCTGTTCTATTTTTGTGTTGAATTCAGCAAAATGCATAGCATTTTCTCTAGCACACAAGCAGGGCCACAGACATTATAAGGCATATACAAAGGCCTTCCAGGACTTGCATTGCTTTTGTCACCTTTTCAGAAGGCCTTCCATCAGCCAAAGCATATCAATGTTCCTTTTATTTTCAGTAAAAATCACATACTTACAAATATTCCAGAGCTTTTGTGGATTGAGGCTACGGATATGAGCACTGATGTACCCACAGATCTGTCCTGTTGACTTCTAATATTCAGAAACTACTAACCAAAACAGAAGGAACTTGGTATTAAAGCATACAAACACTCAACCAAAGTTGGAGCAGAGAAATAAATACTATTCATACGCTGTGAGCAAGTAACTTTCTGAAGTGCCCTAAGGACTTCTTAATCCTCAATATGTCCTGAAGACTCTGAACACCAGAATTAAGACCCCTATGCTGACATTTGTTATAAGCTTTGTTACCCTCTAGATCCTAGACTTCAAAACACGTAACTGAGGGTCCCTTCCAACCCAAACCATTCTATGATTCTATCACTTTATGTTGAGGCTTAAGTCTGAATCACACCTTCTACCCAAACCTCATTATTAATTTCAGCCAACAGAGAAGTACAAAGTAGACAAAAAAAAAAAAATAAAGGCACCTCAAAACAATGCATGAAGGCTGGGGCTTGAAGAATCTCTGCCCCTGAAAGGAGTGCTCCCATCCTTTTCAGTCAGGCATTCCCACTGCCTGCTCTCACACTGGCACTGCCTCACAAGACAGCCAGTACTAATATGCCACAGGAGGCAGAAACACCCAAACTGAGAAACTGTTCTGCTCAGCAATTAGGTAACTTCAAAGAGGTACAGGGTGCTCCTGAAACTTTTTCCCATGTATTATAAAGCCATGCAAATAGAATTTAAGGATATGATTCTTTTTTTTTCTTTTCATGTTTATACATTAAAGGATAGTGTTACTACTACATGTAAAGAATAGTTTCAATGATTCTCCCCACCTCTACACAAAACCACTGCTGTTACAAGTTGTGAAAGTTTACTTGTCATCCCCCCCCCTCCATATAGATGCACTAATTTTTTCCTGCTTTTTCTCTGCCTCAAAAATTATTGCATCTCCTGAAACACTGAGATCCCTTTCAAGAACATGACTTCGAGAGGAGGGATGGGAAGAAAAAAATAATGCTTTTCAGAGTCTCCACGGGGATTCAGACTTCGGAATATGCTTGGAGGAAACAACATTTTACAGACAGGTCCCTGCATCAGTCACCTTGCAGTTCTGGTAGGCACACAAAGGAACACTGCTGACACTGACTCTTAATGCAAGCATCACACAGGAAATTACAAACCATCTCACTCCTACATGTCTGTCTTTGGTAATCCAAGTAAAATTACTCTCCCTAATTTCTACACCCTGACCTGGTTTCTCCAACTCAAAAGTGGGAAATACTTTAAATTCTGATCTGCTCCCTTGAAGTCAACACCTGACCCAAACAGTCTCCTACGTGAAGTCACACGAGAGAACACATCTACAATCATTCAAGGGCATATAACCTATTTCAAAGAAGGCTTTACCAGAAGAAAACCCATCTCATCTATGCAACTATTTCCTCAGGAAAATAAAACAACACTGAAGGCAAAAACTCCCACATTTTTACATCCTACAATTCATTTCTGTATGTGTATGATGTTCTCAAGACCACCTACTCTTGGTAACATCCTGCAACCCTGCACAGAAAAGAAAGTGGATTATTTTTCTTTAAAGCAAGACTTTCCCTTCAGCAAAAAAAGAATGAATGGGGTGAAGGTTTGTCCTGGGGTTTGGGGTTTGTTGTGTGGGGTTTTTTTTTATTTCTAAATACAGCATTTCCACCTTGTTTTTCCACAATACTCATCTTCTGCAGACTCAAACATATGACCAGACTGCTGCATGCCTATTGACTTACAGTAATTGCAGATTTAGAGCCTGCACACAACTAATGCAGGATGGCCTAAGTTTTTCTCCAATTTAGCTCCAGATCTGGACACAATCTGCTGATGTGTTACACGCTTAGCCAGAATGAAAGCATTGCAGTTAGGTGATATCTAGGCAACAACGCGAGAGTCTAGTGAGCTCTTCAGATCCTGACCTAGATTTACTCAGCTAAAGAACATAATCAAATTACATACTCTGTTCACATGTAAAACACACAATTTGAGGTATCCAAGTCCACAACTACATTTTAGCCTGAAAGCTTTTGAGATCCCACTGGTATTTCTTTCGTTGTATCTACAATAGCAGTAGAAAGAACTTTTAAGGTATAACTTACTCTTTTTGGCTCCTTGACCACTGAATTACAACGTGAGCCAAAGCTTCCTAGTGGCTAGTATTGCCCCTACCACTTTTGGTAGCAAAAAACAGGAGTCTGAATGTAAAAGTCTTGATCACTTGAAGAGCTGCTCAATCCCTAACGGACTTCCTCCTTCTTTCCTCCCCTCTCATTTACAAGAAAAAAATACCAAACACTAAAGGCAGCAATCTTAATTTTTTGCAGTTGGTTTGGAAAATGGCAAGTTCCTTGACAACTGACTACAGCATTTCCATTACATAGCATTAAACAATACTTCAAGAAACAGTAACTGCAAAAAGATACATACACACTCAGATTCAACACCGACATCATGTAATTGCTATGGTAGCAACTATGTGCTGTTAATCAGAGCTGAACACTCTCCTGTATTTGCAAAGAGCAGGGCTGCACTGCAATCACATGCACAACTCCAGACCACACACTCCTAAGAAACATATTGAGGAAGCAGCAGCAGCTAGAGGAGCCATTGCTACTGCAGCTTTGCTACAAACACAAAGACTGCCTGGTGCATTTATACCTGCAAGAGCCATTCCTCCCAACTGCCCTGGAGAGCATACAGTTCAATTGCTCTGGTTTTGTCATACACAGTCACTAGTAAGATTTCCATTAACCATCTGTAATCTGCAGTGCAGAGCTGCATTCTCCATCAAACTCTTCAAAGAAAGTCAACAAGGAGCATCAATTACACTTGCAAATTCTATTTATTTTGGCATAAGGAATATGCAAGCTGTTCAAACTAGCAACTCTTGAAGGGTAAGAATAAGAATGAATCTTATTTATTCTCATGCTTACAGAAATCTTGTGCAGAGAGGGAACAGAGTTTCACATTTTCTCTGAGGAATTTTGTTCTAGATGAGTTTATTTTTGCAATCTAAGGCCAAAATGCACAAAATACCCATGAAAAGAAAAAAAATCAAACAACCAACACCAACCCAAGTGAGCTTTAGGTGAGTAATATCCAAGTGTGTTTGTATGGAAACTGAGCACTTTCTGATCATGGAGATTGTTAATGTCATGTCACACATGAAATATGGGGAACTCCTCAGACTCGGAACCCAACCTTAAAAGCAGTGATGCAATTCAACTTAGGCCTCCAACTTACCACATTTTTAAAATCATCCTCTGCTTCATCAAATTTTCCTTGCTTGAGCAGTAAGTGTCCTCTCTGTAATCTTGCCTGAAATAAAACAATTTCTTTTGATGTACACATTGGAATTCAGCAAATTATTAACATAAACTTCAGCTTCCTTTATCAGGAAAAAGAAAGTTGAATTTTACTATAACTAACAAGCTGAAACAGATCACGGCACCCATTCCTCATCTTCTTGATTTGACCTTCTTAGAAGGCCTCTGATGGCAAAGGATCACTGCACCAGAACCAATGGAGAAAAAGCAGCCACAGTTTTTATAAGCAGCTAAAACTCAAGTAAAGAATTCATCTGAAGAATTGCACAAAACAGAGTAAATGTTTACCTTACACCAGTTACTTGATTATAACCACTTACAGATTTTTAAGAAATTAGCATAAATAATATGCAATAAATAATTCCACATTTAATTCTTCCACTAAACTTTCTAAATAATAGAAGCTATGCAAGAAGACAAGCTAATGACCTAGAAAAATTAACAATATTTTCACACAATAATGAATTTAACATTTACTCCTTTGATGTAAGCTGCACTGGACATGGCACTGCCCGTGGAAAAAGATAAAAGAATTAGATAGATATAACTCCATTATCAGTGTCCAAATTGTGAGGCAGTCTCCACAGACAGTATGCAGGAGTGAGAAAGGCATAAGTAAATCAGAACTTGCAACAATCCCAACAGAAAGCAATGAGATTAGGACAATTCCTGTGGAGAAGAGACGTTTCACATCAAACGCTGATTAAGACAGAAGAGGCATCTGTGTGCTCTCTTCCACTTCTCTGTCTCAGAGGGCATAGCCTTGGTGACTGAGGAGAATAACCACAAGCAAGAGAAGAGAAATGTTCAGCATAAACCCATGAGGAACATGGGCTTAATTGAACTACTACTAGTTGTTAGAATAACTGGCTAGACTGTACCCAGCATAGCTACAAATTAAAGCACATACACCACTGCTATTATTTTATCCTGTTTAAAGCCTTCTGAGTAATAATGCATTTATTTCTGTTGAGCAAAATCTGAAAAAAAAAACCAAACCAACAAACAAACCAAATTTGAAGCAGGAGGTGTTTATGCTTGAACACTTTCCAACTGCAGTAATACTTACTGATGTGAAGTCCTGCTTTAATTCAACCACTTTACTTAAATCACGAATTGCAGCTTTTGATTTGCCCATGGCTAAGTACACTGTGGCTCTTCTGTAATAAGCAATGTAGTTATCAGAGTCTCCCTCTGCAAGTGAACAAACAGTAATCAGAATACTATCTCAAAGCAACTGAAACTTTGGGTACAGCAAAACTTTAATCTCTAAAGTTACCTGACTTTTAAGCCACTTGAAAAAAACGGTATTTATAAACAAGGCATAACATTCATAACGTTATCCAAGCACTATGCAGTTTCATTATGTAACAATAAAGATAACAATTACAGTAAGCGCTAAATAAGAGCACTGAAAATGAAATGTACACATTTTTCAGCTTTGTATGGCAAAGCAGCCACTACATGCTAACCTTCTATCTCCAACTGCATGCCTACATTTGAAAGCATATTCATGCATAATTCTCCATCCCAGTCCCTGTCAATCATATAGGATGCAAGCAAATAACTCCAAAATTACCAATATGTAAGTCCAATGTCCACATGGACACATAAACTCCTCATCTATTGAACTAGCAGTAGCTTCTTTAACACTGAAGTGGACACTAACACCCCCTCTCAATGGCAGACAAATGCACATACATTATTGAAACCTGAAGGCTAACTTCAAGGCCCACATATCCCATATTGTATGCTGGTCAAACTTCCAAGATCCAGCTATTTTAACAATCTTCAGGCTAGCACGTACATACCCCCTTACAGGAGGCAATCAGTTTCTGAAACTGAATAAGACTTTTCTCAATATTCTCCTCTATGCAGTATTTGGAAGAAACAGGCTCTCAGGAGTAACTTAGACCACCCAATCAACCATACACAGTGGACTTCTACTGTGCTATTAAAAAAAAAAAAAAAATCACCAATCCAGAATACGTAGACAAGAACACCCGTATCTGTGACAGGAAACAAGTATTTATCATCCTCACCTCATCTGAGGTTAAATTTGAACTTAAAAATAAATGGAATAAACAGCACTGCCAAAAATCTTATGGTCAGTAACCAAGCTTCATAGCTGGTCACCTCCATTAAAATGCTAGTTCAGTTCCCACTGGAAAAGGTATCTGCACCCTTCCTCTACAATGTCTTAGTTGTGAAAGTCAGAATGTCCAGTACTGAAATTTAATTACAACATCCATGCTGTATACCAACATGATGGACATCTAGTAAATTCAAATGTTGCTACCTTTAAAAAAAAAAAAAAGAGGTATTAAGTCTTACTCCATACAACTAAATATGTAGAGTAGCACAAATCAACAGCTGAAATTATGGAACTTAATTAATACACAAAGGATGAAAGACATGAAAAGAGCAAACCCAGAAAGCACATTCCATTCCAGAAGGATTATGATCTTTCTGACAGTCAGAATACGGTTTTGTCTCACTTCCCCAGTAATAGTAATGAAAAGCAGTTGACATTTACCCAGAGAGAAAGCATAAGCCATCAACATGACAGGACTGAAGAAAGAGCTGGAAATTTAAGTGGAGAGAAAATGGACAATAGCTTTCTTCTACTTTAGAGGTTTAGAAGCAAAAAAAAAAAAAAAACCACACAAAAAAAAGGAAAAAAAAAACGCAGGCAAAACAAAACTATCCATTTACCCCTCTGTCTACAATAATGTAATACAGACAAATTAGCGTTCAAAAAATTTCTTCTCCCCTCCTCTACAAACACAGTAGGCAAACTGTGCTTACTATCTTCTCAAAAAGGCAGAATACAAAGAAGTCTGATCACAGTTCAAGCAATCAGGCTCAAATCAACATACAGCTAAGAATCCTGTCAAGGTCACAACATAGGTGGTCACATCATAGTTCTATCAGCTGCTCAAGCAAGGCAGAGGGCTTCTTTCATGCAGGCATCTCACACCACTGCCATCTTTGCACCACCCCCAGCATCTGAATGGCCACAAACTGAACTGGACTTCTCACCAAATCCAAGTTAAAGCTTGCCAATCAATAATAAAGGAATAAGAAAAGCTGTAACATTAACTCTGCTCAGATCCCACAGGAATGCTTGGACAGCAACACACAGGCAAAAGGTGGAAAAAGGAGCCTCTTGGTACAGCAAGAAGCTTCCATATCACAGAGAAAGAGGAAGTTCCCCCTCCACTCACTTTATGAAAGGGAGGTTGATCTTAGAAAACTCACAGAAAATATGAGTAACTCAAAAAACAGAAAATATTTCATTTACACATCACTATTAGACCTAGACATAAATAGAAAAGCCTCAGTAGTATGACTCGATGTGTAACACCTTTGTATTATTCTTCTGAGAAAATTATGCACTTGTACAGATTAAAGAGTCCAACAACTTTTAAAATATAAAAAATTCAATTGAGAAATTAGTGTTAATGAGACTGCTCTTTACTAGTGCTCTGTCTTTACACTTCAATTAAAGGATTTTAATCAGCCAAGTTGCTTTGAAATTTATAGAAGCAAACATTTAACTCCTCAGTTTGTTGAAAACGTGTAACATCAAAACCAGCTGAACATCACTAGCTGAGTTTGAGAGGCACAGTTAATATATTCTTCACTACCAGTTCAGTATCTCAAACTTGTAGAATCAGTTTCACTAAGGTATCACCCACCTCAAGAATAAAAAAAACACCACTAATAAAAAGCCAAACCAACCCCCAAACCACCCCCCCCAAAAACGCAAAAAAAAAATACACCAAAAAACAAAGAACTACTTGAAATGTTGTTTTTTTAATCCATTCTTTCTTATCTCCAGCTCTGTAAACTCAACCTTTCAAAAACTAACTTCAAAAAACTTCATAAAGACAAAGCCTCATCTTGATGGGATTAGGTACAGGGAGCACCTCATCAAACAATGCCATGATCAATTGTCACTGCTTTCATACAGCTAGCTTGCAGAACAGCAGTGACTTAGTGTTCACATATCACAGTTTCTTTTATTAAAACCAAAGCACAAGTATTCTACATCTCTTTTGGCTCCTGTCCAAACTGCTGCATAAAGACACCCAAAATTCTGTGACTCATGGAATGCAGTTTGCAAGAAAGCAGAATACTTAATGAAGCAAACAGTAAGAAAACAAAAAAAATCCAACACAAACATCCAAATTTATTTCAGTGAAAGCATCACTTTCCAGAGATACATACCTATAGCTGCATGAAAGTGAGACAAAGCATCTGCTAGCTGTCCAGCAGCCAATAACTTCTTTCCCATTTCAAGTTGCTTTTCTACTTCTGCATTTATTCCACATTCAGTTCCTTAAAGAAAGGCAAGATCAAGGTTCTGAATAACTAGTTTGATTATACCAAAAGCATAGTGTTAACACATATAACAAGCAGTTACTGATATAAAGGCAGTCACACATTCCTGTACTAAAACAATCAGCAACTTAATAAACATTGTCCCTAAAATTAGAGTAAATAGGTAAGCACTGTAAAGCACCACACTGGAGAAGGCATCAAATAGGCATTTCTTCTCCTGTCTGTACATTCAGTAACATACTTCTTGCACACCAAGCTTTATACATCAACTACAAAAACAATTTGACAAAATACATTTCTATGTGAACTTTCAATTTAAAAAACATCTAAAAAAAATGCTCATAATGCACACATAGCAAAGAAGAAGGCTTGAAGTTAAATTTCATGACCCTACTGATTACTTAGGACTCAACCGAGAACAGTTAGGTATCTGAGTTACTGGCTTCTAGTCTACTGCAATTTTGTCTCATTTACTTTATCATTTCCAAGGCAAACTGTTTTCAGGGCACAAGTTTTGGTATCAACAATTAAGATTCTTCCCCCTCCTCCCTGTTTTTATTTAACTGGAAATATGAAAAATCACACTAAAGTGGTATGTTTTCAAACTGCCAGTTTCAGTTAAAAGCTAATAAATAGATGCTGTTCAATGAACAGGGAAAGGCTATTGTTGAGAAAAAATGAGTAGCTGAATTCAAGTACATGCTGTACATCCATCAATTCAGCCACAGAGATTTTTCATTTGTAACACAGCAATCTGCAAATCAGGACAGACTTTCACTATAACTTACCAGTTTATGACTATTAAAACTTTCACACTATAAGCACTTATCTTTTAATAAAAGCATACCTTATGCATAAGTTTAAGCAAGGTAGCAAATTAAAATCCTGAGTAAATACAATTACTGGGAATCAACTTATTTCAGTCAGGTTTTGTATCAAGCTAATTCAGACAAGTACTTGAATTAACCTCAAATACAAAAATGCACCACCACTTTGAAGCTGTTTCTTAGAGTCTGAATAAAACTGTTTACACAGACTGGAGGAAAGCATATCAAAACTTCTCACACTGACAGGTGATTAAACAACAAAGTACTTGTAATGAAAAGAACATTAATGTCTGGATCACCAAATCCTTAACATTTTTAGACCCAGGAGCTCTTGGCACCCAAGATCTTAATTTTTCTTTCCTACTCCTTAATACAGTTCGTAATTCTTTTACTTCCACAGAAGAAAATTAATGCCCTCTGTATCCACTGGAAAAAGATTCGCCTGCTAAAAGACTGATAGTAAGTCAGCAAACTAGATTCTAGAGGCTTCAATTATTTCTTTCAGAACAATAACACCAAACTTTTTTTTTTTTTAATTCATGGAAGTTATTTTATAAAAAAAATCCCCAAGTTCCTGGTCAGTAGGGTTTTTTTGTTTAAATAGATAACATTCATATAGTAATTATTATCCTAGAGTCAATTAAGGGTTCTTCTTAAACAACGCATTTTAAAATCCATTCTACATTATATATAGCTCTGAAGAAAACATAAATAGCTCCACTGATAATAGAGAAGTATTTGACAGTAATTTTTCCATACACAGTATGCTACCTCAGGGCATCTTTTATGTGAATCTCCAATTTTCAGAAAAATAGGTATTTTCTTTGCCATGTTGCTTCTTTGCCAGCTTGAAGTTTTTATCACCAAGTAAGTCCAATGTCCTCCAAAATGGCAAAGCAAGCACTGAAGGGAAGAAAAAACCAAAACAACCCAAACTGGAAAACAAACCCACAGATTTCTCCATCTTTGGAAGTACACTAGCAAAGAATCAGGTATCAAATCATGAACAGACTGAAGTATTTAACATGAGACAAAAAAAGAAATAAAAAAATTTCTTAGGCTTTGTCTCTCCTGTCTCTCCCCACATATGAATACCTGAAATCTTTCAAAACTTGTCAGTTTGGAGCAGTATCCTAGAAGTGGGCTGTAAATTACTCTTGGATGAGCCTTCCATCCACCTAAACATGGCATTCAATTTTCAGAGAGTCTCAAGCATCTGAGGGAGTGCCCTTATTTTCACATTTAGTCACATCAGGACAGCTCCAAGAATAGATTTTCCACAGTAAGATGTACCTATACAATTTATACCTTTCATACACATTATGTTCAGTACAGCTTTACAGTTACATAACACTTTAGGCAGGAGAGACTTCTTTTTCCTTGAAAATATTGAACATAAATGAAATGAGACAGATGACCATTAGTAGTAAGCAGGTAAGTAATAAAAGCAGAAGCAACACAGATAGAGAAATAAGGCAAACTGGGAAGTATTGTATGCTCCCTGCAGAAGAAGACTAATTATACTAGACATACATTAAAAGTATGCAAGTTGCTGAACATCGTAAGTTGATGTGGGAATCTCCAGAAGCAGCCTATATAAACAGTGTAACCATGATGAAAAGTGACATTTACCATAACTACTCAGGAACACTGTACACTGACCTGATAGTTGGGCTGATTATTCATTTAAATCTACATGAATGCTTACTCATTTTCTGGCTGTAGGCAAACAATTGCTTTAAATAAACCACGCCAGAGCAACCATCTGCAAACTGCTAAAACAGGCACAGAAGTCTAAGGACTCCAATCCTGTGTAACCTTCTTGGGTATCTACTCACTCTTTGGTCTGGGAATGAACGTGAAGACTCAAGTTCAACCAGAGGCAAAAAACAACTGAACACACAGAGCTCTTTCCAGCATATGTGCAGACATTAGTGAGCTGGATATGAAGGGCCCAGCCCTGCAGCTGAAGAAGTTTTGTATGCTCCAGCAAGAAACTAAGTTTATGCAAGAAATATGCAAGTATACTATTTATTTCTAGAGCTTTCAAGTATTTTAATTTGAATGTTATTTCTAAAGCCTGCCTAATAGTTACCTATTCACCAAGGATGACAGATGATCACACACAAGAGCCCCAGCAGTCAAATCAAGTCAGATATTGTGGGTAAGTTCAAGAGTCTGTAGGCGTGGCACTGATGATGGAAGAGCAAAGAAAGAAGCCAACAAAACAAAAATAAAACCAAGCTTCTCTCAGATAATAATTGTTTCCAGCCCTGTCACCTCAAAGTCAGTCAGAAGGCACAGGAGATGGTAAGCAGGTGCAGCTAACCTGTTTTTCCAGTTAAATACACTCACTTCAAAGAAATTTTAACTACTTGGTAGGATTTTTGTTTTATTAGAATAACTGGTGCTAATACATGGGTACCTGAACACACAAACTTCAACTACATCCTCATATAATCAGTCCATGTAAAAAGCTTAAGAATACCCTTCAACTTGAAAACTGTTTCAAGATTTTACATTTGTCTACACACGCTTCTTTTCCCCCAAGCTGGGGAACAAGACTATGAAAATAAACAGAACTAGTTCCAATTTTGTGTCAGAAATCGAGTTGTTTCAAAAACAAATGAGAAACATGTATGTGACTAATTTTATTTACAGTAATCTTTTCTGTATTTTTTTTAATAGAAAAAAAAAAAGAGCTTGATGTTTGTCTTGTCATGCAAGTGACAGATTTGGGGAGGGGCATTTTTTGATCAGAATGACCCAGTGTTTAGCACAGTAAGTCTTAAATTTGCTGTTATTTTTGAACAGGCTTTACTTTTACGCGTGTTGCTTTTCAAGGACAAGAATGAACAAAGAATTGGATCCAACCCCAGTTTGAGGAGCAATACATAAATGTTCACAAGGAGCCTTAAGAGAGCTAGCTGTGCCATGTGTAACTTTCACCTACCAAGTTTTTAGTCCCACTGTTTGCAAAGAAAATTGGTACACATAGCCAAGACTGGCAAACCAAAAAGCCACTCCCCCATTATCCTTTGTTTTGGGGGGTGAGGAAAAAAAAACAAACAACAAAACAACAACCAACCCACAAACTCAGGATAGAAATACAGGTGTGGGGCAGAGAAACACTTCAAGCTGGTGGTCTGACAGTAACAAGTTGAGCTCTGTTAGTTATGCTCAAAGCTCGTCTCTTCTTCCCCTGATTATGTTTTTTTTTCACTACCAGGAAGGAGTGGACAATCTTCCTCTACCCTCCTCAGTCACCTCGTTTTGTTGCGGTTAGTGCAAACAAACAGCCACGAAGGATACATCTTGATTTGTATCAAGTGGGAGCTTATTCAGCACAAGTCAGGGTATTCTAAGAGGAGAAATTCAGGAAACACAACAGTAAGGGCTCAAATGCAACTTGCCACATAGCCAAGTATTCAAAAACCTTTTTACTGAACTCATTTCTCGGTCAGACAGGAGTATTCATAGGTATTGATACAAAGATACAAAGTTCACACAGGCTGACTGTTCCACCAGTTCATGAATTGGCTGTCTGTCACAAGGCGAACTCCCGTATCAAGACAGCAAGATGCAAATTAAATGTGAATATGAACACATTTGAGTTCAAGACCAGTAACAGTAATAATGTCACCTCCTAAATTCTCTAACTACATACTCTGGAAAATGAATTCATGAACTAAAAGGTTAGGAAGTTCAGAAAATAAGATCCAGAACCACCACTTTTCATTATATTACTGTTTATCTTTATTAACTGAATATATCCCAAATTAGGAAAAGTGGCTTTGGTAAATCCTTATGGCCATTAAACCATATACTGGGAATAGGCTGGCAACTCCAAATAAAGAATCCTCAGTAGAAGCATCACTGTCACAATTTGTAAAGCTGGGGGGGGAGAGGGTGGAATTTAGAGAGAGAAGGAGGGGAGGGAGAAGTATACTTTGACCACAAGTATTATTTTCCCTTTAACATTACTGGAGTACACATCCAAAAAAAAGGCAAATCAACACCACAGTATGTAGGCTCACAGAGCATCTCTGCCACAGAATGTGCCTGTTGCCAAATGACCAAAGCAATCATTAGTTTAGTAACATCTGCCAAACTTTTCATGTCAAGTCAGGTCTCTCTTAGGCCTATGGAATTACTCTAAATATTGGCAGCTTCAGTTCCACTTCAGTCTGTCAATGCTAGTTAAAGAACGCTCCTCAGGTGAAACGCTAAGTGCACAATTGTATAACCAAGATGTACATTTAACAGGTGCCTGTGGATAAAAGTTTGACCATACTGATGTTGCTGACAGGGTATTCTGAAAGTAAACAGGCTGCAAAGAGTGCAAATAAACTTCTCTGCTGAACTTCAAATACTAACGTTGAGAAAAGAAAAAACCAAAGACAGAACAATGAAACAAGAACATAACCTAACACAACACAGCTGTCAAAAGCCTCAGTGAACTTGTAGGTCTGGCACTAGTAATGACTGGGGCTGAGAAGGACCGTGGAAAATGTCTTTTTACTTGGGAACGGCACAAAATTCCTCCAGAAGTGAGAAATTCAAGGCTAGTAGAGAAGCGGCCAATACCGTCACACAGTTGCGCTCGATAACACCACGTTTTCAAGACCTCACAGCAGCTTACACCCCAACAGCAGGCCAAGGGATACGAAACACACACACCGAGCCCCCATCAGCACCGCCAGGAGCTCGGACAGAACCAAGCAGGTTACAAACAGTGACGGTGCCCTCATTACACACCCTTCGGAACCGCCTTGATGAGGTGGCAGCTCTGCACCTCCTTCTTCCCCACACCTTGTCCAGAAATACTCGCCTCTCAGGACGGCGGCCCCACCGTCACGGTGCTCGCAGCCCCGCGCCTCCCCTCGCTCCAGCCCGGCTCAGGCCCGCCAGCTCCCTGTGGCCAGGCCGCGGCTGCGCTCCGCTCTCCATCGGCACAATTCAACCCGGACCGACATGCAAACACTCCTAATCGTCGCAATCGACGAAGACGGCCCAGAAGGAGGGAGGTCGATTACCCAGCGGCTTCCTCTGACAAGGCACCACCGTGGGCCCCGCAGCGACCCCATCTGAGGCTGACCTGCCCCAGCGGGCCGCGCACGGAAGCGGCGGCCACCTCTATTGCCACACACCGCCGGGCCGGGCAAGGCCGAGCCGCAGACTCCCCCCCCTCCCAGTAACAAGCTCCACTCACCCTGGTACTGGAGGTCGAAAAGCACGAGCAGGAATGGCAGCGCGGAGCCCAGGCGGCCGGCGGAGGCCGCGGGACACACCATCTCCGCCGCGGCCCGACGCTCGCGGCGACACTGGCGCCGTCCCAGGGCCGACGGCTCCAACCGCTGCGGGGTGGGTCGTGGGCGCCCCTGATTGGCCGCGCCGCGCTCACCCTCCCCTCGCACTACCCTAACGTGGAAGCGCCCTACAGAGGGAGCCCGTCATCCTAAGTAGGAGGGCGGGAGGGGCAAGGCTCTGCGCATGCGCGGAAGAGAACACACCGCCCTTTCGGGCAAGCTCAGTGGCGCCGGGGCTCCTCTAGCCACCCTGTGCTGCGCATGCGGGGTACTGTAGAGCGACACCGCTGCCCTCAGCGGTGTTCGGTCGGTGGAGATGGTGGTGTGGGCGGTTCAGCCGTCGTGGCGTCGGCCGCTGTCAGGAAGAGAAGCCTGGAGTGCGGTCACCTGCCCATGTGTTTTACCCCGTGTCTCTTTGCCCACCCTCTCCTGCCGTAGCCAGGCTCTTCCTGGGGTGAGGAGCGGTATGTTCCAGGCCCGGGTTCAGCCTGACTGAGCGTGCTTTGCGGGTGCTGGCACGCATGGAGGCGGACAGGGCTTCCTGGCCCCGGGCCAGCAGCGGGGTGAAACGGCTGCTGGCGGGGATAAGGGAGGGAGTTAGCACTGTCGATATAAAGAGGCCCCATTTGGGGTGTGATTGTTGCTGTTACCCTTCAAGGATAGTACTTCTGACTAGTCAAACTAGGAAAATTGTGCATTCGGTCAGAAGTAAATTGATCCTGGTTCATCGCTGTGTCTGACCTAGTACGGAGTAGAGAATGGCAAGTGTGGTTTCAAACTGTGCTTGACTGTCCCTGGGATGCAGTCCAGCTTTCCACTGAGAGCAAAACCAGGATAGTCAGCGTGGCCTTAACTCTGTGCTGACCTCCAGGCACGGCAAAACAGTGTGAAGGGATTTACCAGACTGCAGAAAAATTGATGACGTGATTTAACAGAGCACGGTATTTTCACACTGAAAGTTCATACTAGATCTATAAACTGAAAGTAAAGCCTGTGTAAGATAGCTTGCAATCTAACACGTATTTTTTCAGATCTCGTTCCCTTTGTTTTGTAATGAAAAGAAAATCTGTTCTTAGCTACCACAGAAAAACATCCTGTATGTGCCTAGTTGTTCCTTGTTTCAAATTATCTGCCTAGTGTTGGATAAGCAGTTCATCTTAGGGCCTATTACATGTTATACCCCACCAATGTAAAAAAAAAATACATCATGCTATATCTGCTGAGGAAGCAAAAAACTTGAGGCTTACAGGTCTGATTTGGCAACCACAGAAACTTCTTTCTGCAAGTACAGTCACATTACCTTTCTTACCCTAGATGATAATAATTCACAAGCTTTTTTGAAAGATCACGCTGTTAAAAAGAAAAGCAAGTTATCTCTCTTCACCTTATTTTTAAGATGATGCTTCAAAGGTATCAGCTTCAAATTTGACCTGCAGAAGTAATTCAGAAATAAGAACTTGAAATAATACAAGAAGTGTTAGATGTGAAATGAATAATAGATGACATTCTAAGGATGTCAGCATGAAGAACTTGACAACTCCATGTAGTATGGGTAAGACAAAATATGAAACCCTAAAGCTGAACTCAGCAGTATGCAGTCACTGTTATAATAAATGAATTCATTTGATTTACCTGAGGAAAAACATACTAGACCAAAGACAGACAAAATGAATATGGAAGGGGAATTTAAACCTCCAACCCCCTAAGATGACTGAATATAATACTGAAGATTATGACATATTTAATAACAAGATTAGAAGAAAACAAGTTGGAGAAAACTCAGTACCTCATGCAGGAATACCTAGCATAAAGATTCAAGCATCAAAATCCCTTAAAGCAGGATGAAAGTAGTACGATTAAAACATCAAGTATCATTCTGAGTAGATGCTTGACAGGCCCTTGGTCCTTGACTTTGGCCCTGGAATACTGAGCCAAGGTCAATATTTCAGGCTGACACAGCAGTGTAAAGAACAGTGTGTAATGCCAACACTACAAAAGAATCCACTCAAAAAGCATTAATCATTGTCACTCTGCGCTGGAAATGCCACCAGGTGTACAGAATTGGACAATAAGTCTTGAAAGAGATCATAAACCATAAAGAACCATTCCTGATTATCACAGATTCCCAAACATATATTATGTAGATACTAAGTATTAAAATGGGAGAACAAGTTCTTTGCCACATATTCCCTTGTGTGATTTCATCAACCTTTGGGTTGGAAGGGACCTTAAAACTCATCTTAAAAATAATCTAGATTTCAGAAGCAAAAGAGGAGGGAGACTTGAAAGAACAAATGCATGTGACATGGCAACATATTTTGGAATTTGAAAAACAGCAAAGCAACACAGCTGTAATGCAAAGAGTCTTTCAAAGGGACTCATCAAAATTAGACTGTTGTCTGAAACAAGTTTCTTCAGCAGTCCTAAGTTTTGGAGTGAAAGGGTGGATGACAAAGACTACATTAATGTTCAAAGTGCTGAAAAGACAGAAAACAAAGGAATTTACTCCCGGTAATATATATAGTAACATCAGAGGGCAGCAATTAGCAAGGAATGACTCTTGAAACTACTCATTGCTTATAATAGAGAGGATGAGCTGAACATGGTGGCCTGTGGAGATAGTTAAATCTGTAGTTTCTATTTATTAACTGAGAAACCTTCTAAGATGTAATACAGTAAGAAGTCTGGATTACACATGACAACACACAGGGTCCTGTTTTGCTTGGCAATATATTTTAATTAATAATCTTGAGTCCAAAAGCAACCAAACAAATTGAAGCTTCCTGATACAGAAAAAAGCAGGAGACTGTTATATTGCGTGCACAGTCTAGTATGAAAATAAAGGGAGGATGGTAACACGGAGGTACTATTGTCAGGGTTTCTTCTTGTAAGAAGTCTCCAAGACCTCGCACTTTGTTTTTATTCTTGCCTATGTATATCCCTATTAGAAACACAGCCGTGTTGGAGTTAAATAAAATAGCATATATCTGGTTAGTATGGGATTATTTTTATGTAACCACAGCTCTTGGTAATTTCACATTTGTATTCGTGTTCATAGGAGAGGACTTTAAGGAAAATAATTTTTCTGGGCTCCTTTTGCAGTAAATGGAAGCAGAAACTCTACACCCTGAAGTCCAGCACAAGAACTTAATTTACATGCTCTGAACTTGCACTTGGAAAAGCTGATCTTTGTCCATGGACTTGAAAGGGCAGAGGCTAGCCTCCATTAATACTTTCTTGTTACTTTTTTAGGGCAAGGCTAGCCTCCATTAATACTTTCCCCTTCATACTGTCCTAACAAAATTCTGTGTGTCTTTGTCATATCCCTGATGTCAGAAGTATGTTTCTGGTGTGGAATTATTTAGCCTTCTGTGCTATGGCTGTGTGTGTAGACACTATATAAATAAAACAACTGGCTACTAACTCCTCTTTATACTGATATAAATATGCTTTACATAGGCCATTTGGTGTCATTTAAGTTTGTAATACAGGTCATCAAGTCTCCTTTATTCACTAAACTGTATCACTAACTAATTTATCAACAGAGCCTTGTTACATGTAGGACAGAAGTTGGAAAAGAGAAGACATCAGTGTTTCCTTAAATTTGTTAAAGTTTTATTTTAATCAGGGGAATTATGCTATATCTGCAACTTTTCTCACTAGCCCTGGTAGCAGTAACAAACTCCAGACACCTCAAAATGCATTCACCGTCTCCTGCCTAACTTAACATTTTGGTATAATGAAGTCTCAATCAGGGAAGACGATACGAGTAACCCCTTTTCATGCATAACCTTGACATTTTAGTGTTGTTTGTCTGAGTATATACTTTAGGGTTTGGGGTTTTTTTTGTTCTGTTTGATCCAGAAGTGTAGAAATAATTCAAATCAAAGCCTAATTTCAGTTTGAAACAATGCAAGCCAAACAGTATTTTTTCAAGTATTTTGATTTAAGATAAAAAAGCACTTCTGTTCATTTTGGGAAGGGGAAGGCTTGGCAGAAAGCAAAACACTTAATTTATGATGAAAACACACCCCTTTTAAAACATTTACTTTTTAAGGCATAGAGCATTTTTTAATTAATATGCTATTGTGAAAGTCAAAACACTGCTTCCAACATTAAAATACTATTATATTTCTGAAATAAAGCATTTTGATTTGTAAAGATACGGAAAACATTGACATGAATCAACTCTCCTCTTTTTTTGATTGATTTCTGAAATTCAGTGGTGCAGGAAGAATGGCCTGCGGAAATGAAGCATCCTTCATCTGTCTTATGAGCAGATATCCAGAGGCCAAGCAGACATTATGTCTGACTCTCCTCACACTCACAGGTGTGCTCCAGGTAATCCTTCCTGCCATTCAGTACAGAAATATGGAGTCAAGTGCAACCCAAAGGAGACAATAGTGTGTGTACTCCTGCAGAGTGGCTGGGATGTTGGGTTAATTCATCATTTCCTTGTTTTCAGGAATCACCAGGACTCTGAAAAGGCCTGTAGGGACACAAAGTCCAAAGGCATGCCCTTAAATCTTGAGTTTCAGGATTTACAACATTTAAACAAAAGGGAGAGGGGATGGGGAACTACATTGCCCTTTGTATGCTTTGTGACTGAGGCTCTGAGAGTTGGTGGTTCATTTTCCTTTTTCATCTAGTTTATTTCTTGCCCACAAAATAATGTTCCAGTAAGTATAAAAGGGCAGTGTAGAAAAAAAACAAACCTAGAAGTTTCTGAGTGTTAAAAACTAAGTCCTTGATTCAGTGTTCAGTGTTCAGTGACCTTCCTATTGTTCCAATTATAACAACAGTTTCTGATGGGGGTGAGAGATGTCGATTGTCTCTGGATCATTTGAGCATCTGAACAGATTTGTGAAAAACACGTGTGAACTGGTTTGTGAAACTCTTATGTGTTCATCCTGTTTATTTGGGTTTCCACGGCATATCAAAGGACCACATCTCTGACATCAGTGAGGCTCAAAGATCAAGCCCTCAGCCTGAAGCAGGACATGCTCCTGAACTGAGTGAGCTGATGAGGAGTGCAGGTCTACTTCTGTCAGGGTCCAGAGGGTGTTCATAGGCCTCAGTGCCTTGGACTGGCCACCCTTGGGATC